AGTCTTCTAAGACATCCTTTGGACAATAAATCAGTTACAATCTTTTGGCAGGACTTAATTTCCTCCTTTGTTTTCTTTTAAGTTATATAGACTTTCTGGAAGAGGTTTAGAGAGGCTTCTGAATAAAAGCCAAGAAAATTGATATAACTGGGGATTCTAGGTGTTTTGCTCGCAAGGCGTTGAAATAGACGGAGCGTATTTCCCTGTTTTCAGGATTTGATTGGTACCAGGTTGTCATGATTTCGCCACGGAGTCTACATACACCACATAGTGTCACATCTCACTGCTTGCAACTTAAAATCATAAATCATCTTCAATCGAAAAACATTAGCAGACTGGTAAGCTTTGTAAATAGTTTTTCAGAAGCGTCAGCATATACGCCTAAATTGCAACGAGAATGATTCTAAAGAACTTCTTCAGGTTGCATCAATATCTAAGTCCAGGGAGGGAGAGGAAGTAGAGTGGAATAGGTTACTACAAACATCAGTGTTTTCAATTGCATGCCAGAGTTGATGATCGGTCTTGAATGATGATGATAATAAAGAAAAACTACAACTGCGCTTTTGACTAACGTGATTTCCTTTTATCGTGATCGCATTTCTTTTTGGAAGAACGTCTTCCAATTGGAAAAATGAGGTAAACTTACATAACAAGAACAATCGTTGGAACCTTAACAAACTTGATTGCATGAAAACCTTATGACTGCACGGATGTAGATACTATAGCTAAGGCAGCAGTTAATACCTCAGGTATTTCATCCTAATCTATCTTTAGAAAAGAAAAAAAGATTTTAAGAAAGGAAAATCAGAGACTTTGGCGTGCGTGCGGTTTGTTCGCACGTGTGCATTTCATCTTAACTATACGTTCCCATGAAACGATTACAACATATTTTAACAAATATCAATTAAACAAATAAACGACAATTATTGGTCATGTAATTATCTGACCTCATTAGTAAACTGCCTTCCCGTCGCCAATGAAAATAGCGGGTTCCTTGGTCTAAGCCGAAAAGCGGAATTTTTTCGGTAAGCTGATAAAAATATAAAACGTAGACGGAAAATTTAAAATTTCAAGCTCGTGCTCGGGCCATGAACTAAATGATGGTTAAGGATTTATCGCTTTTACAAATAGTTTCACGCCTCTTTTCTAATTCGTTTTTACCATAACAAAGCAGTCATTTGCTGATTGGTTTTTTTTAGCATTACGAAGGTCTTTCAAGTGGTGTAGTCTGTATTGTTACTTAGAATGTGCACAAAAGATTTGCCAATAGGCTCAAAGTTATTATGACTCGCTGAGGTGACGGTCACGGTGTCTAGTGAAGGGCGCCACAGAGCTTGTGACTGACTCAGTGTCACATTTACAAGGCGCCAATACCGCCATTATTGCTGCGTCAATTGTCATGGATCTCATTAGCACGTTTAACACTGGAAAAATTTTCTCGGCAATGTCATGAATCTCGCTCAAAACAGAAAAAGCATTGTCACAATATATTTATAAATTACCTCTTGCAAATGTGGTATGTGTAATAAGTTTTCATACATATACGCGTGTTTTCTGCGTTCCGTCTTGTTCTGCTTTACGCGGGAGGCTCGAAGAAGTTTGTGAGGAGGGCAACACTCATGGAGCTGCGTACTCATGGAGCTGATCATACGAACCCTTGGGGTTAAACGAAGAGATCATCTCGAATCAAGCTCACGCGGCTTTCCCTTTTCAAGAACTTGCCGCTTTCTGTTAACTTAACGTTCTGTATATCTCTTATTTGAAATTCGCAAAAATAACAATCGCGTAATTCACAGTTTGGATTTTGTTCAAAAGTTAAATTAAAATTAAGATATGGGTAAACGTGAACTTGATCCTTTCAGCAATGTAAGCGATTCATCGAAAAATCAACTTATACAAGGTGTATTAGCTCACAGCAGGAAACTTGCTAGTAATAGTGGATTTATTAAACGCAATAACCATAAAATTCATCTTATCTATTGAAGATGTTAGGACGCATCTTTCTAAGTTAGAAGTTTTTTCGTACAAAACCAATGCAATAGTTTGCCTACAAACTCCAATTAAACGTTATTTCTTGCCAGACCGGGCAAGCTACTTGGAAAGCTACTAACGGTCGTAAACGACGTCCAAACGAATCCTAAGTATAAAGAACTCACTACACCTGTTCAGCTTGAATGAATGACATATTGAAATAAAATCGGGTAACAGAACGACTTAATTAGCTCAAACTACTCAAGCGATATTCTATCTTGATGCAATTAAAACATACCGAGACATAAATTGCTCTTGTGGTTTCTTGTTTGTCGTACTCCGTTTCAAGTGCGGGCGGAAGACTTTTCTTTAACAGACGTAATTGAAGGACAACTGACTTTTCAATATTATGAATGTCAGCGAGTCGAGCTGGCGCCTTGATAATGCTTGTTGAAATGTTTACAGGTGTGAAATAGAAGTCGCGAGACACACCAGCTAATCAGGACTTACATGAATTAAGCTTGTTGCCAGCTTGTTTACGCTTTTTCTATGACCTTTTAATTATAAGGTGATGCTTTGATGATTTTGGTGTACAGTGTATCGGTGTGTGCGGTATAAGTTAACAGTCACAATGATAAGGATGAAAATAAATCAGAAACCTTAGATTGAAGGATCTTGATATTTTTAGGAAAATGGTCCAGGCGTGGTTTTGGTTTGTTGAGTCCAATCTGCCGTTTACTATTTTAACAATTTGTTTGTGGTTGCAGAAATACATACACATCAGTTTGGTCAGAGGCGTTTAAAAAACAACGTCTTAAATATTATATTTGATCCTCAGTACGAGGGCATCTTTTCAAAGCGACAGACTGACAGGGTCACGTTCAGCATGTACATGTGTTTCCTAATTTCAAAAAAATTTCAGTAAGAAAACGTTTCCGCATGTGAGGCGAGCACTATTCTGATGGAATGTTATAATTTCGATGATGGCGCGAAACCAAAGCGGATTTTTTTTGCGTGCTCGTTTGGATCACTGCAACATGAGCTCCACATAAAAATAGGAATTCCAGGGGAAGAGTCCATAGTAATTCAAATCATTAATTAAAACAGACAACTGAAATAGCAACCGTTTATTTTAAACTATTCAAGCTTTTGAAAAAATTCTTCAAGGGCCCGAAAGGAAACTAAAGGTCAGTGGTCATATAAATGTAGAATCAATTAGTAATCTAGATGAACAAACTTTCCAAAAAGGAATTATAAAATACATGTTTTACAACATCCTTGATCGTAAGAGACACTTGTCAAGAGTCTTAATGACCATTCGGATTGTTTTGGGAGCTAACAAAGAAACGAACAGATCTTGTCAATCACCAAAGCCTCCTACTCAGCCGTTCAGTCAGTTCTTGTTATTTTACCGTGCACGGGTTCTTCTTCCTCTTCTTCTTCTTCTTATTATTATTATTATTAGTAGTATTATTATATTATATTATTATCATTATTACTATTATTGTCATTAGTTTATACCAGCAACATAGCGTTGACTTCTCCGCACACATATGCTTTTCACCGTAAGCGTCCTGGCCACACAATGAGATACAAATGTGTGTAAGAGTAATAAAACTTACATATTCGAAGAATTTTGACATAGTCTTAGAATATTTTTGTGGTTCTTGTTGATCTGTTCTCGAATGTGATGTTTCTATAATTAACATCAGTTTATGTGTTTTATTTACATAACGCTTCACACTGTTCTATCAGCGCAAGATTTACATTTGTGAGTGTCTTCTAACTACGGAGATATCAATAAGTTGAGCCTTGAGTGCTTCAGATTGTCAAACATGGAGCACATGAGTGATGTCAACTTCCAAGGTTGGGAAAACAACCTAATGAGAGTACAAGTGCGTAGCTTTTTGTCCGGCAATATTTATTAGTTCAAGTTGGAGTTGTAGTCGAAAGTTGGAGTTAGAGTTAGAGATGGAGTTAATCAAGGAGAAAACTTTGTAGAAGTTGCAACAGCAAGGTATGGTAAAAAAAGCTTTGTGATTTCGGACTCTTGGCACCTTCCTCTTAGCGAGCTTGCTCAAGCTAGTTACCCCCTAACGTCCCTACAAAAGTTTTCCATGATTAATCCTTTGTGATAAGTTAAACAGAGTTTCGAACATTTCCGCATTTGAGCATGAAAACTGCGCGAAACGCCGACATAGTTTGAAGTAAAAACCGCTGGAGAAAATGGCAGTCGATAAATGTCGCATAGAGATCCAACTAATACGTCACAATGACGAGGGAAGCTAGCTGTAGAACGCACCATGCTTTGCGTATAAGGCATCTGGAGGTCTCGACCTGTCTTTTTCAGTCTACTTTAATCTCTCGGTATCTAAAACGATCCTGCTTAAATCAAATTCACTCCACTCTGGCTAACTCTTGTCGACTGACTCTATCTCTATTCGATCATTCTTTCTGAAATCTTCACTCTTAAGAACACGTTTTTGCATTTAATATCGGAGGCATTAGCCAACTGACCTTGCTAGATTAAAGATAGATTTGCTGTCAGAACACTAACCCGAAAACTTTACAAGAATCTCCCGAATAAACAAAAACGTACATAATGTTTCCGATACAATTAAATCAATCTTTGACTGCATAAAGTATTTAGTGTGGGTGCAAGGCGAGGTTTGTAAAAAACTTAACTCGTCCACGAAATGGAAATTAAACAAGACACTCACAATTAGGAAACTCGTCGCATTGGCTTAAAACCTAAATAACTCCGGACTTTGAATTCAAATAGTAACTGCTTGCTAATCATAAACAACGACTAAATCACATTTAACTAAATACTTCATAGCACAACATTAAGGTGGGAAAAGTTGTGCTACACAGCCTACACGTTAAGGGTAAAATCAAACAGATATCAGTCATTTATAGGAATAGTTACCAACATAGGACCTACTGAACTGGAGTCCACGGAGCACTCGCTGCATTCAGACATGACAATAAGAGCGATCTATGATCTTTTGATAAATTTTATTATCAACGCTGTTTCGATAAATGAGGTTTGCAGTCTCTTAATGACTATTTCACAAGTTTGTTCTGCACTAACGAAGTCGAGTTACTGTATTTTGTAATGAAATCCTACGGACTATGAAATTGTTCTCAACCTTGGGACACACTCGTTAATCTCATTGCAAAAAAATGAACAGATCCCGTCCAAAACTATTGTATAGCGCAGCTTTATGGAATGATACGCGTGGTAGTGATAGTCTAAGTACAAGAAGAAAGCATGTTAATATTAAGGGACAAGTGATAATTCATTATTCTTGAAATTGCTTCTACAAAGTCATTAAGGCTCCATCTCAACTTTACTGTTGCTTATCGAATAGATAAGCCAATAGATGGACAGGTCGGGTCAAAGGCGACATCCATTGCTACCCAATTGTCGAAGTTATTATGCAACTCATATTGATTTCGTGAGAGCGACAGTTGAACTTATACTAGAACACTGACAAAGATTTCGCGAGATAAATTAAGGTATTTTGTAAATTCTTTTAATTCGAGCTCTCTTCGGGCTATTAGACAAAGGAAAATGCCCTTATTCGCGAAAGGTTTCTTTAAGATTCACGTTCCATACTTCCACAATTTAAAATGAGGTTTAGTAACATAGAGAACTCTTGCAATATGATTGGCCACTGGGGCGAGTCATTTATAATGGAATTAGGGCTGACTTATCATACAACGCTGGTAGCGCGCCAAACAAAGTCCAGACTTAACAGGAAATGACGGTGAGAAACACGAGACACCTGCATTTACAATTTTCGGTGAAAGAAGCATCACGTAAATTTTTATTTGAAAAATAAACTAAGCAGCATCCTTCAGCAAGGACTTAAACTAGGAAAGTTCTCCGAAAACAAACAAAAAATGCTACCATTTACAGCTTGCACGGTGACTTTTGTCACTGATAAAACTGCGTAACCCGCTCTAAAGGAAAAAAAACAATGAAATACGTAAAGCAAGCTGGTCGAAGATTTTTGAAAGTCTTGGCAGCAGCCACTCAAAAGCACGCGTTAATAGAACACAGACATTTCTTAATAAAATATAGAAAATATGTAGTGACTAAACACTACTTGATTGATGGAGCTTGCCCTCGCGAGCTGTTTCACTGAAAAAGATCTGATTAAACTTTTAGCTTCTTTCACATACATTACACGTTTAAATGTTCCTACAGTCAATTTGAATGGTTTTTAAGGCGCCGAAGGAATAAAATTTGTTGGAAAAAGCTTTTTCTTTATTTTATTACAACATTTAAGCAATGCAAGGAAAATTAACAACCTAACTATTGAATTCCACTTTAAATATCGCACTACTAGCTTTGCGATCCACGTTATATCGTAAAATTGTATGCATCGTAAAGTTCCTTGGTCAGGTTATTTCCCTAAGCTTAAGTGATTAAGTCATTACTAGTCATGTCCATCGGAACCATCAAGAAGTCTATTACTCATCTACCAGGGAGGGATGGTGAGGCAGACAACCAGCTTTGGGTGTAAATCTAATAGTGGATGATCTCTGGAAGCAAACTTCATCAATGCATCTGCATTCGATTCTTTTCTGACCTTCAGCAAAAGTCCATAATTTGGCTGATTTCTGATCTGCCAATTTCTCACAGCATGTTGAATATCGAGTTCAATCCATCGCTGCTCTTCTCCAGGTTGCAGGCTTTTGCTTTGTGCCAGCCTGTGAGGGAAAAATCAGACGTTAGCCAAGTTGGGATTAATAAACCTCTCATTTATCGTTATTTTTCGATCTTTATGATCAAAATTTGTAATAATAACAAAATATGTTGCTGATGTCACTTCGCCTATCCTACCCCTCCTGTCTCAGTTAACTCAGTTATGAAGTTATGTATAGATACATTAAATTGCACGCAGATGAAATGTGGCTGAGAGAAAGTACTGCCCATAATGATGCCGTGAAAAGTCATGGATTTAGCCACGGTAATGATTTTCTAAAGGGTTGGCCTTTCTCGTAAAGCAATGAGACACTTAAAGGGCACCGCCAATCGACAAGAATACTTATTCCATATGAAAGAGGACATTCTTAAATCAATGATACGGTCACGGGCTTAAAAGAAAACTATGCTTCATACCAACATTGAGAAGTATAACGCATGGCCTTTGCTTTTTATTTACTGAGAGTTTCAATATAACAAATCCAGCGCCGAGGCCTTTCCTCTGTGAGTAAAAGCATAAAGTTTACGGCAACGGCATTCGGCCAAAATTGTTTCTATCAATTTAATCTTAATCAACTTATAATGGGCATGTTACATATGATTATGCTCACACGCGTGTTACAAACTTCCGTTGAAAAGTACAACGTACGATGGTTAGATACAATCAAGGTTCACAATGTATGATAAAATCTAGAATATGATAAATACATATATTATTATAGTTATAATAAGCATGCTAGACTAATTGTCTAGTTCGGAAGTGAATAGCAAGTACTATTCACCCCTAAGCAGCCGAAAAGACAAAACCGCGCATTGAGACTTTAATTTCCGACCATTTTTCGGTATATTGAGAGAAATGAACTAATTTTTGGTACCTGTGTGGTATATTCTAAAACAATTACTCACCTCGGTGTCGGTAAAAGTGGTAGATATTAACCTCGCTGCTTTTCAGCTCGTTAAATATCCACTATAATCACCTACACTTTGGCGAATAATTGTGAATATAAAAGTTTCAAAATCTTAAAGTTAATAAGTTAGGGAAGCCACATGTCTCTTTCGATAGACAAATTTTCTGGAGGCATTTGATGTTCGCGGGTTACAAAGTTACAAAGTTTGGGTGCAATGGTCAACGAGTGGCCACAGAAAGTAGGTAGAATTCTAATATTTGGAAATAGTAAAAGAAGTTTGTTATTCGAAGATCTCAGATGCTATCCAGGAGCACAGTTCAGTAATAAATGCAGGAGCGAGTATTTTCGAAGCTTTATATGTTAAAAGAAATGTTTCAATTTGGATTTTGTTGCGAACCAATAACCAATGAAGACCAGAAAAGAAGGGGGTAAAGTGATCAGTCTAACATGGCAGATACATCTTACCATTACGTTCTGTGCACGTTGACGTTTGTAGTGGGTTATTAGGCAGACCATACAAGAGGATGTTACACTACTCTTAAAAGCTTGTTACAAAAGCGTTGACTAGGGTCGGGCTCAATAAGGCTTGAGCGGAATTTTTATAATTCTTCTCATGTTGTATGGGCGAAAAGAGCCGGGGAGCTTCACATATATTATGAATGTGAGTATCCATCTTTAACTGTGAATCAAACCAGCATCGAAGGCTCTTTACATTACTGGTCGAAGTGTTTATACTGTTACAATTTGTTATGGGTTTATAATGACTTTTAAAAGTTGCTGTCACGCACCCAGGATAATGATTTCTATTTTGTCGTTGTTTGATTTAAGCTTGTCTAATAACAATGGGTTATGGTTTTATAATGACTTTTACAAGTTGCTGTCACGCACCCAGGATAATGATTTCTATTTTGTCGTTGTTTGATTTAAGCTTGTCTAATAACAACCAATTTCTGATATCTGCAACGCAGCTTTGCATGGCTACAAAAGCAGCTGATTGCTAATCCCTGGATTTATTTAAAATTATTATTTTGTGTACACGCAATTCAGCCCTCCAGTTGCAAGTTGCACTTTGCACACACAATAAAGCCTTACAAAAAAAATGGACTCAGCTTTAAAGAAGATGTATAACTACATGTCGTCAGCATACACAGGCATGAATATCAGGAGGATGCAGCTCGATGATCGTGAACGTAACGTAAAGTACAAACAGAAGAGGGCCAAAACATAGTTCCTGTGGTACTCCGTACTTGACATTGACCCGCATTGATGAATATGGACTGCGTTCTATTGTGTAGATGAAACTTGAACCAGGAGTGCGCTAACTGAGATGCCGAAGTCCGTATGTAGACGATCAAGAGGATGGAATGGATGACAGTATGTAAAGCTGCGCTTGAGCCGAGTATAACTAAGAGAGTAACGTCTTACTGAGTCATGTTAAATCAAAATTAATACCACAACAGCACAGTTTCCGTTCAGTTTGATTTACGGTATGAGGATTGGGCTTCATACACAGTCAAATAATTATTAGTTTGACTAAATACAGCTTGGTCTATTAGTTTAGAAACAAAGAAAGGTTACTGATGGGAAGAAGGCTGTTGAAAGACATTTCTGCTTATGGTTTCTTTAATCTGGGATGGACAACAGCTTGTTTCAAGATATCAGGAAAGCGTCCAGCTTGTGAGGGCGTTTATTATCCTAGTAAGTACAAGTAGGAAGACATCTAGGCACTCAATCACGAGGGGAGTTGGCTTGGGGTCTTAGGAGAAAGATTACTTACTTGATTTAGCGAATGGTTGTGAAACATTTTCCTCACTAAAAATTGAAAATGAATCAAATGTACGACAATTTTTTGAGTAAAAGGGAGAAGGAAAGGTCGTCTGGCAGAGTGTAACACTGACTGATTGCAATTTTCTGAAGTATCTTTGTGTTTCCCTACGTGAAGGCGTATTTATGTCAAGCTGGCAGTGGACGGGAAAATGATCCGAGAAGAGATAGTCAGTCCATGCTGTAGAAATATCAAGACGATCAGACTGCCTCGTTATGATATGGCCAAGAATGTGTCCACTCAAGTCTGTTGGAATAGTAACATGATGCTGCAGTCCAGTGCTTTCTAGAAGTTCGCGATACCACCTTCCGTGCGGCTAGTCTGCAGATGATCAAGAAGAGATTCGCAAACTCCTCGGCCTTGTTATTCAGAGATTGTCCATTGAGAACATAGAAACACGAATCATCTTTGCCTTGCAATGGAATAGGTTACAGGTAGCAAATTATTTCCATTTCGTAAGGAAAAGTATTTACGTCTAAAACGAGATCTAAATGGAAACATCGCAGGAATCCTGAATGTTGTGTCTAAACCCGAAGGTCTGTTGAGATCCTTGTGATAAGGTTTGATGGACCTCTCTTTTCAACTACTTATAAGGCGCGATGAGTTGTGGACCAATGCGAGTGAATGGTTTTATCGTTTTCATTGTTTACAGGGCCAAGATTTAATTTGAATATCAAATCTCCTTCAAGTGGGCAATGGAATGTAGCGATTGAATTGCAATAGTATAGACATGGGCGTTTACTAAGTTTGATCTTTAGTCGAGATAAACAAGGTTCTTAGAAGGCAACAATACCTTATTGTAATTAAAGTCCACTCCATCAATATGTCACAAATATCAAAATATTACAACAGGTCATTGAACTTGGAATCCATCACAATTTTTGTAGGGAAAACTCTGTCAGACCGAAACCGAGAGAAAAAAGGTGGATTCATGTTTATATTCCATGAATTTCCACATCGATACCAGTCTAGAGAAGAAGATCAGTTGCTCAGACATTATTTCATCAAGTATGTGGGTTCAGATAAATAGACAGAGAGTGAAACCAGAGCGACAAAGATCGTGCCCGGCCATAATTATCACTCTTCACTTACTTTTCTTAAAACCTTGAGATCAACCCCGTTGATACATATTTGTTCGCAGTGGCTTATGCAACTATTCTCGTTTATACGCGCAAATTGCTGGAAGGAGAATCTACAAGTACGATTTCTACCATTGGCCATTTGCTGTAAAGTTAATACTTGATCTCTTATGTCAGGTTCGTATGACCGTTTGTTATCAGGAAACTTTGAAGAAATTTGCCTTTTCCTTGGTAGTGCGAAGCAATTCATGCAATTTTCAGCCATTTAAAAATGAGTGGCTTCAAGACTCTTATTTAATGCGAAAAAGAGATGATCACGTAAACAAACAAAGCAGACAGACTATACCTTTTCTTTGTCACGTCTTTTCCAATTCCCAGATAGTCCTGATGCCACGGTATTACACTGGTTGTGTTCTCCGCATGCCAGTCGGTGCTTATGATCTGATAGAGTTCAAGAGAATTCGAGGGAGACCTGGCTGTCTCATCACCTTCAGAACCAGCCCCAAATTTCAGGAGGTAAAGGTACAACTTAGCAGAATGTACGATTGCTCGCCTTGTGATCTTCTTTACGTCGAAAGAGATTAAAAAGCGTTTCTTCGGCTGCCCTTTATCCTTACCTGCGAGCATGTACTCACTATTTGGCTCATTGGTGTAAGCGTGTGCAATAGTGATGTGTTGAACGGTATCAAATGATAAAGGAAAATCGCTTGGATATCGCCCTAAAGACACATCAAATTTGTATCAGTATTTCGACTCAGCTAGCTTTGCTGTCAGTGATGGAAAGAAATTCTGAAGTATTGTAAAATCATTAGCCTGAGTTTAATTCTATGGCTGCTATGTCAGTCAAATGCCAAGAATATCTTATTGAACCCTTAGGATACCCAGCGTTATTCGTAGCAAAGGCACCGAATAGGTGAAATAAGTGATTTCCTAAAAAAAATCCCCGCAAAATTCAGGGGTATGTTTTAGATAATCTAATTTTAGATATAATTTAATGCATGGCATTTTAGGGTGTCTTATTCCAGCACGGTATGCTTATTTATTTAATTGGCGTCCCTCCCCCATCCCCATTTCTAACTTACCTGTGTTGCACTGAGTGTCGGGTTTTGAAAGAGTAAGCGTCGTCGTTAAAGATCTCAATCCCTGGGAAACTGAAAAATAATCAAAAAAAGGACGACTATCGATTCAGAGACGTACTTAACATTAACGACGTTTGGAGTACTTTTCTGAAGTGAATTTTTCATAACTGTTCTGTATCGAAGCTGTTACATTTTGTTCTGTAATGATGTACACAATAGAAGCTATGCTTTAATACTTAAGCACACGGCCATCATAGGATCATTGTAATAGAACAAATTCAAATATGTAAGGTCCTTGTGGCTTCGTGATTGTACAGGGTTACACTATATGCTCATAATGAACTCACCAGGTTTCTCTATGCTGGAACACAAGAAGCGAAAGCGATAATCCATGCAAACATTCTTGTCTCCTGCTTGCTCTCTGTTTCGGCAATATACCCCAACGCGCTCTTTACAATGAATCACTTGACCTGATGATTGGGTTGGCGAGCCATCTGCAAGCTGACATTCAATATCCATCATGGAACTCGGACAAATGTCGTCAGCTATGGAAACAGCCCAGCTTCCAGTAGGTTTCCTTACAGTGTATACCCATTCAGACCATGTTCCAACTGAAAATCAAGGAATAATATTATTTCTCATTTTTTTCAATAAATCTTGAGACACACAACGTACTTGCTAAGTGAACTCTGAATTCAATCCAAAATAAAACATAGGGGTCATAACTTAAAGGGTTTTCTTAGTAAGCTTTAATAGCAATTTACTAATTCATAGGTTAATCATTATAAGTTGATTATCATAGGATGTTTAGCAATGACTTGACACTTACTGAACATAAATTATAATGGGGGAGGGGGAAAATTATTCATCACAGCAAAGGTGCAGTAACAAATATTAGTGAGCCACTGTTATTAAAAGCAAGCAACTTACGTGGTTCAGGAACTGAGGGCTGATTTTCTCTCCATTTCGTTAGGTCCATACTAGGGATCTGAGTACACTCAACTCGTTTTAATTCGTCCTTGGCGGCAATGAACGAATCTTTTTGAACGGAAACAATACCATAAATGTTATCACACAGTACTCTTGACAGTGAAGTCTTTCCTATCTCATCAAGCTGCTCAACTGTGAAAACATCGTTTTCATACCAAAACCGATCCCCATCACGCAAACGTCGAAATTGCTCTTTCAGAATACAGTGCAAAGTAGGACCAACCATGGCCCCAGGTAGCGGATCCTCTGCCAACCCTGCCACCCACAGGTCAGCGTACTCTACATCTTCATATAAATCATGTAATATCTGTCGTGACGTAGCGTTCTTAATCTCGTAAGTAGTCTCCTGAAAGATATCTGCGTGTGAGAGATTGCACTCGCGTCTCCATGCCCCGTAACCTGGAAGACCGTGGTCGCGGCCTCTTTGGATATTCAGCGCTGCTAGGTCAAACCCATGTTCTGATTCCGGTTGTTGGAAAAGGTGTTTCGTCAGTCCCGCGGCTATTTCACGGCTTGTGCTTTGCGATTCATTGGCAAGAAGTCCTAAAAGCACTGGCTCGATACCCTCTCTTTGAATCAATTTGTTGTTAAAAAACGCTTTTATGAGTGGCACATCGGGAGCAACCGGATCATAGTTTGCATCGAGCATGGCAAATTTGGGTCTCACCATACTATGACCGAATCGAAATGCTGAAGTGGCAAACACGTTTAGGATTCCAGGATGTACGTTAGTGTATCCATGATATGGAGGCAAAAAGTCAGCTCCGAGTATTTTGGGTAAATAATGGCTATATGTGATATGTTGAAGAATGGCTCCAATAATTTTTCTTGCCTCATGGAAAATTCTCTCTGCGTTCCAGTGTTTGTTGATTTCAAAGAGAATGTCGGCTATCCTGTTGTGCTCTCTAACCCATAAGGTGTGCATTGCGACGAGGGCGATCTGCTCATTGACTCTAAAGTCACCTGCGTCATAACAGCCACCGAACAACTGACAAAGATTCAAGGGAGGGTTGAAAGGCGATTTTACAAATGGTAGCAGGTACCTCGGTCGCGTTATTTTCAAATGGCCTTTTTTAGCTGCAAAATAGCACATGACACGATATTTAAATCCGTTTGCTTAGAACTTTTCAATGCTACAACTTCTAAATAAATATCTTATTTGAATTGTTTAGTGCATCATACATAACTTGGCGATCAAACCCCTTTTCTACATTGATGCACTCTTTTTTTTTTACCTTGTCGGTTTTCTCGGTTTTCCGTCTGGGCACACCTATTGCCAACATAGTATTTCCTGTCCCTGGGATTTTAATGGAATGGACCACGAGCGCGACATACCAGCATACGCCTACATATTTCATTTACAGTAAATAAAAATCACATTTGAAATGAAAATGCTTTTTAAAGTACAGGATCACAGGATGACATAGATAATCTTCCCCGTTTTTGCGACTGCAGAAAATCTCCATGACACGATCCACATCTTTCAATAAATGGTGTTCAACCATTGTTCCCTATATATCTGCAATAAACTGAATTGTATAATTGCTGTCATGCTGTATCGTAAGCTTGCTAAGCAGTCGATTTCTTAGTAAAAGAACACTCAATCGTGAACTCATTCATGAATTTTAACAACGACAAAGAATGTGTTTTAAAGTGTTTTTCCTGGGTTATTTCCATTGTACGCCTGACTTTCAGTTTGGGTTGCTGCTTGTCAATGGGCAGACAGAGAGTAGATATTGATGATATGGGTATGGTTATCGTATCATTCACGTTTGTCTTTATTGGCATTTTACCTAGGAGTACTTCAAAGATGTGAAGCAACTAGGTTGGGTCAATTTTCACTTCCTTGACGTTCTTCGAACTGATCAATCTGACAATTGCTTTCGTTCGGTGCACTAAAACCTCAGATTGGTTACAACTATTGTCCAAAGATTGCTCAATTACTTTTCTTCATACCCCTGACCTTGCTAGAGCCAAAGACTTACATACCTGTCACTACTGGCGGGGATATTATCTTTTGTTCTTGCTCGAAGAAAAGTTTAAGTGACTTGCTTCCTTATTCGAAACACATCTTCATTCGATACATTATCCAAGTTAACTGTTGTTGCATAAAAATCTCGGCTAAATTGCCTCACCATCAACGACAGTGATGAAGTGCACATTTTAAGTTTTATAGTATTAAAACCACTTGGCTTCGACACTTACGGAGACAGTATAGCGAGAGTGTAACAACAAATCAATTAACAGATAATTTTGCCTACACTTTAACTGAAAGCAACACAGCGGTGCGTCATAAAACCAAGAGACGCCAGGGTTAATGCTCTTACATTTGTTTTCTAGACGCATTAGGTCGTTAAACCTTTTAAGGTTCAAGATCTTATTGTTAAATCTCCCCTTTAGCTGCTCCTTGTAAATTAACTACGAGAATTTGGTGTTAGATCAAGATAACAACTTCTATCTGATAGGTTTGACTATTCCTATTCACCTTTTTCCTGGCTAATGTATGGATATTATATGGAGAAGTTACACATGCTAACCACTTGTGAGTGTTAAAGGGCTGATGGAAACCAAACTTCTTGTATACCGTCAACGCCTCTATCAGATGGAAGGCTCATTGGGGCAGGAGTCCTACCAGAGAGGGGGAAGAGGAGGGGGCACTCACTAAATATTCTAACAGAGAGGCCAAAATGGGGTCATTACTTTTCTGCTGACCGTCTCCCGGCTCTGCTACACAATGTGTGCAATATACAGTTAAGATGAGTTTGATTTGAGCACCGCTACCCACAATTCACAATGGGTTCCAACTGTATTGTTACGAAAACTAACCATATGCAAAACATACTTACTGTCAAAATCCCTAAGATTCTCTGCTAACTCAATGCTGGAACCATATATCTGCGATCCATCGATAAATGAAGTGATAGTATTGAGCTGCTCACGGGGCGTTACGTTTTCGTTATCAGTTTGGCAAGCAGCCGCTGATCTTGTGAACATGGTACATCCGGAGTCATCTGCGTACATGATGGGAAAGCACGGTGGCTCGTAATCCCCTGGTGATCGATCACAGCTAAAAGGAAATTGTCTTTTAGCAACGCTGTATCAGATGTACATATGATTGTGTCTGTCACTTCCTTTTGTCTCAGCTTTTATTGAACGAAGTGGAAAGTGGAAAAGACACTCACAAGGCAACTTAAGGCATCTTTACGTCGAATGTAGTCTATTGTGATAAACCCAAATTCAAATTGAAAGCGCTTGGATTAGTTTCAACCAAGGTTAAAGACATAATTGTCCTGATGATGAAACTAGATTTCTACTATGGTGAAGTACAATAATGGTTTAACATACCCTACATGATTGACAAAGCCCAGGAGATGCTGCCAGCATCGATGGGCTAAACTTAAAAAAATGATCCCGTGGTACACTCACTTTGGTAAGAAGCATTTTTCTGCACCTTCGCTTTCTGCTGTAAAGGAGAGATCATGGTCCAAAAACTGTCCCCATTGCATCATCATGTGCGAATATCGGTTTTTGTTTCCACTAGCCTCGGTTACGTGAATGATGAATTCTTTACTCACACGGTGTGGCGAAGGAAGCTCAGGTGCATACGGCTGATCTGGAAATCCCGCGGGATCTGATAAGCCATTTACATCATAATAAATTGGGTCTAACATCCGAGTATATGGCGTGGTTGCTGCGCCCCAAAGAGGGTTATCAAGGTTGTTGCAGGTACCATCAAAGGTTCGGTAGCGTGAATGGTACTCAGTGTCGGAGCAATCGGCTGTAGGCATGGAGCAGTTTAGTTCTTCGATGATGTCGGACAATCTGTTGGCTGAGGCAACGGTGCTTGGGCCTAGTCTCACCGACACCACACCTGATCGTGCACGTTCATCTACTGGGAAAGACAAGTCAAAACGGACGGACGAAAAATGTAACATAATTTGCAAAGAATTGTTGGCTATTTCTTCAGTTCAACAATTAGAAATTGGTTTAATGAAAAATCAAATCATTTGCAAAAGAGAGTAATGTTCAGATTTTAGAACGGAAAATAGCATATGAGTTTGGATGTTTCGTCAACTAGAAAACCAACAAGATTTTCGAGATTGCTTGACATTTCCTTACAAACATCTTATACAGAAACAATTCAGAATGCTCAATTTATTCCAAAAAAGACGTTAAGGATGACCGAGCTTTACAAGAGGGGTTTGATATCCACCGGCAAATCACTTTTTCGAACTAAGAGAAAGACCTATAGTCTTATCACACTCAAGAAGAGCATTCAAGGATGTAATTAGTATCCACGTTCAGCCACGTATTATCCGTTACACACTAAGGACACATCAGTCTTTGAGGGAGTTTTCTGCATCTCGTAGACTCCCTTAGACGTTCGTCTCGATTCGTCTCTCAAAAAGGTGTTTGGACCAATTTTCGTTTCCCTTTAGGTTATTCTCTTAATCATGATAACAAACAATGAAGAGCAGTCCAAACATTTACGTTACGTTGTGATTTCTAAAGTAATTTAGTGTTTCATCAATTAATCAGCGTTTTTTCCTTATTTCCGGTCTTTTGATACCAACTCCTGATAACTCGACTGAACCTTTATTGATTTCCCTTGAAAGCGGTTTGAATTACTGGGATTTGACTGTATAATAAAAGTAAAAAGAAACTCACCAATCAGGTCATCTGCCACTTCACGCTTAATTTCCCTGATTATTTTGTTGAACTTTAAGTCTGCGTTGGAAATTCTTTGGGCTTCACGGGATGGTCGCCGAAACAGACGATGTAGAGAGAATTCTGTTCGGCCTCTCGAAGATTTCTTTTTGTTGTAAAAGGAGGCGTTCTTGTGAGATCGCAAACGGTCAGAGCTCAGCACGATAAAAGACCTGTTATTAACAGCCTCCATAGAAGACTTGACATAGTTATTACCAGCATACTCTGGAACTATAACAATTGACACCTGCGTAGACGCAAATACGTTTGGATTCTCTTGAGCCCTGGCAATGACCTGAAGCACAAAGTTGGCTGGTTTCTCACCAGATATGAGGTCTGTCAGATCCCTGTCGATCTTGAGGGAACCTTTGATGGGATTAAGACTGAAGAAAGGGCTACGATTGAACGGATCGACAGACTGAACTCTGTACCGTATGGAAGAATTTGTTAGGCCCTCGCTTTTCTCAGCTCTTAGGTGCAATATAGTCTGTCCAACGATCATGGTGTAAGGAATAATGACTGAATATATTGGACTGGGGAATTTCAACCCCTCGTCAGCGCTAAGGCGGGGTTTCTTTAGAGGAGAAGTTGCTCTGACTATGACCATGGCATAACTGGACGATACGTTTCTATAACGTGCCTTAACTCTGAGGCGATAAACGGCGTTTATCTTGAGTTTACGGCGAATGGAAATAGTACCTGTGGGATTAAAGTAAAAGGAATCTAGAAACAAAAAGTTCCAATGGCAAAACAAAAGGTAAAACTAAATGAATAGAATTGGAGCTTAGGCCCTCGACCCTTCATAACGTTTGTACGATTATCATGGTATGCAAATGTCATCGGCTGAGCAAGGAAGTCAAATAGGATTTCAACATTACCGATCTCTGGATCCATGTCAAACCGTGTGCGGGTTTTGGCTCTGACGCGTTTGCCGTTCACAGAGATGATGTAGTAACGAAGCGATCGTTTGGAGTTTCCAGTGTTGGCATGCACTGTAATAATGGATGTACCGGGTGGGGCTGTTGCTTCTACTGATGCGTTGTAACGCCTCTTTGAGAAGGAAATCACAATGTCCTCTGAAAAAAGAGAAATAAATCTGCAAACGTCCAAAACTGGGCTTATGTGTACCGCAAGGGAAACATGATCAAGCCGACCAGTTTAAATTTATCAATCGACTATTAAAGTTCTTCCTACAAACACATTTAGGAATCTTTTCTGCCATTTTCTGGCCACTCCTTTAGAAAATTGCAACCAAACTAAATAACACTTTTGTCCGAAGGACGTCTGCATTTGAAAGCATACATGCTCTTAAATTAGATACCAGCATAAAGAAAGTTTATTTCTTAGAGATAAACAGGAAAATTTTGAGGAGCATAAAGAAAGTTTATTTCTTAGAGATAACAGGAAAATTTTGAGGTAGAAATGCTGCCTCTCCAGTATATTCCTAGCTCTTTCATTTCTACTCTCTTCTTGCTCATCGTAACCGTGGGTAGCTTTTCTGTTGCCCTGCTTTTGGCGCAAAAGTTCCGAAGAGAACGTTCATGAGACGGACAACTCTTTACCACAAGAGAGCGCATTCATCAATAACCTTTCAAATCGGCGCCCTAGGCTCCTTGAAATTAACAATTGTTCTCATATAGCTAATCTTTCTATTCGTGAACATCCGTCCGTCCACTCAGACACATACGAACATGGGCTCAACCCAAAACCCTGCAGTCTGCAGGCTTATTCTCGAAACGTTTCCAAATCTAGGGCAGCGGTCATCTTTCTTTTTTAGGTGTTTGCTTACCCTCTGACTGTCTGCCTGTGACACTTCGAGTAATTTTATCCGATATTCATTTGATCGTGACCTTATTTATTTTCGAGCTTCTTCTATTGAAAAGTGTGACTTGAGTGTAAGCTGCCTAATATAATGCACCGCTCACCAACGCATCTTTTGCTATCTGGTGAAAGATGGTATCCCAATCTGCAGGTACATCTGAAGCTTCCTGGGGTGTTCAAACAGTCATGATGACAGCCTCCTTTCGCAAATTCCGAGCACTCGTCTATGTCTAATGGAAAGAAACAATTACCACATTGATCAGTTTGACTCAGATATCAAATAGTATCAAGATCTATCAGAAATTTATGCACATATTGCTGTTTGGTAAAGTGACAGATGTACGCTAAATTATTTTTTTACCTACTTGAACTTTTATTTCTGGTCAAGTATTTTGGCTTCTCTTTTACGGAGCTCCTCCAAGCGGATGCCGCTTTGGAAATATTACTTAATACACTTGTCTTTTCGAAAAAGTGAAAAGTGAGTCAGTTCGACTTACACTGCACTTAGAACTTCTAAGTCTCCTCAGTCCGGAACTAAAGAATCAATTTACCGCTGAGTGTTTGCGTCGCCGAAGTAAGTGCCGCAGAAGTCAAGTCACCTCAATACACTATGAGAAAGTTCCACTAGATAGAAATTGCAATAGGTCATGTATCTGTTTGGTGGTGCCTCGACTACATCTCGCTATGATACATATAACCGAGGTTTGTACTTTCAAGCCAAATAGTACTTTACTAGTCATATTCGAAATTCGACTCAGTCACCCCAGTTGTGATAGAGCTAAACTGGCTCTAGCTTGAGTCTTTCAGAGTTTTAATGCATCGCAACTCGTGAATAAACATCGTTCGTGCGCACTTTCCATGAAATAATCTCTATACCTTGAAAAGTATTATTGTATGTAACACTTTCCATAAGGATTGCAACGAGACTCATATGTAAACCTACTTCACTAGTACTCAATGAAATACAATTTAGAGCAAAATGGAGGGAGCTTCATTTACGGCCATTGCATCTCCGCTTGTAAGGAAAGGAATTTTTAGGTCTGAAAGGTAAACATTTCTTTTAAAAGCTCGAATCAACTTTGGTAGGTTTTTTTTTTGCTATTTTAAATGAGCATACATATTTTCATTTTTTATCAGCATTTTTATTTTAAATGTGCAAATAATTTACAAATTTAAATACCAAACATTTGTCATTTTTGCGCAATTATTGCGCAATTATGCGCAATTTTCTTCTCGAAATCTAAATCAGGAATCGAAGTTTAGTTGAACTCAGACCTTATACAAAATATTTTATCTGTTATTATTATTTTATTTATTTTATTAAAATGAGTGATCAACTTACGTTAGAGAGTAACCAGGTAAGTAAAGACAAAGGAACATTTGTCGTTAGCCAGAAGTGACGTTGATTTAACATTTTTTTCGTTTTCGGCTCTAATCATTATTTTTCAGTTTGCGAGTGCTGGACAGGGTGTTCGTTTTTCAACTCTGTGAGTGTAACTCTCTTAAATTATGGCGATATGGGGACCAGGGCAGTTCTCGTCTCATTAAGGAGCAAACTCAAGATTCAACATAATAAGGCTGTATGATTCAAGCGATGCCCTCACAACGATCCAATAGAAGCTCTCACACCCCGCTTGTTTTCCCAACCTCCTCATGCACACAATTGGTTCTTCTTTTCAACACGCAAGCTTTCTTAATCGTGAAAGCTACATCCAATCAAAATATCCGTCAGGCTTCTGCTTTTACAAGATGGGTTATTGGATTGATTTCTGGTTTGATTCTAGTGATTCTACGTTTCCAGAAAGCTTTTAAAACGGCAGCTTGCTGTTATTTTGAACCCTGAACAAATGTTCTTCGGTCACTCTGTCCACATTATCTGTTCACAGATAACTCGTTTGATTTTTGGTTTGATTCTAGTGGGACCTTCGCTAAATCATTTGATTCTTTTGCTATTTTGAGTTCGCGGAATGACCCGTTTCGAAATATACGCTAGTTACACGAGCCATCTTTTAGAGTGGGTCTACCGCGAACGGTGTGTGGGTCTGTATGCTTGAGCGTAGAAAAGATGACACCATTCGCTAAGATATTCGACAAATCCGCCATGTTCAACATGGCTGAAAGAAAGTTGCGCCTCTATTACGTGTCTGCGGTATTCCCCATTGCACGTGACTGAGCTTTGTGGAGAATCCCGAGGGTAAACCTATAGTCGGTCGCCCGACTAATCATATGCTTACAGCTGTACTGCACTTAAAGCCGTCTAAAAACACGATAAAGACGATAAGCTTCCAAGTAACGTTTGCTTTTTCGAATTGAATTGGTCCCGAATATCCCCTTACTTACTCAAGAAGTTTTGCTCACTAAATAAGGAGTTCCGATTAAACACCACATATCTTACGACATTTTATCATATAAACTACGGTGTTATACAAGGATTTCCAGCCCTAGAAAAACCGTAACAACACACGTGAAAAATACGATATTTTTTCACGTGTGTTGATATCGCCAATCAGGCAATCAGACACGTCACTCGCCTTTTGCGCCACTCGGTCAGGTTGATGAATGAACAGCAAAGCCTTCCCCATTCTCAGTCCAAGGTAGTTTGTCGGAATTTTCTCGGATTATGGCTGCTGGAACACTAAAAAATCCGTATCGCTTACAGATCGAGACGTTCAAACTTTCCTAGAAGGGGAGGAAAACCAATATACGAAAAGGAAAAGTGAAAGTTACGTATTCAGCGGCTTTGGTAATAGCATTTCTCGCGGCTAAGAACGAAAATCGACAACTGGAAGATTTGCCACGGGCCGATTTGGCCGTTTACCTGAAAGATTATTCTGTCGGTAAAGACAAAGTCAATGAACGATAGAATTTTGTAAATTGAAAATTACACAATCATTGTTTTTGTAATCATGAATCCACGCATATTTCAATCTTGAGCCTCAGCGTCAACGTACTGTACGATTTATTCGGAAATTGTCGATTCCTTTATTTTCATTCACTAATAAAGTCGGCTTTTTCATTTCGCCCCCGTCCCTGTTCTACCCCCCCCTTTTTTTTCTCAAAAGCCCCAGTCCACAACTTTTCGTTTCTTTTAGGAGCCACCCTTTCTAATAAGCCCAATTTCACCATCCCTCCAATCCTCCCCCCCCCCCTTAATCAAAACATAAGAACAATGGTCTTCTTGTTCTTTCTTTGTGGGGATAAGTTGCTTAACAGTGCAAAATACAGGTTTCAATGTGAGCAAAGAAATGCATTTTGTTCAAGGTATCCATTAAATCTAGACGGCGATTCAAAAAATACCTTACCAGCATACAGTGCTACACCATATACCACTGTATAATGTGCTGCTGTACATAAATTCTCCTCTTTCAAAATCCTATCGTATGGAGGCTCTACAGACTAATAAGCCCCTCCTCACACCCTTCCCCTCCTTACTCCCTTCCTTGTCTTTTTTTAGCGCCGCTGTTATTCTCTAAGAGCTTATTGCCGCGCAAAAACGAACAAAAGCGGAAAAAGAATTAGACAAAGGTCGACTAATTAGCTTACCTTCTGCTCCAAACCAAGCTTTGAAACCTCTTCGGCCACCATATCTTGACTTAAAGCGTACCCACATTTCATTTCCAGGGGATGTGACGTTGCTTGGTTTCTGGTCTCCACAAAACACCACGGAGTCCTTACTAGTCCTAACAACGTTGAAGTAGGTAAATCTCTGGCGTCGAGTGCTGACCATTACATACTCTTCCCGGCATGCTTTTGTCCTGGTTACATCAAAATGTGGATCAAAATAAAGATGGATCCTGTAGCCCTTCTTTACAATAATACGCCATATGCAGGTTTGAAGAGGATTGTAGCTCTTCGGGTAACCAGGGGACTTAATAACACCAGAATGCCCTGTGATTTGATAAATCCGACGTTGACATTTTCCTAAAGATAGAACAGGTATTTAGTGAGAATGGCGCACAACTACAAGAATAACACTAGAGAATACTTGGTTCAAAACTAAAAAGAACATATTTAAGGTAAATCTCTGACATATTAAAAGATGGAATTCCAGACTGAAGTTGCCTAGTTGTGCTTTCTCTAAGCCTAACACTGTATCCGTTTGTGGTTTGTCATTCGTTTGTTTCGTCGTTCCATTGTTCGGTACTCGAATTTGATTGGAACTCAGTTAAATTGTCTCTTTAAATTCGACTAGGTTTGACAGTCGGAAACAATTGAACGTACCAAAACACCTAACCAATTAAATGCAATCGAACCTACGGTAATCGAACCCTCTGTCGTTACAACGCAACCCCTGAACTCCTAAAGGTCGATTGGGCTCCAATATTGTATTAACAGAGACTAAGCCAGCGTTTAAAATCGGTTTCACCAAGTTACCAAGTTATGCTTGGTCTTGAAACATAACAAAACGCGTATTAATCCTTCTTATTCTTCGAGTTCTTTTACGCAACATCATCTGAGTGAACTTATCAAGTACGAAGCGACTAGGTAAGATTGATTCGACTGAATTCGATAATCGAACTCCGTCAACAAAAACTTGGATTTCCACTGTCTTCGATCGTCGGACCAATAGCTCAGCAATCAAAAGGTTGTTTTTCAAATCAGTCCGTTGGTTTCAGTTTAATTAGTTACAGCAAGATCTGTCTATCGAAGAAATCGACTTAGTTTTGAACAAGGCACCACTCAAATGCTTGATATTTAGATGTGGCCAACTCGCCCGCGTCTGGTGAGAGGAATTATTAGTCCTTCTATAACATATTTTGAAGCATTTTCTCTTGTTTGCTAAGCTGTGCAAGACTATCAGAGAGTGTGAACGAGCAGAAGGGCGAGTGCTCGTTAAACGGCGAGCGCCCTTTGCCTCTAGCTTGTACCTTCGCACGTCCCTATGACTGAGAGCCTCCTGGAAGGCTACATGTTCGTTCTTTCTTGTGTACTTCTCTCATCTGTTCTTTTGATCCCCGATTACATGAACCAAGCTGTCTTTCCAGATCAGGTCTAGCTAAAAACTTGCTCGCTCACCATCCCTCCCCACCAACCTTCCACAAAAAGGACGAATGTTTGGCCAAACTCCTACTTTATATGCATAGTGCGTGGTCCAGAGTAAACATTGAGTTTCGATGAAAACTTCTGAAGAATGAAATATCCTGTCGACTGAGTGTAATTACTCTTCTCGTGCAGCACATTGGCTGAAGAAATCAGTAAATGGAACTCGCACCATTTGAACAATGGATATCTAATACGTTATACCGAAAAAAACAATATTATTAGGTTGATAATTTCTTCGCGAAAAGTCATTTGATACCTAATTTTGTCATTTGCGAAGCATGACATGCTCTCTGATGTTTTGAAAGAGAGGGGTCACCCGTTGACTTAAAATGTTTTCTTAGTGAGATAATTTCTCTGATTCCTTCGAATCATGCTCACTACAAAGCTGATCTTTCCCTGACGCTGAATCCTGTAAAAAAAACCTCTTGATTGCTCAACATCGCTGTATTTTTATAGTGTGATCATAAAAGCATTTATATATTCTGGCACGAAAACCTAAGCAGAGAGAATCTTTAGGGAAGGTGCTTACTTGACGAGCCACCACGAACGAAAGTGATGAAATATCAAACTTACCTGGGGGATCTTCTGTGACTACTGCACTAAACAAGTATGTTCTGTGATGGGAAGCAAAAGACACTGATTTAGTAATCGCTTTCATGTACTGACGCGCACTAAGGAAAGAAGCTAATTCTTACGTGTATCTTTCGAAGGCTAGATTGTGGGCAGACTTACCTTTCAATCAGTGAATACGATTACTCTAATACCCTGGAGGTTACGTTACTAAAAAGAAATGGTACTTACAATACAATGACAACCTCAAGAAACCTCTTCATTCTGTGTTTGGTCTGTTATTAGTTGACGTAATCACAAGTTTGCCACGAATTCTGTGGACTATTCTACCACAAGCCCCACGGGAGATGAGCATACAATGTTATGTCCTTTGTGAATGGTTGTTGGCTTACAAAGGGGAAGTGCGTAAAACCGCAAGCAGACAAAGTGTAATGTTTACACGAAACTTATTATGATTCGAGCGGAAGTGAGATCGCTCGAAGCGATCAATGAGATTAAAAACGACTAGTGGGACTCCCCACGGCTTAACACTGAATTCGCTATTCTAAAATTTAAAATTATTCCTGTATGGAAAGAAATACAATGAGTCGTAGTCTTTTGTTTCAGAGTAATTAACTCACTTGTGCTCATTTACTTGACCTCTTTTTTGAGAAAGATGTGTTGACAATTTTGCATGCAATGTCTTCGGGCTACTTTTTAGGGGTCCGATGTCAACAAATATCCTTAATTCCATCCCATCTATATCCTTAAACATTGATTGACGCAAAATTGTGTCTCAACAATTCTTAGCCTATAAAATACAAAAAGTCGCTTATCCTGTTGCAAAGAACAGAGAACTTGCTCAGCTTTGAGATTTGTCTGGCTGTCAAGAATTTTTGCTACATGATAAATCTGACAGGCGAAACAGCAAACAAAGAAAGCAAAGAACAAAATAAAAAGCACAAAAATAAAATAAAAAGACCAAATAAAAACTAACCGAAAAGAGAGCAAACAAAAATAATAATGATGCAAAAAAGATCTCGAAAAGCATTGAAATTTCACGGCAGTAACACGCACTCTCCATAGACTCATGTCGTCGATCTCTTGTTCGTTAGAAGTATCTAAACAACCTCATACAAATAGAACCTGTTTTCGTTCGGTTGTAGAGCAGCTGGATACGTTGTTTCTTAGGAAACATCAAAAACACCCAGACAAGAGAATGAATGGTGATGGGAAGTTCCTTCAGCAGTTTATCGCTCGGAGGCTGGGCAGTATTCAACAGATTAAATTCTCTTATTGGAGACAATGGAGGCGGCACAACCTTCTGGATTAATATGATGTTCACATCATGCGTCTCCTTGAATTGTCCCCATACGCTCATAATGATGATAACGACAGAACGGTGTATCCTTCGATTTATCTTACAATAATGTAGTTTATGTATGATTTCAAATTCTGGCAAATGAAAATGGATTTTAGAACGAGGTCTTCAACAAAAACTGAGCTTTGGGAGCCTTTTGATGTAAGTATATGGGATATGTTAAAGAGCCATCGATTACGCTAAAAAAAAATATCTGTTAAAGCAGAGCAAAATACGATTTGGTGACAATAGTCTGCAATGTTTTATCAGTTTTATTGGGAAAGCGTTACTTGTCTACTCGAAACACTTTCGGAGGGGAAATTCATTTAACATCCACTTCCTTTCATAAAATATTAAAATATATGATGAATATTTGCAACAAAGTAGTTGAGCTGCAACGTGTAGGCGGCTCAGTTGGCCGATCAGTTTACATATCCTGATCACTTCAATAATGCCGGATCCTCTACCTTGCGCTTACAGTCACTCCTGTCAACAAGGAGACAGGTGTCAATCACTTTTAACAATACATAAAGGCTTAGTAGCGATGGGCGCGTGCCAAAGAGTGAATGGTCGAACTGTAGCATCACGCGTCTACCTTCTTTACGCAACCCAAGTGAGGAATTTTCGTAAATAACCATGGTACTTTTTAGGTAGGTCATTTCTTTCGTCAACGAGTCTACGGAAAAACAGATATCCTTCATTTATCATTGTTTTTGTCTGAGAATGAATTAAGATATTTGGTCACGTCGAATGTAACTAGCTATCCCTAATGTTTATCGCAGATCAAAGGATCGCCTGCTCTTGCCGCTTCTTCTAGTCATTGGCATTCGTTTCTCAGGTACTGTTGCTAGTGTTGAGAATCCAATATTTTAACTAATGGTAACTAGTCACTCATAAAAAAAACATTTTGTTTAAGTTTTAAAGGAAGTTCAACATCTTCCTTATTCTCAAGCGAGGTCATGAAATCAACATATTTTGGTGTACCATGTTTCGCTTGGGTTAAGTCCTATTTTCAACAAATAACAATTACTTATTACGTTTGAATTTTGCAAGTCGATTCAAATTGTTGCTTTTATTTCTTTTCTTACACATTTTTCGAAATTTGAGACTCCAAGGCATGGCTTGGAGTTTGGACGCTAACGAATCTGACATGAACTAGGCTTTGCGCACGTACCAGGTACTTGATGTCTATCCCTATAAATGTCCGATGACCAACATTTTTTGAATGATACCAATCAAACTGGCTTTACTTTCGTCTGATGTCACCTTTGAAATATCCATCACTGTTACACATTTGTTTACAAAGAAATCGATCCATGATTTTATCAAAACAGATCCGTCACTATCGATTCGACAGGAGACATTGATGCCGCGCAAATAATAAAAAAACCTTTTAGAGGCAATCATTTTAGATTTAGGTGTGCTTAAATAGTGTTCGAGATATCGAGGTAGTTTTTCCTGGCAAGAATATCATTTGCTGAAATGAAAGCGTGTGTAGATAGATGCACTGCATTGTATTATCTCATCTCAGTTGGTTAAGCGCTGGCTCCCTGCTTCCTCTCAGCTTGGCGCCAAAATAATGACCGCAGCTTAGAACCTGAAGCGTTTATACCTCGCTGCCAATGCACAGCCCCTTAACGTTGAAGTTTTTAAGTCTTCAGCAATCTTCTAACGTGTAATCTTTCTTGATAATTTTATGACTAAAAAGGGCGGTGATAATTAAGATGACTTAACCATTGACCGGAAGTCCTATCACTATTCACTTTGGAGAGCGCTGTTATCAAATGTGGCGCTCGTCTGTACTTTGTTAGAAATACTAAGCTTGTTGCGGTGATATGTTTTCGTACAACTTAACCTGCTCGAAAGGGAAAACTAAAACCCTTCCTTTCAAGTACGTTTTTTTCGGTATGTGGGTACATATCGTAATAAACTTTGTACAGATCGAGACTTGAAACACAACAAAACTTAATGTTAAAATAGCCTGCACGATGGGAACTTTTCCTGTGCTTATTTTGTTTACATTGAAAGTATTATTACGGCTTAGAATAGATGGCCTTTTGGACCAAAAAAAAAAGTTGAGGAGGTCAGATTTCGAATGGCCTGTTTGTAGAAAAAACAATTCATGCGTGTATCCATCGATTTTTTCTGTATGATTTTATTTGTTCATCGTTCAAATTTAACTGACGATATAAAATAAACTTAAAAAAAGATTAATTAACATCTGTTGCTCGCTACTGAATCAAATAACACATATTTTTCATGCCTTGCCAATAAAAATGCACTTTTTTTCATGGGCATTTTATTATGGCAATTATCATTCGTTGTTATTTTTAGCTCAACCCAGTGTGATACAAAGTAAATTAAGCCTTGTAATTTAGAGTGACGAGTAGACTGATAATTAACTTTTCTTTAGCGCGTTTAGAACCCAGCAACGTCGTCAATCATCCGTATAATCCCGACTTGGAACATTTCAACGGTTGCAACGTAATTGGCTTATCTCGCGTCCTCTTTTGATGAACCGAAGGAATCAGGCGATTCTACAAGTAAACTAATACTGTATTTCCTTTATTAAAGTTTCGGCTGTTTAGTTTGGTACTCAAGCTTTCAACTGCTACGGCTTACGAAAGTTAAGCTCTCAATCAGAGCCGTTGCTTTCCTGCTTACTGGCTTTGAACGGATCAAGTTTAGCCTTCCGTAAATCGTGCCCCAACAAGACATTGTATACTTGAAGTGTTTGTGTGTGTATGAGTTTTTTTAATGGCGAGAAGATCTCTGAGGTGCTAAATTGCGTAGCTCCTTTGTGTTAAAAACTTGAAGACACATGCTATATCTATATTTTCCTGGCGTTCTCTCGATAATTTGTCAATCAATTCAGGAAGATCAATCAATTCAGGTGAATGATAGAAATCGAACTGGAATTTTCATTTTTTGGGCTCACGTCACGACAAGGTTAAAATTCACGTCACCACCAAATTTTTATGCTTGGTCAATTTATCACATTGAGTCAAATTTCACCCATGGAGAGATTTCGATGGCGTTTTTGAGATGTTCCTTTTCCATTGCAATTTGATCAAAAATTTGAAATAAGCAGTTGTCGATATTGACATTTTCCTGGACATTGCGCATGGACATTTCTCTGTTTGCAATTCTTTTTGGGCGATCCTGTCCCATCTTTACGTTGAATTAGTAAATGGTACTCTTATGTAAACGTGTGGAACCTATCTGTAAACTTCAGTTATTTCTCAGAGGTATTTTCTTTACGCTTCACCTATGACTTCCGGATTGCCTCTTCGCAAAATCACGATCATTATCAGCAGGTGACGCGAAAGTCACTAAGCTGTCTGATGAGTGTATGTAGCAACAATGTCACAAATAAAGGAAGACTTCATATAAATAATAGGGAGGAGATATAGTTCTAAAAGGTAGAAAAGCTCCGAAGGATCATGCTCACAAAACGATATATTTATGTCAGAGTTTATATTAGGTCTAAAAGAATGTTATCGACTAACGAAAAATCAAAACTCTTGATTGACTTTGAAGAAAGAGTTCAACGACTTATCTAAGAGCTTGAAGACTAAGCTTGAAAGCTAGGGCTGGCTCATGTTTCTTTCAAGACATGAAAGTTTTGTAGACAAAGTTGCACCTGAGGATCACGTGCAAAGGTTGGACTGGAATACCTCTGATTTGATTTGAAAATTTACTAACTCGGAGTTTGGGCTCAGTATTGGATATTTTAGTTTGATCCTTGATTTTCAAGTACACACAGAAAACATTGAGTGGTATTGTAGTCGTCATGTGATGTGGAACCTAAACCTGCGAATATTGAAGATTACTTCGTTTTGAAAAAAATTGATCTTGTGTTTTGCTCTGAAACGGAAAGTTTAAATTTACAACGTTTACAACGAAACACTTTTCCTTCACTTTTACCATTTTCGACTTGATTTTAATGTTCTATATACTGATTTTCAAGGAAAGCCTGAAACAAATATTATCTTAAACGTGAAAATTTGGTTTTATCAACCGAGTTGATAAAGTAACCTGGCCACTGTAAAGAGTTTCCAAAGCTGACGTTTCGAGCGTCACACGTCAAGAATTCTATACCTTTTTCTTGTTTCTGTCGTTTAAGAGGGCCAACACCGCGCCCAACAAATTGATCGACAATCAGCACTACAAACGGCACAGAACGAAATACCCATCCATTCCATTCACTCTCACATTTCACCCTCACAACCACGCAGTTAAATCTATCCTTCTTTAAAACTTACTTCAAAACGATTTAGAGACTGGTACTATGTTTTCGAAACCTCCACTAATTACATTCAAAAGTGACAAAAACATCAGTAACTTTTTGGTCAGAAGTTAATTTCCAAACTAAGACCAACCGGGAACTTTCAAATGTGCTCGCTCACTGTGGAAAACTTGTCCTTTCATTCATCACGTGGAGAAATGTCGGGACCCAGGAGATCTGTGAAGATCACTGATCATTTCACGTGCACCTCCGCCAGTGTCATCTATTGCATGAACTGCACTTCTTGCAAAAATTTATACAGTGGTGAAAGAGGAAGACGACTGGGTGACCGATTCCAAGAACACCTTCACGACGTAGAAAGAAATGACAGGGACGTATTCAAACTAGTCGCTAGACACTTTAATCTCCCTAATCATTCTAAACAGTATATGGCAGTTTACGGCCTTTTCCTGAATCTACGCAGTTCGGAAAGCCGCAAAACTCTAGAACAAAAATTTATATTTCTTAATCGGCACTCTTAATCCCCAAGGTATCAACGAGCGCTTTTCATTTAACTAACTTATTCTTGTTTCCTCGTCACCATATTCCTGCCAATAGCATAGCATAAAAACATACACACAACCCACAATTCCTCCATTCGCTCTGACAAAGGACTAACGCTCGAAACGCCAGCTTTGAAACTCTTTACGGTGGCCAATTTACATGATCAACTCACTTGATAAAACCAAATTATCTAATCATACTTTCAACCGACGTAGCTATCACATTTTCTGAAGAAACTTACCCTCTTTAATCTTAAAGGTGTTGGCTGTCCTTAGTCAAAAAGCAAGGCATTTCCTTTTTCTCTCAACTCATCAATATATTAATTGACTTCAGATTCGTCTTGCGGTGGAGCTCTTAATGGCCGTCATGGAATTATTCAGTCGCCAAACTTTCCTGACACGTATCCAAATAACTTGCACTGTGTGTGGAACATAACTGTGGCTACAGGCTATCGGGTGAAAATTCGGTTCACAGCTTTTGATGTAGAATATTTCAAATATTGTGAATACGATTGGATTTCCATGCGTTCCGGAAATAGTACTCATGGAAAATTTTGTGGCTCTAAAAAGGGAGTTCATCGCATTCCCCACGATCAATTAATATCACCAACAAACGAGGTCACTCTCATCTTTCACTCGGATTACTCCAATGAGGAAGTCTACAAAGGTTTCAGAGCACATTACTCCGCTGTTGGTAAGTACATATTTCTTTCTTACCACATTTTTTGTATTACTTGGTTCACATTAACCGAGCAGGAGGTCTGTAGCGGAGAATTTTGACTGAGATCGCAAGATACTCCTCTACTGAAAACCCTAATAGGTTAATAAGATGTTCATTGACCAAAAAAGAAATCCAAAGGACATAATATAAATAATCAAATAATTCTGGTTCAAGCCTTTAGCTGCCCTATTTCCGTCGCTACTCTTCAGTTCAAAAAGGAAAAAAATTAAATGTTTAAAGTCCAGCTTCCAAACTTCCTGAATTACTGAAAACAAAATAGCTGTTCTTTCCATAATAGGCTCAAAAAAGAATATCTATAAATTGACCAAAAGTACAACAAATTTAAATGCCTGTCTGTTCCTCGATCGCAAGATCTGTTCTTTTTCATCCCTGCAATGTTAAACCCACCGCCACAGAGAACATTGATGTTGTACACAAAATCTCCAAGCTTGTGTTTTCTTTTATACTGCTCAGTAGAGGTTACCTTAATTTTTTTGCTGTCCCTTGCAGATGCAGATGAGTGCAAAAGGGATAACGGTGGATGTGATCATTACTGCCACAATTACATAGGCGGTCATTATTGCTCATGTCGACCAGGCTACAGACTTCAACCGGATAAGAAGTCTTGTTATGGTAAGTCTCCTCCTTTTTCCATAACTCTTCGTTTTCTTCGAAAACTTTTAAAATCTACTGATTGCTCAGGTAATATTCAACCAAGAGAGCGACCCATTCATTTCCCAAGATTAATTTTCCTGTCGTAATGTGGCTTAAAATTTATTGCCCCGTTTACTTTTGTTCGTAATTTTTAATGTTCGGGCATTCTTTAGTTGTTTGCAATAACCAGCAATTTAAAGCGAGGCGAGGTGAAATAGCTACTCCAGAATACCCCAAGAACTACCCCAAAAACTCTAGATGTGACTGGACCATTGAAGTGGAAGAAGGATACCAGATAACTTTAAGTTTTACTCAGGTAAGTTTCGTTCGTGATTTCTTCCTGTTCTGGAATAAATTGAAATACTCTTCGTCAATGAACATGCTGAATTATTTTATGATGGGAAAAGTCATGCTGGTAAATTTGGTGGATTTCTTTAAATATCTACTTTGGTTCTGTTCGAATCGTGCTCTTCTAAGTCATATCACTGCCCAAGTTCTGCTGATGCTATCTTTTTATGGCTCAATATGTTAAATTCAAATCTTAACCAATATAGTGAGGTAAGCGTATTTATTAATGCAAATGTTTTTGCAACAACTAATGGCACTGTTCTTGCAACAACTAATGGCACTGTTCTTGCCCACTAAGGATAAAGTAGGGTTGTTTGCAGTAACTTTATGGAAGGTTCTGTCCGAGACCCTATGACCCTTTTTGATACCAGACAATGATTACTAATTCTCATTTTCCTTTTGTTTTTGCCTTGATTTTTAAACCTGTCAGTAAATGCTCTTACCTATTTCCTCTATGCCATTATTGTCTTTCGTGCTTTGTCGTAAAATACGATTTTCACCTCGCACAAATATTATCCCAGGTTGGTTGTCGCGTTAACGAACTGTGGAATATCACAATTTCCCTAAACTCTTCCCTGATTATCGTGCCGCTTCGATAACAAACCACAGTGCATTTATTCTCCTGGTCATGGTTACACAAAGTTAATATTTGCCTACATTATATAATAATAACACTGTTGATTTGTTTTTGATTTTGGGCTTAGTTTGAAGTGGAGGATCATCCAGACGTGATTTGTCCTTACGACTACTTGAGAGTGTCAGCAGGCATCAATAGAAAGTATGGTCCTTTCTGTGGGAAGTCTCTTCCCCAGAACGTTACTTCATCTGATAACTACATGTACCTGGAGTTTGTGTCCGATGGTACTGAAAACTACAAAGGATTCAAAGCGATTTATGACACACATGGTAACGTTTTATCAAACGATTGTAAATAAATCCCTTGCAACCCACAAATGAAGTGCTCTGACCTTGCTCGTGAATTTTATTGGTTGTCTCGTTGTCTGTTTAACTGACTGATCTGTTTGTTATCATTGTATCATTGTTAGCCGAGTCGTCTAAGTTGTAGTGGCCATTTAATTAATTTTATGGTATAATCGTTGCATTATATTTTATTTATTAGCATTTTGCTTTTACAGGGTTACAATGCCCAATCTTACGCGCTCCACAGCATGGAAACATGACGGGGGATAGTTTTACGTTTAAGGACGTCGTACAGTTTGGTTGCGATGAAGGTTATCTTCTAACAGGCTCTGCTGTCAGGGAGTGTCTCAGCAGCGGAACCTGGGACGGAGATGTCCCTGAATGCAAACGTAAGTACAGTTACTCCTTAGGTGACTTACTTCTTAGAAGTTACGCCTTAGGTGAATGCGATCTTGTGGGGGAAAAGTTATTAAGGCCCTTTTGAACTCCGAGCATTACAAAGTGAAGATATAAATTTGATACTTTATAGTTATGATGCTTGAACTGGAGTCGAACCAGAGCACGGTATAAGCTGCTTTAAAGTCACTTCGTTGAAAGGAAATTTCAGAACAATTTTGATTGTGGTTGACAAGGCATCTTAACTTTAGGGAATCTCTATCGACAGAATGTGAATTGAGTGACGAGTCAACCTTAACTGCAAAATTTATTGCCGTGGTTTTTTACTTCTTTCAATTGCATTCGTTTATTCATCTCTCTAACGGCACAAGCGGTAAACTGTGGTAATCCTGGAATCCCACGTCATGGTAAAATGGGACAGACTGGATTCACCTACAAGAAAACCGTAACATTTTCTTGTGACAAGTATTTTGAGCTTCGAGGTCAGAGCACTAGACAGTGCCAAGCAGATGGAACCTGGTCTGGCGAACAACCCAAGTGTGTTGCAAGTACGTTAGCCTGGCTATAACGTAAATTTTTAATAACGCCTTTCTTTTATATTATATTAGGGTCCCGACCCTTCTCTTCGTTAGCTTATATTGGAAATTGAAGGGACCACTATCATAATGAAACCTAAAAGGCCGTTTGGAAAAGCAGCTTTGTGAAAATTAAAATAGAATGGACAGGACGTGCTTGCATGTCTTTTTAAGAGAACACGCAGAGATAAAAAGAAGAGTAATTTTATCGCCATTTTCGACAAATTTGAAATGAATATTAAGACAACAGATAGATATCAGACCACTTCTGTGGCAATAACCCATGCCACAAATTTATTTTGATTCCAGGGCAAATCATTCAATCTAATCTGTGAGTGATGTGAATTAGAATAGTTGGAGCGAGACAAATCATCGTTCTAAATTATTCTCGTAAGACCTAAATAACAAAGGAAAAGAGAGAGAAGTTATGAGGAACAAATGAAAGATAGAAAACTTACTTCTTTGCTTCTTTTTACAAACTTAGACCACATGTATTGAACCCACTGTTCCTGCCACAAACGAGTTTCCTTTTCTCTCAAATGATTTCAAAAGTCTAAGGGAGTGACCTACTGAAATGAACATCTTGGTGCAACTCGCACCAATTGTGGCTTCTAACGCGCTCGGCTGAGACAATTAGCTCATTTATTACACCCATTTTGAAATCACTGATGGTCCCTGTAATCTGATTGGCTCTACCTGGTGCGATTTATTCACGAATCGCACCATTTTTTTCTTTAAATCGCATCTTTTTCCCAGCCAATGAGGAGGCTACACTAAAAACAAAACAACCAATCAGACTTTAAGGCTTGTTTAAAGTAACCGATCAAATTGCAGGAAGATGAAAGACATGGAGTATCATGTGGCAAATTTTGCAACTTTTGTTTCCAAACTCTTATTTTTCCTCCCAAAAAATGGATGAATTTAAATTCAAACCGGCTCAGTATTGTGTGAATAAAATATTTGAACTGACCAAGTCCTGTATTTGGGCGATTTCAAAATGGATGTAATAAAGTGGTAATTGAACCTCGTGTTGTGCAATTTTGGTCTGAAATCGTACTTGTGATTTCAAATCGAACTCGCGCTGTGCGCTCGTTCAATTTTGAAATCACACTTATGATTTCAGCCCAAATTGCACTCCACTCAGTTCAATTACCATTATAAATGCCACTATTACTGAAACTTTATCCGCGCGTCTATCATTTTGTCTTCCTTGGTAGTGATTGCTTTGATGCGTTGGTATTTGTTAACAGTTTTTTCTCTACTGTTATCAATACAGGTTGTGGAGAAGTAGAAAACTTTAATTTCAGTCGTGATGTTTGTAGAAAGAGGATCGTTGGCGGCCAGGACTCATCCAAAGGGGCCTACCCATGGCATGTGTTACTTATGAAGGATGGTCGGTTGGCCTGTGGTGGAAGTCTTTTGAACGAACGATGGGTTCTAACTGGTGAGTCAATCACAGGCCCTTCTCGGTAGCTTTGCTACAAAGAGGAGAAAAATGATCAACGGTTTTGGAAACACTAGTTACTCTGATAAAAAATCAGTTTTCTTGACAGGGACTTGGTTATCCGCTATTTTCATTGTTTTTACGAAGTGTCCAACTCTGTCAATATCATCGCTATTATGTTCTGGTATGGCTTTGTCACGCGAATGTCTTTGTGCGTGCAGAGCTTGCTTGTTTTAAGGGAAGTGAGTTACTCCTTGGAAGTTTTAAAGAGTTTAGAGGAGGCAAATAATGAGGCAAACACAACCTTTTTAAGAGTATTCAACATATGAACATTTAAAAACTCTTCATAGATCTTTTACCAATGTTACTTAGTACGTCATTTTCATCTTCAGCTGCTCACTGCGTGACGAGCAAGCAATCAGACATTATCCCCCTTTCTCAACTGGATATTTTTGCTGGTCTACATGATATCCGCAAATTCAACGACAGCCACGTTCAGAGGAGAAGAGTCATAAAGATCATTAATCACCGGGACTTTAATTTCACTCTGTTTGAGTCTGACTTAGCGCTTTTGAAACTGGATCGTGAAATAAAAATATCAGATTACGTCAGACCTGTCTGTCTGCCAGAAAAACCTGAGTAAGTCAAACACTTATTTACTTGTCCAATTCTTTACGTTTTATGGGTAACAATATTTCTACGACTGTTGTAAAAGGTGAACATATTTGTGAAATTAACTACTTGATTGAGCCGTGCTGCCGTGGGCCGTTATTTTTCACATTTTTTTGAACGACAGCGAAAAAAGTTCCAAAGATCCTCTCCCTGCAAAGCAATGATTCTTGCCGGTTGATTTCCTGCTGTTGTGTCAAGAGAAGGGCCACAATGGGAGCAACTTTTCTTCTCTTTCTCGCTTTTTAGGCAGAAGAGTTTGTTTATGCGCGGAAAATTCGGCCGAGTGGTAGGCTGGGGTTATAGAGTGAGCCAGGACTCCATTGGGCAGTTTGCAAACATACTCAAAGAGATCTGCATTCCGACCATTGGCAACGATAAATGCCAAGCTGCCTTCAAGGATGAAGGATACATTGTGACTCCAAAAATGCTCTGCGCTGGTCAGGTTCAAGGTGGAAAAGATTCCTGTCATGGAGACTCTGGTGGTGGATTTGTGTCCATGAACCCAGTGAGCAGGAAGTGGGTACTGGGCGGGGTAGTGAGCTGGGGTAGTAGCCTGGGATGCGGATTACGAAATAAGTATGGAGTATATGTACGCGTCACAGAGTTTATCCCTTGGATCAATCGGTACATGTCCTGAGACCCCCTAAACTTAATCAAGATGTAACCAACTTATTTGGATAATTTAATCAGTGTATAAGCAAGATTTTCTCTATATCAGTTTGAGTTGGAGTTATTGAATCTGTTTTTTCTCATTTGAAAAAATACAAATGATGCACCTTTGCCTGTGAGTGTCGAAAGTAAACTGCTTATCAAGGTTAGCAGTTTGTTAGATCTCTCAGCATTATCTGTGGGTTTACTATTTTAGGTTGTATAATCTTACGGCAACAATTTTTGTCTTTCGGCTGATTTGGTGTTTACAGAGTGAAAGAGTAATATATAAAATGTCCAACTGAAATTTATGGCTTGCTTGATTAACTACTTTTACAATCTTTCAGGACTGTTTATCTTGTATCTAGATGTAGAAATCATTTTATGTAGTCTTTTTATTTATAAACATATATTTCTTTTAATCTTTTGGATTTAAATATCTGTTTTAAATATTGATTTACAAGAGAGTTCTAGTTTCCATTTACCAAAATGACTTAAGTAAGTCATACACTTTCATTACTTTTCAGAGCACTCGCTTTTAGTTATGTGATTCCAAACAATAAAGACATATTACCGTATGAGTAAATTTCACTTAAAGCCGAAAAAACGAGTCTTTCATACCTCTGGTATAAGAATGAAGAATTTTCACTGTAGGTAAAATCAGGAGTAGCAACCGTCTCCAGGGTATATCGGGCAATAATGATTTGTATCTTTCTGGGAAAGACTTAGTAGCTTTTTAAAGCGTATGCTGACGCAAATTTGTTGCTGTTATGTTATGTTATATTTTAAATACTGTTTTTATTGCTACAAATGTATATCTTGTTATTATTATTGTTAAGTTGTGAAGTTCTCTATTCTCTTCTCAGGAAAAGGGGGGGATACTCGCAAGACGCCAATTGTTTTTGTATTCGAGTCGCAAATGCTTTGATGTAACATGTCATAGAGACCTCGTTAGTCATCTAGACCGTTAGAGTTCTACAGTTTACCTCACTAGTACGATCCCTGTTACTACAGCATTGGAACTCGAGTGTGGGGTTCGATTCTTGAGTGGGAATTAAATATTTTCTTCGTACTACACTTGAAAGAAAACTTTGTTGAAACTGATTGATGTATAAAAGGAAAGCCTTCACTAAACAAAACGATTAAGATAAACAGAGTCTAATAGTTTGGAGAATCCTTTCCTTTAGTTCTGCAGTTACTTATTCTTCCTTACTAAAATCAAACTGCTAAGAGCTGTCTGCCCGAGAAGATTGTCGATGATGACATCTTAACATTTTGAACGTGCTTCTCAGGTGGTTGTTTCCATGTCTTCGGGAGGGAGGAAAGAGACGGGGAAGTTGTGAAGATATTGAAATGAGTTTGAGTACATTGACCATCCGCCGAAAATAAATTGAAAAAGGTTGACCGTTGTGGTTCGTGGCGGTTGTAGAGAGCTAATATCTGATGTAGGCTCAACCTTGTTTCACTTTTTTACCGTCAATTATCGCTTGGAAAATCGTCAGTTTTTTGTACGGAAAGAGTGACGATCTTTAATGTGGGATTGTGTTTTGGTCGAGACGAAACATAGAATGTTTTTCTCGCTAAGAATCAATGCTCAAAAGAGTGACGATCTTAAATGTGGGATTGTGTTTTGGTCGAGACGAAACATAGAATGTTTTTCTCGCTAAGAATCAATGCTCACGCCCATGGCCGTATTATTTTTCTCTTCGCCTCTTGTGGCTGCAAGGTATCATGTTTACATAAAAACGGTTATTAAAAGATAAAATCAAGGTAGTTCAATAAATGGAAATTAAGCTGCAGCTGACGTTTCTACAATATTTACAATTTTATTAGCTTGTAGTCTTGAGTTACTGTTGTGCAAACAGCCAATTTTCTTTGACTATACGCACGAAGAACATCTAAAATTGCGGTGTAGATAATTTGAAATATTTTTATATAAGTTAACATACAACGTTGTCACATACTAAAACAGAGGCTAGCGACACAGTTTCCTCGTCACCATTGTCGTTTACACTTTCATAAACCACATGGAAACCAGAGATTGCAAGACCTTACATGTAGCTACAAGTGAACTACATCAATCCATTTTTTTCGAAATTATTTCATTGTTCGAATAAATATGGAAAATGTATATGCGCTTTTAAATGTCTTGATTTGCTCGGTATTTGATAACTACTGATACCTCAATTAAAGAACCGCTCTCACGCAACACACAAAATCAAGAAATGTCCTTTTTTTTCTTTAAAAATTGTTTCAGTCGGCCATCCTCATTTTTCGACACTATTTCTTATTCTTAAAGTTATTTAAATGTGTCTGCTTTGAATTTTCTTCTTCTTATAGTCACACCATGAGCGCATAAACCGGCCTTCCTTCCTTCCTCTACCTCTCTATCATACCCCGATTATAAGAAGAGTTCAGATTAGTGGCCCCTGATTGTGAATCTACAGGCATTCAGCGTGTCACTTACACAAGAATCTGAATCAAATGACGAGTTTATTTTCGATGTATTCCTGAGAATGTTTCGTCATTAGTTTTAGGAGCCTAATTATTATACCGTGATTTGTTACAATTTTAGTCTACACGTAAATTTGCGCTGATCCTGTTCTCTTAAACTAACTAATGATAATTTGTACTGGTGTGAGGAAAAGTGAAGTGCTAAAGACCAAACTTAAAGGTGAATGACCTTTGCATTCACTTCAGTACATAAAACCGCTTCCCTTCCGAAAAAAATTGGACATGAGAAGCCTGAGCAGAGACGTTCTTGAAATGCGGACGGCTATCAGTGGAAGAAGTTAATAGCCGATTAAGAAAGAGCATCAATTAAATCGGCTTGATGCTCTATTGTCAGAACTAACCACTTGAAAAGATCGTGATGAAGAAATTTGTCGCAAACGAAGGGATAGGAACTTTCCACCACTGGCTTCCGTCCGCGTCTCAAAAACGTTTGTGCCATATGAAAGCTCACCATTGTCGAGAGACTGAATTGGACTGGCTTACTTGCAGATGCTAACCTCGACTCGCCTCTGACATTCGCGACACTTGACATAACAGCACCAATAGAACTTGCATTCACAACGCTCCACCCTGGCTTCTTGGTGTGTGGTGTACCCCCGACTGCAGCACATCAACTCACATCCATCTATAGCTTGAGATGTGCGGTTACACATCCTTCCTTGGGTTCCAAGGGAGCCAGTGCTAAGATTTGGCGTGCAGAAATCAGGTGAACGGTCGATATAAACAAGGTCGACCGCAGTGTGAGGTTTAAAATTTCGATTTCGTGGAAGAAGAACTCTCCTTGATCCAATTTGCTTTAGTTCTACTTCCGTGGCTCCGTCGAATTTTTCTTTGATATGATCTCCAACCAGTCTAAAATTGGGAAGTGACCTCCAGCAGGTTTTCACTTTACATGATCCTGACACACCGTGGCATTTACATTGAATTTTCATGTACTTTAGGATGGCCTGTTGATTGAAATATAAATTAGCAAATCGTCGGTTAGATTTACTACTCTCACGTAATCAAAATACCAAAATTGTGTTCACTCCATCTGCTTTCTCTTACTCCTTAGATACCCTTTTTCGTAGATCTGATGGGTAGAGAATGTTCCTAAGAAAACTCGACTTTCAAGAAAAAAATATTAGACAAAACGGTCTTTCGAGTCCTGGATCTTTCGACAATAAAGGCAGAAGCGCAGGTCCCCTAATTTGTGTTTGAAATACTTTGCACGAAATTAATTAAGAGGGTGAAATGTTACTTGGGTGTGCTTCATGTTTTTCGATAAAGGGTCCTTGCTACTTAGGCTTGCTTCATGTTTTTCTACAAAGGGTCCTTGCTACGACATAATCATCTTCACCTTAAGTCTCGGTATTTAACAAGTTCCCCACACCAGTAGACGCTGGGGAGGATTAAGCAAATGTTACTGTAACGCTAGCTATAGCGCAGGAGGCCATAATAGGTGAAGAAACTGTTTCGTGTTGATGTCACTTTTTTTTTTTTGTCTAAGTTTCCAAAAAAATGCATAAGAAGCGGTGCTACATGAGTGAATTTCTGTCAATCATTCAACTATCGACTAAACATATTTGTAGCGCACGAGTTTATCAGGTCTATCGATTGTTTCTCTTTTGCCAATACTAATCATCGATATAAATATTTAGCTTTCATTTAGACCTTTTAATAAAATACAAATTCAGTGGATCAGGGCCAAACTTGCAATTTCGTCTCATGCTGCCGGCATCTTGACGAACAGTTAGGAGCAGAAACAAACAAATTGGATTTAAATCCGCCAATTGAAATCCATGAGATGACCGTATGAATATCCTTATGATTTTAATGATCTAACATCTCTACTGAACTTCAAAGTTTTGAGTCCACCAAGCGCTGAAATGAGTATCAACTCACCATTCTCCCTGCGTTGTTGTTGTGTAAGTTCATAGAAATACGAGATGGATCCTCTCCTTTGCGACCACGTTCTCTTGCGTCCACAAAGGTTTTGGAAAACTCAATTCCAAAGTTGATATCATCACTACACCCTGCCCATTTCCAACCCTCTTTAGACATTTTTCCATTGTTCTTCTGGTCACAGCCACACCTTCGTCCAAGTTTTCCCGCGCTGCAGGAATGCGTCACAGCATAAGCTACCCCCGCTGACGAAATGGAATGAACAAAAGCAGCTTCCCTGGTTCCTAAACAGAATAAGTGGGAATAAAGCTCATTAAAAATTGTTTCCCCTTGTCTTTCGTAATCACATGTTACTAAATGCTGCAGGCACCTTCATTACGAGGAAATTCAAATTAGACGGTCCAGTTTCTTACTTGACTTGAGGAGTGCTTAGTGTTCTTTCTGGTATCGGTCTGCAGTGACAGTTTCTTGATGTAGGCCATTACAGTAGTTAGAATAGTGACGCGCAGATATGGAATAAAAATTTGCGGAAATGTTGCCTACCTCCGTTTACAGAATTTCCAAAGACAGGGGATTTTTCAAATTGCAGAGTGGTACAGTTCCACCTTCGATAGCGAAACTGATGTTGACATTCCTGGACAGCAATTGTGGCACCAAATTTGACACTGTTCATGACGTCAACATTCCTTTTGCAGACTTGTACCTGTCTGTTGTTAAAGTGGGTACCGACTTCGTCACAGCTTCGGCGCGTGTTAAACTTAGTAACAGAGCTGCTGAGCGCCAGTGATCTGTAAATGTTAACAGAGTCGATGCTATCACTTATGAACACTATTTAATCTACAGTTGTAACCAAAGACAGTTTGAAAAACAAATTTGGCGCGTCTGCCACTGATTCAATTTTGAGATTGACAATTCGTTGTTCAGAGGTTCCTATGGAATCAACTTTCATTGACGCGATTGATTTGTCCATGATTGGAATTATTTCCAAGTTTTCAGTTGATTGATCAAGTCTATACGTCTGTTAAGTTCTACACTGCTCGACCAATGTCATTCCTTTTTCCGTGGAAATTGTCTTCTATAAGTTTGGTACTGAGTTGAATATTGGATCAGCTTAAACGAAATAAAAAACGGAAAAATAATTTGAAAGAAGAATTCCATTCGCGATGATTGCCGTCGTCTAACCGGGCGATTTTTGGATTTTGATGCTGGCGTTCAGTAGACCCCGGTTAAAGTTTTTCCATTCCATTTCAGTGTTCACGATGACAGATCGGGAATTATTTTTGTTGCTGCACTTCTCAATTTTAACAGCTGCAAAGAGCTAGTTAAATTAAATACTCATTTCACTGTCGTCAGGAACTGGTAAGCACAAATTTATTAATTTAGATGGTTTAAAGTAATACTTTGAACTCAATGACGACAGAAACCAGACAGTGCGGAACAAAACACACCATCCTCTATCAAACTCTGATGTCGAAGAGATTTTCATTGAGGTACCGCGATTTCTTGGTTTGATACTTACAGCCATTGACTTGATGTGACAAGAGAGAGAAGTGAAAATTCCACTGCCACCAAAAACTGGAAGAGAGTAAGTGTCTTGAAAAGTACCATGTTACCTGCAGCAAGAGCGGTGTCTTTATCTGGCAAAGTAAAATAATAAAGGTTTATCATAAGAATTTGTGAAACAAAAGAGAAATCTGGCCTCCTAATGAAATCTCACTACGCGGGTCTCGCTCAAAGCGGTTACCGCGGCTACACTTGATGAAGAAGACAAAGTCAGCTTCTGACGGTACTTTACTCTATGAATATTATGTAATGGGAACAACAAAACTTAATTAAAATAAGCTATTAGACCTACAGGAATGCACCAGACAATTTTATGGAAAAAGATTCTCATAAACCGCAGAGGTAGCATTTTATCTACAAAGTCAAAATTGATATCAGGTTTTAAAAGAGCTTCTGAATTAAGCGAACGAGTTCACGTTCTGTTCAAGACTAGTAGTTAATTACGGGTTTGTCACTACACAGCCATATCATTTTAACAACTATTGTCCTTGTCCTATAGGACAATAAAAGTTGTTAAGTCATGACAAAAATATATGATAATTATCTCGTGGTGCCACGAAAACTTCTAACTTGTTTGACTGAAGGTAAGGCTGGAAACTCAAAAAGGGAATGTCAAACCCTATTCCGCGTACACGGTATGTTCTAAATCGTATTTGCACTATTTATCAGTTTTATTTACTCGTGCAGAAAAGTTATTGATCTAAACTGTTTTATGAAGTGGCCAGACTGTTTTCAATAGAGATTAAGCCGATAATAACTAATTGCGCACTTTGTCGGCTTATCTTGCGTGTTTCTACGCATCACGACCGGCCGAATTTTTTCTTAAAGTTTCTAGCTGCTTGCTGTCATCATTCCTCAGGACGAAATAACAGGTGCATATCAGCTATGGCTGCCTACAGGATTATCTACAATATTTTTTTTAAAATTAGCCTTCATACTCTCTTGGAACTTTACACAGTTTAGGAAAGTATTCACTTCCGAATCTTTCGTGAACTTTCAACTCTTAGATACTTCTTTTACAAGTTTGTTTTGCCCGATTTGCTGAAAAGGATTCTTCTGACTGGACAACTTAGAAAAACCGTGTTACTTGTGGTTGCAGTGCTTGGGTTTACAAGGATGGTAGCTGAGAAACGATCTGAGTAATCTTCAAATCCTCTTTTAATAAGACAATTTCAGTGCAACTTTGGACATATTACATTTCTTTTTTTGCCCCCATTTCGACATTATGAAACTAACACAACGTATGATGTATCCTGAGGCGGACTCAGTCGGTTAAAAATGAAGCAATGTTCTCTCACCTTATCCCAGAAATTCTTAACCTCTTTACTTTACTGCTGCTTGTAACTTTGCTCACCCCTTCTGTACTTTGTTTTTATGCTTTGGCTCACACGGATTTTTATTGACCTGTTTTCGGCTCAATTTCTCGACTATAATACACCAGTTTATAATAACGCCTTCACGTCCCATGGGACCTCACACCCAGACAAACCAGTTGCTACAAATCATCTTTATAATAAGCGATGATGAGAACTTAGATCACTTTTTAACTTGAAACAATGAGGGAAATAAACACCAGGAGATATGAACAGTGTGCGTACGATCGCTCGTCGACTTGCTCTGAGACTCTTTGATCTTTATATTTCGTCAAGCAGTAGATTGTATTATGTTCGTGTTGGTAAACAACAAGTCTCCCCAAGTGTCGTAATTAATATGAACTCACCGTGGGCATTATGTAAATAAACAATTAAAAATCACCGGAAAAGCTGAGAAAGTTGAGAGCAATTCAAGGTGTTTAGCGGTCTTTTAAAACTTCCTTATTTCTGCTAGCTTGTTTTAATAAGCGTTTTAATTTCGGCAAATCCGCCGTCGCGTATAATTTTCTTTAGAACTTAAGTCTTGTGGTTAGTTTTGTTATGACTCCATAGCAGGTTTTTTTTCCCTATACAACAGCAAATATGTTGAACATCTTGCGGGACGATTTTCAAAAAAAATCCAACTATGCCAAATATTTTTCATAAGCCTTCCCAGAGAACTTTCTTAATTAAAAAATTATTCGAATGAATGCGAACAATGGATATTAGTTTATTATTACATGTTAGCCCGCCAACAAAAACAACGAAACGCCGTTATTGAACACCGTCATATATAATTTTTTGTCAAGCTGATCAAAGGATGAAAACATCTCAAAGTATATCGATCACATATGTTGTTTGTATGGGGAAACGACTAAAACTGAACCATTGTGGGCTGAAGAACAAAAGGCGTTAGCTTTCCGCTAGTGTAAAAACGCGACAAACAAATTCGCTGTTATCTCAATCGACACAAAGGGCGCGAATGTCAAATTTGACGCGACGGCTGCGCAGGTCAACTTTCTTTTATGGGAATAATCTGATTCAGTCGGCATTCCCTTGGAGCTTTGCCGTCGCAGTCGCTTGCGAAGGAATCAAGATGGTGAAGGAAAGGTCAAAATCACTGAGTTGGTCAGCCTTTTATATTGAGAGGCTTCTTTATTCGCGTAAGCTCAAATCAATAAGATACAACCAACAGTATCTAGATGGGATTACAGTAGCTCGGCACTCACCACGAGAATCAAGAACAATAAATGAATTCGGGATTAACCTTGAAACGAGAAAGTCGAATAAAGTAAATGCAATTGAGTCTCGTAGTAAAGTTGTAGAAAAATTCAATATCTTACCAATAGTCACGATGATTTTAACGCTAACCTTTAAAGCTTTTAAAATCGTCAAAAATTTTATTTTTCGTCTGGTATCCGAGTGTTTAAGATGCAGGAATCGACCCCTTTCCGACGCCTAGCACTGATTACAGTTGAGGAATGACATACCATGCAATGCACGCGCCCTTGTTTAGTCAGGGTAAAGAATACGTCGATGCTTACCGAGAGGCTGTAAGTTATGAAAAAATTTTTCTCTGCTAAAGTTTTAAGATCATCCAAATTGTCCATGACAGTGGTATTGAAATACCAGGTTTTTTTTCGCAATATGTTCCTTCATCATGGCTAGTTATGAACTTACATAATTGCTGTAGCTATTGATGTTTTCATGGCGACACGCGACATCACAGAACAAGCAGACAAGCAGCCAATACTCGCATTTTCGCACCTTCCACCGAGGGTGAATAACTTTTTGTTTGAATCCCTATAACTTAGGGATAGCTTATCTCGCTGGCCCAGTTCAAGATGGCTTCTCTTCTCTTCGGCTAACACTACCTTTCATATTGTCACAGCGATAACAGCGAGAGAGTCAATGCTGCGTAACTAAAAGGATTCATTATGGCCCGGCGCGCGACCATGTAACATCCTGTGCGTGCACACCCACTGGGCGGATGGGCGGAAAATGCGCGGGCGCGCTCTGGAAAAATGTAAAGTACTGATAAATGACAAAATTAACACTCTGTTTTGGAAAAAAACACACAGAGAAAACAATATTGATAAAGAGCCCCATCAATAATTTGTTATCGCTATTAGCCAAAACGCACTAATGGCTGCAGTTTTCAAATATAGAAACGTTGGCAGGAAATATCAAGTCGTGTAACCCAGAGCTTAACCCAGAATGTGTGAAATATCGCTAGTTAACAACTGCTAAATATGGCCTTCTCATTTTTGATACAGATAAATTTAAAGCTTGACTTGTGTGAACTGTTAAAATCCTATCGTAAGTAGGAAATCAAAAAATGTTTTTGGGACAGTAAAAATGATTGACGTGCACTTCCTTGTTGAAAATTTTCAGGTCATTTCACCGTGCTGTGGCAGACAATGTCTCAGAGCTTCGACAGAAAGTGACGTTAATTGTGGTTTATAGTGGCGTCATTGATTGAGTAGTTGCGTGCGATTTGCCTCAGGAGGTTTTCCTCTCGTAAAAGTGATTTTCCTCTTTGTTCAAAATTTAAACCACAACATCTGTTTCTATTTACCAATGTACGAACTTTTCAAAGTTTACATTCTTAGTAGGGCATAAATTTTTTTTGCTCCAAATTTACGACAAGCCACACAAAATAAGCCTGAGAAAACACTGATGAATAGAAAAGATGAACCGAAGTTAATCCTGGTCAGCATACTACACACAAGATCACGCATGCCTCAAATGCGTAGCCAAAGTTCCTATGATGACTTTTGTTAAAAAAGATTGCGATATTAAGTCAAAAGAAAGCAATTTATTTCCTCAAAACTAACAGAACTGAAACAGAACTTACAGTTTTTTTTTCATACATAAAAAATCTTGGCAAGGAAGTAACGACAGCAGAGTTAGAATGGAGTTAAAACTGTTTTTCAACAACCTAAAAGCGAATATTGACCATTATGATAATGTGAAGGCCATTGAGCAAACGGATAAAGGTGGTTGTTCTATTCAGTCTCTGAGTTACAGCAAGTGTCGTTTTCCTTTTTATGAAGCCCTAAGGTGCATCTCAGGTTATTTTGACGTGCCTTGTGCAATAAGATAGCGCAGTGTGAGAGCCCACTGGTCTTTATCATGCTTGTGCGCCGCACAATCTTGTCAAACCGCCTTTTATTTTTTACAACAGATAACAGGATAGTCCATTTTAAGTTGTTAAAAGGTACCACTGCGTAAGGCGAGGTTGTAATAAGGGGTGATGACTTAAGAATCACACAAATATAGACAATCCTCCGCCATACCTCAGACTATCTGGTGAAACTTATCAGAGGGTGAGACAGTGTCAAGGATTCTTTCTTTAAAAAAAAGTGTCACAAGATCCTTTACTGACTTTGATGACACTTTATGAACAAAAGCTGATATTTGAAATTACAAAACTTTGACCGTAAATTCTTTTGTGGGAAAATGTTTTGAGAAGAACATTTTACAATTTAGTCGTCTTTACAAAGAGAAGTGTGCGTTGCCCTCTTTCCTTAGCTGTTTTAACAAAGCTGAAAGGGGTTTCCTGTTTTCAAAATTTTGTTTGTGCTTGAATTTTTGCTTTTTTATCACTAAGAAGTAAGGGAGGCATACCTTAAGTCAGGCTTTGGAAGATTTCACGAAATTTGATTTGGATTTTGTAAGTAACGATTTTCAAACAATAAACGGCTTACCTTGATCAAGTACCGTGAGGATTTTCTAGCCGATGCACGTGCTAATCTTGGAAGCTGGCAAGTTGAATCAGCTAAGCGCCTTTGCTATCAAGAGTGATTGGAGCTCTTTAGCCGCAACTCTCCACACACAAGTGGTGCCAAAATGATCGGACCAGTTCATTTTAAAATTTGAGAGATACATGAAACGTTCAGAATATTACAGCAATCTGTGCATAACGCCACAGATTAAACGACAATGTATTTCCTGTTAGATGCCAACAACTCGACACCCATAAAAGGGAGCCGACGGATGAGTTACCTTGATTAAAGGGGAAGGCGACACTGTTCCAAATTCCTTCGCGAATGTTGAAAGTTTCTTTGATAAGAGAGGAAGCATAGGAAGAAACAAAATAAAAAGGAAAATACAGAAAGAAGTTCAAAATGACTTTTCAATCAGATCGGACCGGAATATGTTTGGGACAATCAGATTTCTCTTTCTCAGAGAAACCAAATACACGTGCTTATTTCATCAGTATTTGGCCATCTAAAGTGTACGTGTAGTGATAAATGTGATATAAATAGTCAGACAGTCCTGCAATTAAACGTGTATTTCCTTATAACACTTGCTCTACATAGCAGGTTGTGCACATAATTTATCATAATGATTTATGGGGAGCAGAAGGCAATAAACACTTGAGCAAGAGTACTCGTAATCCCACCGTTACAAATGACAAGATAGGCTATAAAAACATTCTCAACAAAGATCCCAAACTTTATATCTCATGGAGGGCCAAACAAACCCCAGCTTGTGTATCTTTGAATTTTTCCAAATCACTTTTTATTACCGCCCTGTTTCTAATCGTTATTTCGGCCTCTTCAGAAATGGCTCACCGCAAAAACCGAGATTAACACATTAGACAAAACTATAAAACTCTGCAAAATAAGCTTTTTATACCGGAAGGAAGTACTTTTAAAATTACATGTTAACCCCTTACTCCTTAATCGCTTTTTACCAAAATTTTCTTCAGCATTGTTGCCGCTGTCACTCATTTCATGCGGATGATTCTCTCAAAAAGACCGCGAAAGGTACATGATTTACCTCTAAACCAACACACCGTTTATAATTGACCATTTTGCACACGACTATGATAAGGACCGCAAAAAACCGGTAAGCGTGTAGACATTTCCATTGTCGGACCGGCGTACATATCACCGGCTTTTTCATGGGAATCACGTAAAGGGGAAGATGCCTGTATTCTTGCCAAGCAAGAGGGAAAATGAAAGTTGGAGGAAACGGCTTTGGTTTCGATTACTTTTTCTTAATCTTATTTCTTAAAGGTAGAAAATTTGTTAATATTATTAGACCAGATTCTTATCATAGAGAATTGTGATTTGCACAAAGTCAAAACGAGAAATAGAAGTTCAACAAATTTGGTGAGATGTAGTTTACTTTTAACATGCGTGATGATATCTGAAAAACACGTACTTTCCAAGTCCAATTCTCGACCCCTGAAGGAAAGTACAGAGTCTTCATGACATTCAGGAAAAACAACCAACAGACTTTGATTGTGCCCACCAACTTGATGAAAGCCGGGGTTTTTTTTCAGAATCTTTAGGATTTTTAGGCCGGAAACATGTTCCCCAGCGGATAATTGATTTCAAATAATGGAAATTTAAAAACGAAAAAAAAAAAAAAAAAACTAAAAAAAATTTTGTTTATGTAACACAGCTTATCTTAAGTATTTGTTAATTTAAGGGTTATCTGATAGATCCTAGGATAACAAGAAAACAACTGAAAGCTCATCATAACTAGTGGGTCATTCCATAGCAATGATCTTTGCCAAGTATTCAATTACTTGTGAGGTCTGGAACATCTGTTTTTCATAACAAGTCTTCATCGAGAAAAAAATGTCTTTGTAATCATGAATGAAGAGCTACGCACGGCGTATGATTGAAATGCCAGTTTCAGTGCAGCAACGGAGCCAACTGTACGACAATTTATAATAAAACTGATGATTGTGGCAACTTTTTGTTGAACTAAACTGTTCATGATTTTGACGTCCGTCATTTCATAATTGCGAGGAATTTGACAAAGTAACTCTCGGGATTACCTGTTGAAATATCCCGTTGGGGGATAGGTTTCACATATTTGGAAAACCATCATGTGTATTGTAACATGTGTTTGTAAAGTTTTAGATTAAAGCAATTTTTTGGTAATATGTTATGATATGTTTCCCACAGGAGTCTTTAAGCACTTTTGTATCAGAAGTACATCATCTTATCGACTATTTGAAGAGTCATTAATGACTATCACTTGGTGGTCTTTTTAGAATGTAGTTACCGCTTGATAACGCACTTCAAGCACGTACTTACGCGTGTTAGGCAAGGCCACTTTTTTGTTTAATCCCTAACCAGGTAATTGAAAGCTAATTCTTTCTTAAGTATTTTGTCGTAATAACTCCTTTATATGGTCAGCAAAATCATTAATAATTACACGAGGTCAAAATTTATTAAACGTTGTAGGTGGGGAAAGAATGACTTTGGTAAACAAGTCACTTACAGCCCGGAAATAAAGGCGTGTTGAAGACTTGATTCCAGCATGCATTTTTGTGTTTCAAAATACTAACTTGTAAACTGACCAAAATTTTCCGCAACAATTTCAGTCAATTTTTTCCTAAACGCTGTTAAAAGTTTATCCCAATAAGGTAATTATAAAAGTTCACATTTCATCAGGATGTGAAAGTAGTCCATGAGATTTGTCCAACGTTTGTTCACCAAACTAGAAACAAAACATACCAAAGAGAATCTCCCTTTGGTGTCTGTGTGCCCCCTCTCTCCTAATCCTGACCCTATATATGACCGAAATATTTTCGAAATTCGAAGAACCGGGGCGGTATGCTTTTAACAAGCTCAATCGCTAAACATTACATTATTGCATCATTTCAGGTTTCGACTCGCAAGCTAACTCACAATTCTGTCCTGGAACATATGACATCACTCAAGACATCTACCCACTTAGGGGCGTTACTCAGAATTTTCATACCCAAACATAAGACTATAAATTACCCACATTCTTTTGTAATAAATTGTAACTCCCCTTTGTCGACATTCATTATTCAAAAGTTCGAAGCTTCTCCCCCCATTTTCCCTCAAAATTGGTAAGCTCGTGCCAGACAATTACTTTATCACTGTCTATTTGGTTCGTTTTTCTCTTCGTTAAAGAGAAATAGAAATAGACGACCCCCACTATATAGCTGTACTTAACTTCGTCCTCGGCGAAGCCAAGTTTTTGGCTAAAGGCCTGGCACGACATGAGAGCAAAACACAGACCACACATATAGAAGACAGCAGACATTCTTATGGAATCGTAAATGACACGATGAAATCGGTCATATTTCCCTGAAAACTACACTAGATTGATTACACTTCCTGATATACACAAAGAACACAGGTTATTCAAAGTACAATATGATCTTACTCCACGTTGGTTGCGCATTTGGAAATTTCAAAGGTGTATCAATTGCATGAACTGGACTGAATCACCGGTCCTTCCGAGCAGTTTTAAAACTGGATAACTCACTCACAGCAAAGCAACGATTTCAAATGTTTTCCACTGAAAATGAGAAAGGTGCAAAGTAGGACATATCTTAAAGCGAAGGAGATTTGCCAGAAATAGGAATGTTCATTGTAAAACCAAGCTATTCTGACGAAACGCTCGAAACGTCAGCTTTTCTACCCTTTACGGTGGCTAATTTACGTTTTCAGCTCAGTTGTTAACACTAAATTACCTGCTATACTCTCTTACCGACGCAGCACTACCCTTTCTTTAGAAACTTACCCCCTTTATTCATTATTCATGAGCGAAAACATTTTGAAAAAAAAATGATCATGTTTGAGAGGAATAACCTAAAAAAAGGTTTGCGCAAAACATTCAGGTTTTAAGAGAGCAGCACGAGTGATTTGAAGTTCATTTGGATGAATTCCAAGCTTGACCATTAAGTAACTTGTGAGTTCTATATCAAGCCAAACCATAGTAAGATTGTGAAGAGGCGATTACATCTCTTTCATTTAGAATTTTTCAATAATAAATTTTTGACAAATTGTCGGTCTATATAGAACTGAATCGTTCATTTTTGTTGCGTAGCATCATAATCAACAACTTACAAAAAGCTACGTGTGAGTTGACGTTTGAAACTAATGCAAACCAGAAGAATATTAACGTGCCCATCCCAGGAAAAGGGGAAATGGAGAAATCTCCGGTACAAAAATCAACATAACGGAGTCCGCCTTGTAACTCAAAGTTCAAGTTTGCCATTCTGGTTAAATACTGCGAATACAACATTCAATCCATTCACTCAAGTGAGACCCACACTGTCTGTAAACTGCCACAAACACAATTCAATTAACTTAGGGCGATATCGATATTAGCTGATGTGATTGCTGGTCCAGAAAAGATTATTTTTCTTAGGTTTCAGTGGTTGTGGTAATTATAAGGTCATGAATGCCACCAAACAACAGCTGGATTCTCATTTGTACCCAAACATAATCTCGAGTGCAATTACTGAATACCAAACAAATTGTACTGAAGAAAACATTTGCATAAATTTTTCTCAAAAAGATCTGAAGCAAGAACAGTTTCGATAAGAAAGCACAAGACCCGATGAGAGAGTGTGAATTCATTCTCTTTTTCCAGTTGTGATTTCGCTCAGCTTTTTTTTATTTGGCCTGATCTCTTCGCTATGAAGTGAAACTTTAAGGTTCACAGGCAGGGAACACAAAGAAGACCAAAGGAAAAATATGAGGATTTTTGTGAGAATTCTCCCGAAAATCACTAAACTGGTTTTCTGTGTCAACGAGTTTCATCAGGTGGTAAAGAAAAAATTAGAGTAACATGTCTGTTTATCTAAGTTTTGATTTTTTTACATCCGTTAAATCAGACCGATGGACAAAGGGTAAAGGTGACTTCATCTGCACAGAGAGTTCCTTTGTGCATCCACCAAGCTTTACTCACCAAAGTGGATGTTTCTTGTGGAATGCTCTCGGTCATCCTGTCCTTTTTATAGGTAATCGACGATAAACATATGACAATGAATGGATGATACAGATCATGCTCGTGCTAATATCCAATATATCCGAGATATCTACCCACTATAGGGCAGTTGTAGTCAGTTCTTTGTTAATTCTGTACCGTGAATTTTTAAGGGAAAACGCTCGAACAACTCACCAATTGTTTTGGTATTTTGGAATTTAAAACATTATGCTTTGCGTGATTAAAGGTCTTGTAAGGTGTTGGCACAACACAACCTTGAGTTTGATATCTGGGCTGTCAAATTTGTCTTGATTAAGATGGGCGTTCAGCTCATAAGCCAGTATCAGCAAGACACACATTGATGGTGTGGTGGCAAGTAGTTTCAATTGGAAAATGAGATCAGGTTTGGAGGCAAAACAAAGATGTGGTCAAGTTATGCAGGAAAAAGTGACCTTGGCAATTAAGTCTGAAATGTAAACATTGTTCACTCTCTTTCGTGAAATTATCAAAATGTAATCGCATTCATTAGAGTGTTCACTCATCACAGTTCGTAAAGGTCAAGAGTTTAATGGTCGTGATCATGAAATTATGAAGTTGTGCTGAAGCATGAAATAATTTTCAAAACTAGTATCTGATTATTTTCGTCTAAGATCTTTGAGTGTACAAGTGCCTCAATTCAATCTGAAAGTCAGTAGAATGTATGTTCATTAAATCCTGTTTGGTGCACGTCTTAATAAATCATTATAAATAAGAGTAAAAGGAAAAAATTGAAATTTAGTAGTCTGTTGTTTGCTGATGAAATGAAAATATTTCGAGGATAACTTAATACCAAATTATACCTAACCACAGGAAGACATTTCTTTAAAAGTCAGATTCATATCATTAAGATAATAAAAAAACAAAATACCACCCATTTCCTTAAATAACTGAACAATTATCTTTCAATTTCTTGGTCAAATAGGATGGGCTTCGATCAAAGGAAATACATTCTAAATATAACTGTTATCAAGATGAGAAAAGAATGAAGATAATCGAGGAAAAAAAATATGCGGATTGAAACTTAAACGAAGGCACTTGATCTAAGGTATCAAGCATTCGTTTGCGACAACTCACATGTTTCTTTCTAGTTTTTCCCAAATCAAATGAAGCAATGAACCAAGTGTCCTCGATGCCATGAAATGCAACGAGCTCACTGATTGTAAAATCAAATGTGTCTTTGGGGAGATAACGGAAATCTAAGGCGTTAAATAATTTATTAGAACTTTGCAAAAAGTTTCCTTCTCCGATCTTTTCTAAACATGATCATTGAATCAGAAAGAAAGAAAAGTTTTCTGTCTTGTCAAGATTGACCGTCACGAAATGTCAGTGAGTGGCACGCGAGCTTCTTTAGGATTAAAAATATACTTGCGTGTTTCGAAAGGGATTCTTGGATGACGCCTCTTCAAATGAAGTACTTTTCTAGCAGGAAAAAACGGATTATCCCGCCTATTTATTTGTTGCGCAAGTTTTTACAGATGTGAAAGTAGAGCTCGTCGGAAAGTTCCAAACATCGTTTTATAGATGTGACCCATTTGGAGCATTGCAAAGTCAAATTTCACCAAAGATGTCATATATGCGAACTCGTAAAGCGAAGAGAATAAAAACATACCTGCTTGTAAATATTACTTTCTAACTCCCGTTATATGTATTTCCACCTTCCCTGCTTGACACAAGTATTCTTGGTCTTCAAGTAGCGACAACTGATTAACTTGAAGCTTAGTTTCGTGAAACCTGACCGAGTGATACTCTGCAGGCCGTACCTTTTATATCTGCTTTTTATCAGACTGTCTAACTTAGACGGAATTGGGCGAAAGTCTCACAATATAAAGCATTTCCCTTTGTTTAGCAATACCCAAGGTTGATAACATCTTAATCAAAGTGAGTGCACGCTTTCTTGTCAGATGGGAAATAAGCTCCTACGTTTCCTGTGGAGAATATTTTCATCGTTTTCTCACCTACGCTTGTTTTACCAGCAATATTTCCCGGTGGGTCGTCAATACTGGGAATTATCTAACTGTGTTAATCTTTTTTGCATCTTCATCTTATGTCTGCTGTTAGAACTAAGGAACATGCCTTTGAAATCGTAGCTCATTGTTTAACTTTCACAGATAAAAAAAGAACCCGGTGATTCAAAGGGGACGAAGTTTTTTGACAACAAATGTCAATTTAATTTTCTGCTCATCAGGTCAAACCACATTGTTTTCAGGATACTAGGAATTGTGCAATTCAGTCTGCGTGATGTACATCCATGTAATGACTAGAAACATTCCCTGGCACAAGTCAATACAGTCTTGGTTGCACAGTAGGGTTCTCTATTCAGGTATCTTGTATTCACCTAACACATGTCTGTTATCACCGCTGAGGTTCAGAGCAGAACATGTTTTTAAGCTGAATCTTCGACAGAAACGCATTAAATTTATTTGCAATAAACCACCTTAGTTTGTCTTTAAATGATTGTCTTTGTAAAGCAGATTATAAACGGTTTTAACACTCTTTAAACTTCCGGCTTAAAGTAAAAGCAAAACGACGAAACAGGCAGACGAAAAGCGTTGGGAGATATCTAAAAGGGTTAAATATTTCATCAAAACAATATGTATTTCTGTATCTCTATCCACTTTGAAAGCACCTAAATTACTCAGATTTATTTGGCTCAAATGAAGGAATGTATTTTATCGACGGTTTAGAACAGCACGTAAAGCCTAGCAAATCATCATCACGTGGAAATCTCAATTCAAACTTGGATATGATCGGTTTGAAACAGTCACAATTAGAAAGAGATTTAAGGATTTTTGCTCATTCATAAACGTTCCTACCAGTCAAAGATAACGCGACATTTCTATGAAAATCATAGGACTGGCCATTGCCAAGATATTGGCGGGTACGTTTGATCGGCGTCTATCGGTTCATAAGTCCAGGAACCTGCATGTTATTTTTAATATCCTTTCAAAAGAAAATAGAGAACCTCTATCTCGTTTACACTTACGACAAAAATACGAAAAAAACAAAATAGGAAAGCCTATGACCACAATTGTAAAAAATAAAAGCTGAGCCAGATTGTAATTTAGAACTTGAAATGATCTATAATTAAAGAAACAGAATTATTTAACCACTGTGATCTGCCCCTCTCACGAGCTTGTGATTGCAGTCACTGTGTTAAAAAGACTAAAACAACTGGAATAAAGCATCACCATGTAAAACGGATCAAAAGGGCCTCATTTCAGACCAAGTCGTGATTCCAAAGCATCCTAAATTTCCGTGATCTAAAGGGAAAAAAACGGGGGTGTTCATGTCACCCGCTCTATCTTATCGCTTTAGTCTCGTACAGTATGGTAAATCAATCTTATTTCGATGACTTTCACATATGTGTGGGTATGAAATGTTCATTTCATTTCTTGTTTATAAAAATTATATTCACGGAAATTGATAAACTTCAATCATAAATAAGAGTTCATTAAACTGCCCAGAGGATCTGTCTAGACTGGATTGTTATAATTTCTCAAACAGACGTTATGTTCATTATTCAGAGTATGCTTCAACCCTTGAGGACAAGCAGTTCACCCCAACTGATTGCATTTTTTAGAAGTTTTGAGGATATTTTCTTTTAAAGGAATCTTAACTGATCATATTTTTCATTTCTTAAAGAAATGGATCGCTTCAAGGGAACCTGAATGAGTTGAATGTGAATCATCAGTTAAAGTTTTAAAAGGTTGTACGAGACGAAAAATGAGAGACTTATTGAAAATATCAGGAGTTGTAAGGCTATTAGTGTCATGGAACAATTTAAACAACAAATGCGTGCTATAAAAACCGTATCGATTTCTAGATTAGTAGATTGTGCTAACCGAGCTTGGTTTTCCGGGCTGGGTGGTAGATTATTGAAACATTGTTGGCTATCTTACCATCACAAATTGTTGTCAAGTATAATGTATACTCACTGAACTATTTACAGCATGTAATTGAAATGGGACTGCAAGTCATAGCAGCTTGGAGCGATCGAATGTGAATAGTTGAATAACAGCTGTTACCTATACTCAGCTGTAAGAGAACCCAGTCACCGTCGTGTACCTCGTTAGAAACGTTCAAACTTGGCTTGTCCGTTTGTTACTTATGGGAGAAATTGACTTTTAAGTTCATAGAATGGCTCTTTGAATGTCTCAAAATAAAATCGAATCCTGCATGTTTGCTTTCTGTGGGATATCTAAAGCCAGAGAAAAATCAAGAAAGAAATAATGAAATGGCGCTTGATTAGGATTAGATTCATCATTATATGCATGTCGGAAAGCATGTGCACAATTAGGTTGACGCAAAACAGGGTCAATTAGAGGGTGTGCCTTCTCTTTGCTGTTAATTCCTGTTGACAGTGTCCTGCAATTTTTTATTCAATGCTTTGCTCAGCCAGTCGATATGTTAGTGCTCTCTTTTGGTAACCCATAGCTACATCAAGTAAAATGGTCGATCCTGCATTGCATTAAAAATTCTACATAATAGCACGTTGTCGGTTTTCAAGACAGTGCCGGATTCACCGAAGATATAAAGTACGTGTGGTAGAAATGATTTATTGATAAGAAGGTCAAACGTAAAATCAGCTTATCAATTTACCCCAGCGCCGCCAGGTGTGGTGCACAAGAGTTCAATTAAGGAGAGAGATGAAAAAGAGATATTCCTCTCGTTTCCTTCTATGTTTTAACGTATCCCAAGCCGGAACATGGGCGTGGCCGACGAAAGAGAACCATGACCCACCCCCATGACTCCACCAAAGTCATGCAGTTACATTCAAAGGCCTTCACAAGAAGCCAAGAAACAATACCACGTACAAATTTGGAATGTCAATGGTCGAAAAGGTAAAAAATCCCCAAAGGGCAATAAAAAAATTTGATTGACTGCGGCAAGAAAAACATCGCTCCGCAGATTATATTTGAAAAACATGGCATGGGCTTAACTCATAAGGATGCGAGATGACTTTCCTGTCAGATTCATGGTTTTGCCTAAACGGATAGTCTGCGAGAACGTACAATTACCTCCTTGGTCAATTCATCACTCAAATTACATGCACCTTCTCTCGATTTGACGCTCAAGTTCAAGTATGAAGAATTCCTTTAAGGAAGCTACCAAAGCTAAGAGCAACTTTGGAAATACAAAAGTTTGACGGCACAAACCCGTATGACTCGATGTACAACTCAGTCACAAAAAACCCAGAAGCTTCATTACTATGCCTGTGAATATCCCGAGTAAATTGAACGAAAGGGAAAGAACCTGTTTTTGAGCTGGACTGTTGAATTATGCGCCTAACGTAGTAGACTTTCATGTGCCACGCCTTCTTCTGGGTGCAATCGATCACAACGTAGTTTCGCCTTATGTGTGTGGAATGGAGGATGGGTTCTAGATATTTGCACAGATCCTCTCTCAAGGCCGATATCTTTACACGCTGTGTTACCTGCATGCAATGCCACCAGAGACTAATCCAAACATTAACTGTTCATACCACAAGGTCAAAACCCATTCATAACCGGCTTTACAAAGATAATTTTGTTTGACGCCGAAATCATAATTACCTCTGAAACCATCACTTAATCGGAGAAGCTTTTGAATCTTTTCAGTTCAAAGACTGAGACGAGTAACAATGATGAGTTCTTATGGGAAGTCTACAACAATCAAGTAAATAGTATTACAAACAAATAAAAAAGATCATTGCCAGACTTATTTTTTGCTGTGTATCTGTTAGGGTCATTTCGTCATTTACGCAAAATAGGATTATGAAAGAAACATTTGAATTAAACTGAACTGTGATATCGTACGGACAAAGACAAGTCATGAACAAAGAGCCTCAAAAAATATCAAATTTGGAACATCTCTATAACGTTTGGAATTGCGTAAGATCTGACAAGAATGACAATAAAAAAAAGTTGATAAGTGGTTCCTGAATATTTCTTCTCTTTCCGTTTATTACGGCCAGCTGCCGTATCCTCACCAGGAGGCGTCACCGGAACAATCTCAAAAAAGCGATTTAAAAAATCCCTTCGTTCCAGCAAATGAAGACAAATGACACAGATGTAGATGAGCAGAAGAAAAGAATGGGACACTTTTGCTGGATCATTTGACTTCAAGTAAGAAACTAGTTAAATGTACCGTTCAACATTGCCACCTTTACTGATACTTTTCTGCTTGAAACTTAGCTTCCCCACATACGTTCAAGAGCCGTAGTTCAATAAGATAATTAGTTCCAATCGCTTTATTTTTAGACTCAGAAGGTCTTGACTCTAACATGTAACCTTCTGAAAACAAAGCTGTTCAAAGGACATGTGCGGTTTCGTTACCATGCCCGTGCAGTTTTCTCAGGAAAAAATGGCCTAATAGCTTTTGTATAATGACTGTATAACCCATTGCGTGTGTCTGACAAATTGTGACCTCGTAGACAGTTTAATCATGATGCAACTGGTTTAAGCCCCCAACATTGTCTCAGTCTTAATTCAGGGACACTTTTTATTAATCGATTTTCCAGGTGGACAATGCCTTTGTATTATTAACGATCCCAAAATTAAGTAGAAAAATAGTGAAATTTCTCATAGAAAATAGTAGAAGCAGAGAAGTTCTTTTGCCAGTCAAAACTGAAAAGATTCCTTGGCTTAACATTTGGCTGCATCTATGATTCAAGCAGCCACGAAGGAAGAAAGAAAGAATTTGGAGCTCAAGTCAAGTCCATGACTTTGATAATTTATAAGTGATACGATATTTCTTCTTAGCATGGCTGTCTCCTCGTATCTTTCCTGTTCGAAAGTTTAGGCGTTTAAAAGTATTCGCTCCATTGTTTCGAGTGTACAGTGTTTTACCTCAGCGTATTCCTGTTTGTTTTCGGGCGAGCTTAAGGTTACTGTCGACCTTCAAAGGCCCAATTTTACGTTTTTTTCACAACTCATTCTCCAGCTCAAACATCTCGAAACTAAGTCTTGAAAAAATAAGGCAACAAAAGTGGTAGAACAATGACCGCTTCATAAAATATTTCTATGATTAGAGATCATAGAAATCACTGAATAACTGATTAATGAAAGCAAACCTATTCAGAGCATCCGAAATGGCAGTCTTTTGGGGAGAAATTTTCCTCCATTTTTCTGAATTACATGCATTTGCTGCTGTTTAATTTCATAGCAGATTTCCCTTTTCATGATATGAAAACAGTTTTGTGTCTATCATGAACGAAAACGAACGCCCCATTTGAACCATTAAGTGATGAGTTAGACATTTCTAGGATGAAGAAGGGACTGGTATGGGTCATGAATTACCAACAATATTTTGCCCTTGAAATACACTGTAAGTTTGCTTTCAGCATTGGCAATAAGACTAGTAAGCTTAATCATTTAATCAGTCATGTCATTTAATTTGTTTGGCTAGGATGAATTAAGAGAAATGGTTATTTTTTTTCCTAATCGCTGAAAGAAGTCTGCGTGCGAATGAAAAGACATGTTCAATACAGTTACGCACATGATGATGTCCAATGCACAATTTCATTTTAGTCGCAAAAAGAATTCACAACACTTCTCTGGAGACTGAAATACGCAGATTTGTCATGCTGGCTGCAGGGAGAATCGTAAAACGGTTCGCCTGGCGATACCTTCATCTTGACCCTATCAAATTTCTAATTTTTTCTGCATGACGTAAATGCAGTGTACTTTCTTTGGATCTTTATCAATCAAAGTTCTTTTCTACGAGTTGAATACATTCAAAGTAAGAATATTTTCAAAATGGGTGTTCTCCTTCGGTTATATGCTTGTTAACTTTTCGAGAGCTGAAACAATATATCGAAGCTTGCAGGACGGGTAATATTCGAATTGTTCGTAGAATGTTTTGACTAAAGGGGCTGGGAATCAAGTCATTGTAGCAAAAGTTTTACATTCTCTCATTTTAGGCCAAATCTTTGAATTTAGGTTTATGGCTTCATCAAGAGCTGCCCAAAGTCGATTTCTTCAGTGAAATGTGCCACGTGCAAGTGCGAAATGAATGAATTCAACGTACTTAAATAAAAACCCAAGAAAACGAACTTTGATACTCATTCATCTCTAAGCATTTCCTTCCGTATATCGACGAAAGATCAATGAGCTTTAGTTTACTGAGAGTAGAACTTAAGTCCTCAGGGTTTTTGTATCTTTAAAAGCAACCTTTGACTTTTAAAGACAAAGTAGCAAAAAAACCTCAATCGATATCTTAATCATGTAGAGATGCGCATGATGTGTAGCGAAAATTATTGATATATGAAGACTGAGATTAACAACTAAACTGACTGTGCGGTTTCTTTTCTTGAAAGGAAAAAAAAAACAAAAACAAGGCTCTTGTTTCAATACAGACGAATAGTTCTTAAGTGATTGCTTAACACTTTATTGATGTTCCTGACTAAACCCATTGGACTTTTAATACTAACCATCAGAACTACACATGAGTATTACGGCATTCACAGCCGCAGACCATCATTACATTTATCGCTTTTATACAGTTACTTTACTGTACCGTTGTTAATTGTCATGATTATGAAGCAAACCTATCTTAGGATGCTGACCAACACGACGGAGGAAATACGTGTTCCCTGAACGGATATCGCACGCAACATAACCGACAACCCTTCACAAACAACATCAGTAGATAAGGGAAAATGAGTTTCGTTGTGAAGTAAAAGGCTTGATCAGTTGAACTTTTTTGTTATTACTAATATCAAGTGTGTAGCAAGTTAAAACCCACTCCTATATCTATTTATTATTAAGCTTCATATTACTCTGTAGGAATCAACAATGCAATACTCTGTTGGAACCACAGTGAGGAGGAATGATGACCTGAAAACTGCTACACGTGTTTACAGCATGGCTAAGGTATTTTTTAGAACTAGAAGTCATAAAATAACTCTAATTTTTTTCCAGGTTAAATTCAGTTTAATTCAAAGTGTTTTAAAATTTTCACGAGGGTATTCAAAGTTTAAATTAATGGAAAAATTAGGTACCTATCGTAATGCCCTCGGCTATCAAAAACAGAATGACGATAATCGATCAGATACACGTATCTTTCTTTGCCCTCACTATATGCTGTGCATTATACCCTTTCTGGGATAAATTTACGAAATCAGAGTTTAGATCGCATCAACTGTTTTACACGAAAGTTAACTTTTCTCGAGTATAGCACTGTTAATCATTGGCGTATGCATGCATAAAGCTTCCTGCCGGACCTGTCTGGTGAAACAGCACTGCTGATGATCACAGACAACCGGGTATTGTCTTTTTGTTCCTTCGACTCTTTGTTGTAAGTTGGAAACTAACGTAACAACTTTTAATCCTGTCAGTAAGAATATACAATAGAATAACCAAACACTTCAACCTCTTTGCTTGTCTGTACAACTCAAATACTCGTGATCATATCAAATTGCAATCAATTCATTTACACCCCCGTTAAAAAGAAAGAATACTTTTTTTCTCTTTTTGCACTGTTGAGGAAAGACACTCAAACCCCAGGTTCTTTTGAAGTTTCCGCGATTATTTTCCTTTTAGGCCAAACGTAAACTAAGAAAAACAAAATAACAAACCAACCTTAAAGGGTCGACTTCCGCCTTTTGTGGTTGATTACGCGAGTTCTTGAGTAGGATGAAGTGTTACTCTTCAGCTAACCTTGAGGTCTATTGCGTTTGAAACTTTGGCAGAATAATTCTGGATAGCGAGCAGACTTTGTTCTGTAGCTGAAGGTATCTAAACCACATCTGAGACATCATCTGTTTTTGTAACTTTTTGGGTGTTTTTTTTCTCTGGTCACGAGGCCATTAACGAGACTCACGGTGCATGATCAAAATTCTTTGGGATATCCGGCCACCATAAATTAGTTTTACACTCGCTGAAGTTTCATGAAACTCAGTGTGAGGTATCGTTTTATTAATCAAAGAAAGGAAACGGCAAAGTACTTTTAATCCGATGTTGTAACCTGTCACTGTCCCAGAAACCCTTGTTAGCCATGTTTTTGCTCTCAGATGGAGAACGCATAACACAAAATAGTGTCATTTGCCTGTGATTGTCTGCTTTATGATTGCTGCTATCAGGGCATGGGCTAAATACCATCGTTTATTATTTACATGAAAGTGTCTAATGACGTGAAAATTCCTATCGATGGTGGGAAAATAGCGCACTGACCTAAAAAGAAGCAGTGCAAATCATGCTAAACAACCAAGTCTCTCAACTTTCTCCCTTCTGGGTGATAAGTTTCTGTCTCAATCTCACACTTCTGTTATTTCCCAGGACAGCAAATTCTCTTAGCTATTTCTGCAGTTATCTGTGTGTTCGTAGTATTTCGTGTAAACACTCGACAAAGTTGATTGAAAGTTAAAACGCGTGATTCAAATTTGATTATTTTCCACTCTGCTCAATTGTAGGCCACCTCACGCACGTATAAGGTACACCACCTATATGATCTGCGAAAAAAACTGAGGAAAGGGATTATCCTATGCAGCTAATTTATTTCGCTTCAGTCAAGTTAAAGGATACAAATATTAGGTTTAAGTATATCAGTACATTAGCAAAATCTTTACACTATCACTGAAACAGCAATTCAGTCCCGCCCATGATAAGAAGTGTGCGTGCAGACCAAAGCGATCAATTCATTGCAGGGGACTTAAAGGGGCAATCGATGCAAAATGACTGTCATCAATAAAGATATTTACAGCTGACCTTTTCTCCCTAGGTTTCACATTTTTTTTTTAATTCGTCAGCTCCAAGTTTTTTCTTTTTTTTTTTTTTTTTGTTTTTTTGTTTGTCCTTTTTTTTTTAACGAGTTTTTTTTTCTAGATTAAGTACCGTGTCTACTAAAATACGTCATAAACTGGCACACGTCCAATTACAGTGAGTTCAATGTTTAATGCACCTAACGAATTTTGTTGTTGTTTTTTTTTGTAGAGATTGACCTAAAATAATTGCTATGACATTGAAACGTCATTACTTTTCAGAAGGAAACAGAGTTTCTCCTCGTTTCTTCTAAACATATCATAAACTAGACACATTCTGCATTCTGCATGCTGCATCCTCTCGCTCAGACGAAGGGCTAATGCTTGAAACGTCAGCCTTAGAAACTCTTGCCGATCGCTAGTTTACATTATCAACTCATTTAATAAAACCAAATTTGCTTGTAGTCATGCATCTACATGTACTTCCTTTTCTCGCTTAAGTAAGAAGTATAGGTAAGTATGGGTAATAACATTATTTCTAGTGCAATTTGATACGAGTAAGTGAGAATAAATTTCAAAGACAACGGAATTTGTAATTTTGCAATTTTTTGTCATTGAAAAATTTACAAGTGCTTATTCACACCAAACTGCACGAGAAATCATGTTGTTACTTGACAATAATTTATATGAAAAAGCATCACAGAAAGTTAAGACAGACGAAATTTTGTCAGCGCGCGCTATTTGCAATATGCACTTGTGTTACAACTTTACACTCGTGTTACATGAGAAATGCACCAGTTTTCAGCCTATCAGAAGCGCGTAATTTTTACTTGTACATTATTAAGGTTTTAATGTCTTGTTTCCCTCTATCCCGTCTGAACAGTTTCTTCTATTCGACTGAATACCGAAAGAACCTGGGAGCTAGTTTGAAATTTGATAATAAACTGGGGAGTGGAATTGAAACATGGTGGACAAGTTAACCTATCCATGCACTAATGGAAGAAAAGCGACGTAAACCGTTTAAAGTTTGCAATTCAGAGCGAACAAAAACTCAAGGAATTGTCGCAGAAAGCCTAAACGAACTCAAGGAAAGGGGAAGGTCAAAGTTGGGGATAGCAGCAGGGAACTGCCGAGTATTTCTTGACAGTGATGGAACAGAGATCGACGATGAAGAATATTTTAGCTTCCTGGAAGATCAAACTAAACTTATGATTGTTTGTGACGGGGATGATTGGACAGCTGGCTTGCAGAGTACGTAAGGAATATCTTTACTGGGTTTTGCTAGAGTGTTTTAAAATTTGTTTGAATGATTGTACTTGTCTATCAAAGCATTTGTTGTCAGTGTGGTTTGGGTCTGTCTCCTGTATCGCCATCATCCTTGAGTGTATTTTTTTATAAGTACAGTTAAGGAAAAAAAAAACGTTAAAATTTCCGCACAGCCCCATACTACATTATGCATTCAGTTCTTGGATAGAGAAAACAATGACAAAAACAATAGATTGCCATTGGGAAAACAGATTTGTTTTAAAATAGTATGGGGCTGTGTGGAAATTTTACCTCAGTTACACCGATACAGATCCTACATTGTAACTGACAGGTAGACACGGTCTTGTCAAAACTTTTTTTGTCCGGAAATAGCCTGTATTTTATATTAAAATTATAACACTCATGATTCATGAAATAGTTAACCCTTATGTATAACCTTATTTATACTTTTGCCTGTGTCAGGCACACAATTTTTGGGAAGAATATGTGAGGGAGAAAACCAAGGGTCAGACTAAAGAGAGAGAAATGTTCCAAAAACTGTGGTAGAATTTCATTTGGACACAGTTTTTTTTTGCACAGCCAAACACTTTTGCCACAGTGAGATGTTGTCAGTCATCTTTCTCAAAACTCCTGTCTACTTATGATCTTGAGTTAATTTTGACATATTTAAGGACTCAGAGTCACATCATGGAACCTAAACCAGGGGAGAAGGGTGGGGGGGGGCAAGAAGGACCTCAACACAATAACTTGACATGCTTGAAAGTTATAACTCTATTGCTGAAATGATGTTACTGGAAACATCTCATGACAGTCTTGTCAGTTGTGGGAAAGATGGCTGACAGCCTTAGGAAATATTAACATCTCACTGTGAGAAATGTTTTACGGTATGTCCAACTATATTCTTTTTTGGAATACTCCAAGAATGTGCTGATTTTCACTAACCTGCCTGTTTATCCATCTCCCCTGACTAAGCCTAGCACATAACATATTTTCCTTCCAGAGATGTTATGACTCTTTCTCTTGTTTGGTCCTAAAGCAAAATTGAAATGCCTTACCCCAGAGAACTGTTGTCTAATCCTTTCAAAAGCACCAAGAAACTTGGAAAAAAAGAGGAAGAAAACTTTTACAAAGTAGTTATATTTTATAACTCTGACAATTCATGAAATTGTCAATTTCAGATTTTAAAGGTCATTGACTACATTTTTGCCAAATTCCACTTTCTTTTTGTGATACATCTTTACATCATTTTTCTTAGAAATTTTGAATATTCATGTAGCAGAAACTTGAAAATGAACAGACAGTTTATTGAGCTGACTATTGAAGGAATGGTTGTCATACAGTTAGGTGCATACTGTAAGTGTTAGTTATGAACAACCTCCTGGGTGCATATGCCCACCTATAAAATATCTTATAGAATGCAAAACAACAACAATAAACAACAGCAGAACAAAGTATCAACATAGTTTATCTTTCATTCCTGTTACTGTACCATCCAACATTGCAATGATGCTGTAGACAGCTCCCACCAAATCACCAGGGCTGATTCTTGGTGATTAAATAACAAATCATATTTGGAACCAATAGAAATAATAATGGTCTAACTGCAACATACCTCTGTAATAAAGTTAGGGGATGCTTTTTAAATAAATAGCTTTTTCTTCAGCTTTCCAATTTATAGCAAAGTGTATCACAATCAGTAATTTCTTTAAAGGCCTCTTAAACAATCTCTTAAGTGCTAATGTAATGCTGATTGATAAAATATCTTTGAGATGGTGATACAAAGGAAATTGTTGAATCACAACTTGAGAGTAGAAAGTTAACTCACAGGAATGTAAAAATGCAGATTTTGGATGGGAGTCTGGATCAGCTATAGGGAGGCAAATGTGAAAGGTGCTGTCTGCTTACCACAGTGGCCATTAAAGAGGGCTTCCAATGTATAGTTAATAATAGTAAATCCATTTTCAGACCAAGTGTGATCCTTGTTCTCTGAGTAGCTCTCACCAGTGTGATCTGTTGCATTAAGGTTTCCTTAAAATCGTGTTTTTCCTTGTCAGAGAGATTGGAATTCTAAAACAAAACAACTAATCAGATTTCAGATTTCAGCAACGTGACATATTTACAAATCACACCTTTTTCCATTTTTTCGCCACTGAATCATGCAATAGATAAGGCAGAAATCCTGTATTTACTTAAGCACTTTTTAAAGCCATTAAGTTTTCAAATGGATATAATAAAGTGGGTAGTAAACTTCCTTTTGGTCAATTTTGGTCTAAAATAATTTGCTTTCAATTAAACTCACTCCTACTTGACTGATATTGAAATCAAGGGTATCATTGCAGACCCAAGTGCACTCCAGTCCATCCTATTATCAAATTATAAATGATGTAGTTTGAAGAAATTTAAGAGGAAAAGATAATTCTGCAAGTAGGGATGGAGAGGAGGTAAAGTAACACCAATCTAAATATGCATTAGCCTCAAAATCTGACAGTATCTCTTTGCTTTTAAAAATCCACAGATTTTAGCTGTAGTCAAGGAAGTAGAGAATATAGTATCAGCAGTGTAGGGGCAAGTTTGGAGACCAATGAAAGCATGGAATTTGACAGGACAGATGCAGGAGAAATGACAGATGACATTCCAGCTGATCTTCTCATAAGAATTAAAAATGATCCTGCCTTTTTTATCTCATTTTCTGATGAAAGACTCCAAGTTGTGATTGATATCGAAACCAATTCACTTGCCACTGTTTTGGGGAAAAGTGTTATTGAAGCTGAACATATTAGGGAAGCATGCCAGCAAGAACTGGACCGAAGGATACAACTAAGGGAAGCTACACAGTTATTGAAACTTTACCAAAGAGCTCAACAAAATCAAGAATCTAAAAATGAGTCACAAAGTGCTGGAAATAAGCGATTTCGGGCTACAACTGAGTGACATTTCCTATACCCTAGAGCGTATCATACTCCTTTTCAAAATAAAACATTTCTATCAAGTATTTTGCCCATTTCTGCTTCACCACAGGTGTTTTTGTAACTCTATAAATTTTATGGGACATTTTACTAAGATGGCAACAGTAGCAAAAATGATTGAGTTCACTACTCTAACTTGGCTTTATTATGGGGATTCTTTTTAAGATATAATGGATGAATCTGGGAAATTGAGAGGTAATTTAGTGTTAACAACTGGGTTGAAAACATAAATTAGCCACCGTAAAGGGTAAAAAAGCTGACGTTTCGAGCGTTAGCCCTTCATCAGAGCGATGACGAAGGGCTGACGCTCGAAACGTCAGCTTTTTTACCCTTTACGGTGGCTAATTTACGTTTTCAACCCAGTTGTTAACACTAAATTACCTGCTATACTCTCCCACCGACACAGCACCACAGTTTCTTTAGAAACTTACCCCTTTATTCATTTGGGAAATTGAGAGGCTTGGATTTGGTGAAGGTTGTGGGAGGGAGTGGCAGCCAAGGGTATTCAACCACAATACTAAGAAAAAGACTTTATGACAGTCATTCTTCTCTTTTAATAATTACATTATTATTCAGCTTGGAAGATGGAAGCACGAAAGAATTTCAGACTCCCATATTTGGATCATGCAACTCAGATGGCAAAATAAAAATGTAGGGTGAACAGTGAAATTTGTCATTAAACTCTAAAAACATTTGAAGCTCTCTGTTTTGTTACTAGAGAGCACCCAGTGTATACACCTGTACATCACATCATGGTAAAAAGATAATTTATTAGACAAAATAGAACTGGACCTGATACAAATCACACAAAGCTCTCCTTCACATTCTTTTCCAAAGATAAGGCCTCAAACTGAGATCTGTTTCATCAAAACTGAAAACAAAATGAGATTGATCCCTTCAGCAACTTTAATAGCCCAATACTCAAGTAAATTAGAGCTGCATCGTCAGGGGAACATGCTTATTATTGATGAGCTTTTTCTTTTACAATGAAATAAGCCAGGTATGACAGTGACATGCTCAGTAGCCATCAGGTCCAAAAGGCTTAAATGTAGGTTTATCTCTCTCAATCTTCTCAATATCAAATGGCTGCTTTCCAAGCCGGGGCTTTCTCTTCATCTCTTGGCTGTTGAGAACTGGTTAAGGAGAGATTCACTGGAAATATGGCTCATAAATGTATTTCAGGATAAGTTTAAATGATAAACTGGTGAAAAAAGAGAAGCTTCATTGTGCAGATGTGATAAAAAAGATTACCTCCATGTTTCTTTCCAACTAAGAGTAACAGTATTGATAATATTAAGAGAGACAGTTGGTTTTGAAAGGATGGTTTTCAACATTTCTGATCAACATAGGACAAATCTCATAATACTCCAAACCCCAGCCAATTCAATGTTGTGTTATGATGCCCTACTCACAGAGCCATAGGGAAGTTAATAGCAAGCTGAACCACAAACTACATGTTAGTAACAATTACGCTCAACAATGATGACCAATGTTTAAAGTGTTTTTTTCTTTTTTTTGCAGATAATGTGTGGCATTATGGTCATTTTGAACTCCATTTTAAAATTTAAGTAAAAAATATGAGTCCTCTTTAAGAGTCATGGCTGGGTAACAAGTTCTCTGAAGCTCAGCAACTGAGTTGTAGGGAATTTGCTCATCAGCCAGGCCTTATACCATCTAAGCACTAGTGTACATGTGCACACAGGACCAACCCTTGTAATGTTGGACTTTCACACACATTCACATAATTATGTACCGGTAAATGTGACCCTCCATGGGAAAACGGACACTAATGCTTTTCCATTAAACGGTCCAGAAAAACAGTTTTAAACGGATACTAAACGGCTAGCTCAAGCGTTTAAACAGTTTCCATGACCACTAAAATGGATGGCAAAAAATTTAAACGGTTGACCAAAGTCCAAAAACAGATAGCTTAGGCCCTAAAACAGTTGACCAAAAATAAAAATGGATAGCATGAAACGTTAAATTTTTTTACAAGTGAGACAAGTGGGCAAGAAGTCTACTAAATAAGCAAGAAGTTGTGTACATAGATTGTTTTAGTGAATAATATATTTATAAAGGTTTTAAAAGATACAAAATATCCATTTTTTCTTTGACATGACGCATGTGATTCTCTCGTTTCTCTCTATCCACATCAGGATCTGCCATTATGTACTTCATCATGAGTCTTGTAATCAAGGGCTAATGACAGAAATTAAAAGCATGGAAGAAAGAATAACAATTTTAATGGTGTAACATCTACCACTTTGTGTTCTTCTCATAAAACAAAATAAGTGTTTATCAGTAAGCACAGAAAAATTGATACAAAAATGTTTCAGCACATGGTAATGGCTATGTATGATAGACTCATGACAGCTTAATGAAAGAATGACTTTCCATAAAGTAATGAAATATAATGTACATGTTCATAAAAAAAAACTTTTTATAATCTTACATCTCTTTTTCCTGTTTCATCAGGTTCCTCTGAATGATGACATCATAAAACAAAGTCAGAAAAATGTTACTTAATTGACAATAAATAAAAATGTTTCTCTCTAATTCTTGAAAATACCCATTTTATTATTACATGTTATCAACATTGTAAACTTAGCCACACTTGTATATGTGTAAAAATCTTCTTAACACTTAGTATTACCACAGTAGATCGGATTTCTTGGCTTGATCCAGACATGATGAACATGGGCTGTTTATATGTGACACCAAAAGGTTATAACAAACAACAGTTGTGGTTTATCTTTGTTCCTTCTTCATGACTAAATTTAGCTTTACATCGTAGCTGTTCATACTTATTGTGTCAATAATATTGTGATTGAACTACACAGGTCTGCCATATTGTCTCACCTATAAAGCGCTCATAAAACAGACAACCCAACACTCCACTGATGAACACTATGGACTGAGGAAAAAAGACAAAATTGTACCTTGTAGAAAGACTTTCTGTTAACTGCAAAATTGGAATGTCAAATAGTAACTCTGAGAACAAAATGCTACTTCAACATCAATGACAATAATTTAACTACTTGACTGAAAATGGACTGAAGTGGCTTACTAAAGTTCAGGAGGGTCACCAGGTTTGTTTAACAAAATGATCAATGGTATTCGTTGTCAGCAAACAAACCACAAATATATGTATACAGCAAAAAAACATCATACAAGACAATAGGTGATTTTACTATGCTCTTGAAAGAAGCTCAAACATGTGTGGTTATCAGAGGGCTGAACACTTGATTCTTTAGAAATTTTCACTTGAGTTAAAGCATCAATCAGTCTGAGAGGTGTATTTAAAACCAAAGAAAATGTCAAAAGTGGTCATCTGAAAGCTGTGCAACAGATTTTGGTACAAAATTGTATGAAGATTGATATTGACATATTGTTAAAAATACAACAACAAAAAACCCAGCTTAGTTTGTGTAGCTAAATTTTGTAAAAATTTACTATCAGAAAACGTTTTATATAACAAATAATCATTTTGCATGTAGCATTTCTACACACTTTAGGAAGAACCATTCACCTGGATGGAAATGCAACACAAACTACTTGTATGAAGTTGTTATATAGGCAGTGTTGATATACAGCTGTAGGTGTTAGATAATGTGTAGAGAACAACAATTGTGGCCAACTGCTCAAAAGGGAGGAGATAAAGGCAAATTTGCACTTTTGACATTTCTGCCAGTTTGACACCTCCAAAGGAATTTCTCTAGCACAATATAGAGCCCACAGCTACATAATTTGTTCACAAAGAAGGACACCAAACATGTTCTAAATGGTGACTGTTGAATTGTATGAATGCATGACACTTTGTAGGCTTCAAGTTCAACATAAAAAAAACCTCTGTGTGGACACCAAATTGTGCAGGGTTTTCCTTTTTCTTGCCTAATATTTGCTCATCTGTAAATGCTTAGCTGACGCTGGTGCATATAGAGATTTTTTTTAACACTCAAACTTTAGTAAACCAACTTAAAACCAAGCTGAAAAGAATGACAGGCTTTTCAGAGGTGTCACCTGTATATCATTATTTCAAGCTACTTACTGGGGTTTTCCAGTCTGTTATGATTCTATGTAACAAATTACGTTGTTCAGTTTTCTCTGTGTAGATTTCAAACCTCCTAACAGGTTGACCCCTTTTCACTGCAAAAGAAAGTCCAGATGATAAACAATTATTGGATGAGATTTTTGTCATATACACAATAATCAAGGTTGAGGCAGGGGTTATCAGCCGAAGCTGAGGCTGATAACCTGAGACTTAAAACCCCTTAACAAGACCTTGATTATTCTAGATAACACAAAAACTGAATCTAAAAATTGTTTTAATGTACATTGAATGAAAAAAATAATTTTTTTTGCCTCTTCACTAATGGCAAGCAACACAAATTGCAAGAACTTAACATGATTACTCTCAGAAATCATGCACCGCAGTTATACATGACATGATTACACGTAACCTTGACATGATAATTGAATAATGCAGCTAAATGACGTCCCAAGAAAATTCACAGTATACTTTCAGCCAATCAGAAAAGAGATAGTGGGTTGAATGTATAATAATAACAGAAAGACACCGGGAATGATCCTTTTTAAAATAATTCTAAGGTTTGGAATATGCTTTTAAGATTTATTTCTTTTCCCAAAAACTTGTGTCTATCAAACCATTAAAAAACATAAAATGTGAAAATAAGAAAAAGTAACACTTGAAACTACAGAATTGCAAAGAAAGTTAATTTATATTTACAGGTAACTCTCATCAGCTCGGTAGAAAGTCTATTAGCGTGTGCTGCGAGAATCTCATTGGGAAGGGCAAATTAGAGTTATATCCTTGCTCGATGAACCGAGAGCGTGTAAAGCCCCTATAAATGTGGAATGTAGAAATACAGTCCAAATGTTCCGATTAACCACGTAAACTATTATGCTCTAGAAAGACGTTCAAAGTTTGGCCTTATTTTTTACCACCCTAATTCAACGATATATCCGCTGCTGTATATAGCGTCAGTAGTGTTCGGTAAAATTAACATCTACTTATTCATGAAGAACATGTATTTTTTCGAGAATGACTAGAGAAATTTACCGGACGAAAAAACAAATAATATCGCCTGTAGGAATAATGTAACACTAAGTTTTTTTATCCTGTAGAAGGAAAGTAGATGGACTCACCAAATCGATTAGATACCCATGCTATTCGAGTACACAACAATTGACCCCGTAAGGCGGCCATTTCGGATATGACTGTAATGGGCCCCAGTGCTCCTCCAATCGAATTCACACACGTTTAACGCCTGACAAAAATCTGCTCTCCTCCAGGTCTTAATGGTTTTTGTTAGCTCTTTGGCCTTCAAACTCCTGACGAGTAAAGGAAATGTCATCGTTCCCATAACCTAAATTGGAAAATCAGATCCAATTGGGTTCTGCATATACAATCAGTGCAGTGTGGTTAGGAGGTCGTTATACAAAACAAGTCATTTTTAGGAGTTATTCGTTTCACACTGCGAGGATGATGAAACCTCCCATGGGTCTCGTCAGGAGCATGTAAACGTTGTTATTCGCCTGGTCTCGTTTGGAATAAGGTATCGCTGCAAATGAATTAAGTATCAGGATCGACAATTTAGAAAAGACAGTTATATAGTAGTGTAACTGGGTCTTTCCTTCCTGTTGATACTACCAGCTATTATGCCCTCAGCTGAAGCCGCGTTCTATGGCTGCAGTATAGTTGGTATTCTTAACTTATTATCATTTTATTACTACAGCCACATAATGAAACTAGTAATAATAATAATAATAATAATAATAATAATAATAATAATAACAATAATAATGAAGGTCTATTTAACAGATCCACGAGGTGGTTCTTCTCTGTTAAATACATACCTTGCGATTAAAAATAAATTACAATATTCACGATCAAAAGAAAAATAATCCTAGAAAAGATTACGCAGCAAAATTAAAAGTAGAAGTAAGACTAACAGATTTAAAGTTACAGTAAAAAAGTTCCCTGACAGTCTCAAAAAGGTTCTGTAATCTTTAGTTTCTCATAAATTCTGGTAAATTGTTATCTTAGAGAGTGTCGTTTTCAGTCAGGACGCTAATCTAACCAAGAGTTGCTTGAAACTCAAACAATTATCACATAATTGTGTGAATGCACCCAAATTCTCCAGAGGTTCTCCAGATACTGAATCAGTCTCTCAAACTCCTGTACAAAGTAAACAATAACTATGAAAAAATTCTTAAAAGGTATCTGGCTTCCCTTATGATATTTCAGAACATTAAGTGTCCTCAGACTTTATCTGTAGTGATTTTTTTATAGTTTACTCTAATGATAATTTGTCTTCACTACTGCAACTAGCTCTGAATTGGGGGGTTTCCTGCTGATGGTCATGCAATCCAATATAAATCTTTAGGGTGCACTGCCAGTTGTGGCACAATCATCTGTCTATCTGCAGCTGGTCACTGATTTGTGGCAGTGTTATATTTTGAGTTTTATCGACTGAGTTGTTAATGTAAATTGGCCCCCACAGATATTTCTTAAGCTGAAGTTTCATGTGTTAACCCTTCCTTATTTGCTCTGAATAACAATAGAAACTGGCTATGCTAGCCCAGTTGATAAAAAAAATTATCTTGTAATACCTCTAGGCCTGTCCTGATTGTTATTGTAAAATGCTGGAAAGTTAAGTTAAAGACAATACCTGGTTCATTTGTGTTCAAAAGGTTGGTAACCATTCAAGAAATTCGCATAGATTCAAATTTCTTACAATCTCATGAACTTCTTGACACTTGATATTTGCTCTAAACCTATATTTGCTCAAAAACTTCTGAAAAAAAGGTAAAAATTGCCAGAGGTTGCTAGAACCACAAAAAGTAGCTCCAAACACCAAAAGTTGCACAAGTGGGACTAACCAGCCTGCACAGACACAGTGTAACAGTTTCTTTCAAGACCTACCCCTTTTATTCAATGATGCATTCTGTTTTGTACCTTTATGCAAAAAGAGAAACAAGAAGAAAAGTCACATCAAGTTCATACCTTCGACTTATCTAATACCCAGTAATAAGAGGGGATATCAGCAGTGCGAGCGTTCAGCAAATGACTATGATAATGACAGACTTCCACCCACAAGATATTTCTTGGCTGTTGCTTCTTAGTTGTCTGTAGTAATTGGAGAGTATTGAGAATTTGGGCCAAAGTATTAGAAATTAAAGTTGTGAAAAGTAAGGATCATTAAGATGACAAATGCTTCATGTTCTAAGGCCAATTTTCCCATGCTATTTTTATGAAATGTCTATTCAAGGTAATGACTACATATAATTAGAGACTTGTAATAGAGAAATTTTATTTTGCTAATTAAAGTGCAATAATTGCATTTGATTAGAAATTCATTCTAACTTACAGGCCGTTTGGATAAGTGAATCAGAAAGGAAAAATTTTCAGGAGAACACATGTTAAGAAAATTATTTTGATTGTCAAAGAAAAAAGCATCGCACATTTTACTCTTTTTTACAACAGATTTATAACTTAAGGACAATCATCAACAACTTAAGATTGGTTATAAAAATTTGCTGCCTTTTTTACTTGAATAGTGTTTGCTTTGTGTTGAATACCCCTTGCTGCTAATGCCACAGGTCTGAACCTTGCTTAAGTTCTTGTATGGTCATCATCAGAATTTCCCTCCTGCTCTGCCGGTGACTGAGTAACTCTCCTGATCCGCTGAGCACCTCTCAAAGCAAGCGCTATGGCCCTAAACCTTGCCACACCTTTCCTATTTTCAGCAAAGGCCTCACCCTCTCCTAATTTCTCTTCCTGAAATTCAGAGACTCTAGTGAAATTTCCACCACCCCTAAGGACAGATGCCACTGATCTTAACTTTGAGTGACCTTTCTCATTTTCTTTGCCTTCCCTTTCTTCTGCCTGTAACTGATTGACCCGCGTGCTTCGCCGTGCACTCCATAAGGCCCCCGCCATTGTTTGGAACAGAGTAAATCGTAGGTTTTTCTCTTGAGGATATCCAGCTGGACTATTGGCAGGTGCAACTTTATTCTTTATTGCCAATGCTGCACGCATCCGTTCAAGCTTCTGAAGCTGCTTTGGTGTCTTTCGCTCCGTGCTGTGATCTACAGCGTGTTCACAGAAGTCAGCACCCAGTTTCTCCTCATATTCAGAAAATCGGAAATGTATAAACTTTCCAATGATGAAAAACTGCAAAAATGCAACCACGGCTGCCCACAGTCCAATTGTTAAGCATGCCAGGAGTTGAACTCCCAAAATTCTCAAATGGCCACCTTTGAAAACACCGTATGTCTCTGAAAAATCTTCTAGGCGATCTTGTTCGACGAACAAGCCAACAGCAAGCATACCCCAAATGGCCCCGCCAGCATGCGTTGAGATAGCGCCGACAGGATCATCAATATTAAACTTCTCCAACAAAAGCCACCCCATCACTGAGATCACACTACCAATGAAACCAATGAAAATGCTTTCCCCAGGCCTGGCAACGGCACATATTGCCGTGATACTCACTAGACTACCCAGAATTCCGGACATGAAAGTTGGTACATCAACACGCTTCAAATAAAAGACACTAAACAGATGGGCAAAGATGCCGCCACCAATAGAAGCATTCAGTGTGCAGACAGCTGACCGAGAAGCAAGCTTCCATTTACCACCACTGACTCCAAATGTGCTTCCACAGTTAAAACCGAGCCAGCCCCACCAGAGCATGAACATACCCAACAGAACATTGGTAGGAGAAGCCATTTTTAGTGTCAAGCCATTGTCATTGTACTTGTTTCGTCTTGGCCTTAGCATGATGGTCCCCACCAAGCCAGCAACCCCACCCACTAGGTGTACAGGACTGGCTCCACCCACATCTATCACTCCAAGCTCTTTCAGCCAGCCGTGCTCTCCCCAAACCCAGTAAGCTGGAAAACAGAAAGCCAACGTGTTCGTGAAAGAGAAGACCATATAAGCTTGCAAATTTGCACGCTCTGCGATGGCACCTGACACAATCGTTGTTGCGGTTGTTGCAAAAGATGCTTGAAAGAAATACAAAGCGAACACGCCTCCCATTCTTGACCGGCTTGCGTCAGCAAAAAAGTTTGCTGATCCTGAAAATGCATTGTATTTACCATGTTCATCGTCTGGTTCTCCCCGACTGAAAGCGAAGCCAAATATCCAATAGGAGAGGCCACCGAAAATCACATCCAGGGCATTCTTTACCATAATGTTGGTCTCATTTTTCTTAGATACCATACCTGGTGATAATCAAGTTCAATACAAAGACTATAAGACATTGTTAGGTATAATACTGTCAGGCAGTGCATGTCACGTTAAGTTAACAAATCAAATAAAACCCACGAAGTGAGTGCTCTCTCTCAACATCCGAGGTAAGTTATCATTACTTGTGTAGACTTGACATAACAAGATTTGTCGCGAAACAATTTCTCACGATCCTGTGAGATTCCTGTAGCTTTACCCCCAATTGAGTATGCCAAACGAAAATTTCCTTAAAAAAAGCACATTTTCTTAAAATTATGAATATCGAACTGATTCAACTGACCTGACTCAACTAGTCCGAATCCAGAGATCATGGTAAAGATAATGAAAGCACTAGTCAAAATCCAGACGGCGTCACCATGGCCAACTTGAACTGCTTCGGTGGGAGGAACAGAAGTCATATTCGTTGACGATACATTAAGGCTCATCTTAAAATTTGCTTGCTGTCAGATTCTGTCGATTTCACCTGAGTCGAGCAATTTTCGTAGAAAACGACAGAGCAAATTAAACTGCATAACCAAGTACCTTGTTTTATACTTTCCTTTGTAAATCATCTCGAGACGTGAGATTGGTTTGATGAATATTTCATGTAATCTTACGAGTGAGTCATTTGTTCACAGTTTGACTTGTACAGGGAAAGACAACACATCAGCAGGACTCCAGGTAATTTTTATCACACTACGTCAGTATGTTAAAGCTCAAGACAAAAGGTTATGTTTTATCAATACCGCACTTCGACTGTTGCCAAAACAATTACTATTTAAAAAGAGGACGAAGTTGTATAGAATTTAGCGATTAAAAAGTGAGAAAAGAAGTGTAATGTTCAGGTTCTTTATCGCTGAAATATCATGTCTACATTGGTAAAGCAAATTACACTGATTGAAACTACTCTACGTATCGTGCGCTATGGGAAAGTTGTGTTTGATCAATATTGAAACGGTGCAAAATTACCAAGGTTTAATTATACTAGTTACAAGCTTTCAGCACGATGAAAACCAAAACAAAACTAGGGAAAACAAATTGCTTTTCTGTGGGGTTTGAAATGAAGTTTCATTTTATCTGAGAAACAGAGTAAGTTAAGCTTATTCAAAAAATACAATACGGTTTTTATCGCCATGCAAGTTTTTCCTCTAGATTTTTCCCATAATTATTACATTAGATTTAGGCTGTATTGAAAGTAAATTATGAAAATAAACGCAGTGTCACCCAAATTTAAGTGAAAATAGTCAAGGTTATTAATGTACAGATATTTCTGATGCAAACAACAACCATTCTTTTTCCAACAAATTCAAGCACCTTAAGGTTACAAAACAGTTATTTCGAAGTATATTGTCAATTACTTTCTTTTACCAAAATTCAAATTGTATGGCAACGTTTCCAGTTTAGAATTTTAGCTTTCATTATATATTTTTAGTGTTCATATAAATTTCTTACATCAAGCAGGGCAGTTGATTAAGATTATTTATAGGTCAGCGAATGGCAGGCTATCTTCGCTACAATAAGAATGATTTATTGATCAGCGACAACTTGTTAATTAGGGAACACTCGTGAATGCTCTATCATCATCTAAGGTCATACGAGCTATTTGATGAACAGAAAAGAAATATTGCATAATGAATGATTGTTTTGTTCGTCATCTTTATATACACCTTTATTTCAAACAAGCTCTCGGTTTGGTAGCTCACCGCACCTTACACAGAACTGATTCACTCAGTAAGAAGAAATGTTGTTTGTCAAATAGGTTAAGTAATTTGGACACAAACAAACTAATTCCATATAACAAGAAAAAACACATCAAACAACAAGAAAACACCTTCAATGATCAGAGTGTCCACGAGTGTTAAACTGTGACTGAAAGGCTGTTAAAAAAACTAATCCTAGTAAATATAATGGAGAAATTCGTTTGCCGCCTTGGCTGAAGCAGGACAGTCGCAATTGCAATGGCGACGTCGACAGACTTTCCGTTAGAAGGACTTACAGGAAGGCCTATCGATTATGAAGATGCCACTTGGATTCTCACTAGTGCCTTTATTGTCTTTACCATGCAGTCAGGGTTTGGACTCATTGAATCGGGTAAGTAGTGTATTCATCAGGCACAACGAATTATTGAAACTGTTAAGAGAAACCTTGACAAATTTGTTATGTAGAGCTAAAAAGAAGAGATAGAAAACAATCTTGAATAATTTGAGATATTTCTCTGTTTATCAGAGTTTCCATTTTTGCAATGCATGCGGGGTATCTAAACAAATACTTGCCAATCCTCTTTTTTTTCTCGGATCAGAAAAAGGGGTAAGCTAGGACCATTCAGTTTATACAACATGGTCAATATAAAACTCTCACGCATTCGGAAAATCGGGTTTTGCCTCGAGGTAAGGTTTCGCATTCAACAATAATAAACAAAAAAGGTCAATATTCGAACCAATGATCCAACTAAGGTAACAACAAACTTACAGGTCAAAGACATTTTAGATATGTCGATGTAGTATGACGACCATTCGAGCTTATGCTGAAGAGCTTTTCCTTCATAGCATTCGGTGAAGAGGGGTGTGGGTAGGGGGCTCAGGTTTTTGGTTCGTCTCCATGTCTGTCGAGAATGTTGCATGCTTATATTGTTTGTTGCCCAAAACTGTTTCCGTCCTGTCACAAGCAAATCTAAGGTATATACTTTTATACACAACGAAAAGTCACAGGTATAAATTGTTTATGCTCTTTTTCAGGAATGGTTACGATAAAAAACGAGACAAACATAATGGTCAAGAACGCCATTGATATTATCTTTAGTGGTCTATCTTTCTGGTTATTTGGTTTCGGATTAAGCTTTGGAGTAGACGAAGGTACGAACGCCTTCGCAGGGGTCGGATATTTCCTCACAGAAGTACCTATCGACAAAGGAGAAGTTTATGCCATGTACTTCTTCCAAATGGCACTGGCTTCCACAGCGACCACAATTGTGTCCGGATCTATGGCCGAACGAACGAATCTCAAGGCTTACATGCTGTATTCCTTCGTGAGCACGCTGTCAACGTGTTTTCCAACTCACTGGATCTGGGGCAAGAAGGGACTTCTCAAGGAACTTGGTGTCATCGACATCGCCGGTTGCTCTGGAGTGCATTTAGTCGGAGGAGCCGCAGGACTCGCTGCTGCAGTCATGTTAGGGCCTAGATTAGGTCGTTTTGATGACAACAAGAAAAGGCTCCAGCCTTGTTCCATGACTAATGTGCTGTTAGGAACGTTCATGTTGTGGTGGGGCTGGCTGGGGTTTAACTGTGGCAGCACCTTTGGTATCACTGGAGGTAAGAAGTGTAATGACTGATCTGGGCTTGAGTTTTTTTAAGTCTCAATCTTTATTTTGCTCAGTTTGCCGTTGCTTTATTTGTAGAAAAATGGAAGTTAGCCGCTCGTGCAGCAGTTGTCACATTAAATGGTTCAATCGGTGGAGGTATCGTCGCAATCGCTTACAGTTACCTCCAAGATGCAGAAACATTAGACGTTCCAACATTCGTAACTGGAATCCGTGGCGGTCTGGTGTCAGTTACAGGTATATGTGCTCTTGCCCGACCATGGGAAGGAATTTTGATTGGACTGTTTGGTGGAATGTTCGCCTGCTTATTGTCTGACGCCATGATTAAACTTAAGATTGATGATCCGGTCAACTGCGTTGCCACCCATGCCGGAGCAGCAGTCTGGGGTATGATTGCTGTGGCTCTATTTGCTGAACAAGAGGAAAACGAAGGATTCTCAGAGGAAAAGGGCCTATTTAAAGTGAGTTTTATGCAATTGACACAGCTGGCAAAGATTGCAGCGACATTTATGATTGCAGCGACATTTATAATTGCAACTAGACAGGACAGGCATGGTTTGTGATTTTAAATCAGTGTGCCCTCGCGTTTTTTTTCTTCATGTATTATTTGTAACCAAGTATTCGATTTCCTTAGTAATAATAATAACAGTAGAATAATAATCGTAACAGTCTTTATTTTTACTTTTTGGGTTCCTCGATTTTTAATTCATTACCTTAAACTACACTGTTAGTTTGGAGTTGTAGTACAAGGTGAATTTATCGGGAGTCGGCGGTGGAGATATGAAAGTCTGGCAAGGATCTTCGATGTAGTCTGGGCGTGGAGGGCCATCAAAACAAACACATCTAATCAAAAAAAAATTCATGACTATAATTATGAAACACAAATACAAATGACATCAACTAAAATAGATACTTTTCATAACGAGCACGGGTCAAAAAAATCTGATTTTCTCGCCTTTGCAAATGAAAACAAACCAAAAACTGAGCGAGTTAAAATACTTTCGCGGTTCTTATTTACCTGACCCCCCCTCTGATCTGGCGGAAAATTTTTTATAATTCTCCCTTTATATTCTGTTGACGACGATTACCCCAGAAATCCTCTGAACCCCTACCTCCCCCCTCTTTTGTAGTTACTATCCTATATATATTTTAATGATTTCTTAGTTTTTAATTCTTAATCAGCAGGACCCAGTTGATAACAGTACTTTTGTATTGAAGAAGTATCCTGGATAAATATTTCGACGATTATTATTATTATTATTATTATTATTATTATTATTATTATTATTATTATTATGGAGTGCAATTGACGGTTGAGAAATAAGTTAAAGGTGCAGTGTCGTGGATTTAACATGTATCCCTTGATTCTACATTCACCCTCTCCTGTCTCGGTTGTCACCAAGTTATTTTTATTGCGGAAAGAAAATATATGCTAACTAGAGACATAATTGTTTCTTGAAGGGAGGCAGCTGGCGACTGCTTGGTGTCCAGTTGCTTGCATGTCTTGTAACAGCAGCTTGGGCAGTCGTGACGACAGTTATTCAACTTTTTCTGATCGAGAAGACAATTGGAATACGACTTACGCGGGAGGAAGAGTTACAGGGATGCGACTTTGTAGAGCATGGAATCGGGGAAGAAACTGGGGACGAGAAAAAAGGTGAGGAGGCCCCACAGCTGGAGAGCTCCAGCGCACCGAACCGTCTTGTATCTGCTCAACGGAGAAATGTAACTGAAAGGGAACAGAGTCAGGGAAAAGATCAAGCTTCAAAAAATTCCAGCCAGAATCGTATATTTAGTTCCACAGATATAGGAAAAGACAACGAGGGCTCACGAAATTCGAACGAACTGCCATCGATGTGCAGTATCGAGTCGGATATTGAGGAACTTCTGAGGCAAGAATCATGTTATCCTATGATTAAACAAAAGGGTACCTTAGACAAATGTGTACAAGTTATCTGCGAACATGGTGTGTTGATTGAACTGTAAAATATTCTTGAGATGTTGATATATATATATATTCTTTACCATCTCATCTGCACCAGAGTTTCTGGCTATTACTACGAGAACACGAACCTCCTCATATCATAGTCTATTGCATTAATAAATTTCCGTGTTAATCTAGGAGTGACTGACATTTGGTCAGTTCTGTCTTGTCGTAGTTTTGATAAATATTCATTACATTGAAAACAAGTAGCAATCAAGCTTTTAACTTAGTGTTTTGCGCCAGCATGGTATCACTATTTTGGGACTGAGCTTATCCAAACTGTACAGATAACCATCCATTAAATAATAGGTAAATGAAATTAAAGCACACAAGGCCAACGTACCTTAACTTTATTTGCACAAGACATTATACAAAACGTAAAAGGTCACCTTTTTATGACGATTCAAAGGTTAATATGTTTAGCACTACGAATTAATCGATATTTGAACCGTTTATTTACAAGGGGGGGCCTTTCTATGAGACAAATCTTCGTTATAGCAACAAATTAATTAGGCCAAAACTAAAGAATAAAGATCTATTCGCACCTTCTTTTCGATCACTCTCTAACCTGCATTGGAATATGCAAAGCAATTACTCCATTCTAAAAGAACAGCATCTTTGCGAGTGGATTTTGAATGAAATTTACCACCATTTTTAGATCTTGATAATAAAGGTTTTAAAGCATTTACTTTGTCAGTTTTCTCATGTCATTTAAACTCAGCCTTAATTCCCGACTTTCATCCGCTGGTGTGAGGGTTATGACCACGGGAACTTTCGCCTTAGGCTGGGAAAATTCATTAGGGACGTCTCTATCCCCATTTTTCTCGGAGAAGCTGACTTTTCTCGTAGATTGGAGAACTTTATCCCACCTTTTTCTAAAAACATTGCCGGAACTGTCAGAATCAAAGTTATTCTCGGCTTCATGGAATGAACTGTGTTGTTTTCTGTGTGTCGTTTTATCATATCCCGGGATGCTCTCTAACGATAGTTCGGATATCGATTCAGTGGCAGATTCTTCACAGTCTTGCAGTCTGGTGTCATCACTTCCAGGTTTAGAAGTTCCATTACGTGCTGAAGGATTTTTTGGGGGATTTGAATCCGCTTCTCCAATATGTCCATCGTCGCCTATGGGGAACACTCTATTCTGTGACCCTGTCACGGGGCGTACCCGGTTCTCAGGTCTAGCTTGTGACTGGTCAATTCCATGTTCACAGGCATCAGCTCCGAGGATCTCTTCCTCAAGTGGGAATCTCAGCCCCACAGATTTTTCAATGATGTAAAGCTGCATAAAAACTGTTATGACGGTCCATACTGTTATGGACACACATGCCAAAAGCTGCACACCAAGTATCTTCACATGACCGCCTTTGAAAGCACCATAAGTTGAGGAGAAAGTATTCTCAAGGGTGTCTTTTTCAACAAAGAGTCCAACAGCTAACATCCCCCATATAGAGCCTCCTGCATGGGTAGGAACTGCACCTACAGGGTCATCAATTTTGAGTTTGCTTAGAAGTTGCCAGCCAAGGATAGAAATTGCTGAACCAATGAAGCCTATTGCTAAACTCTCTCCAGGTCTCACAACACCACATATGGCAGTGATACTGACGAGGCTACCAAGTACTCCAACCATGAAGAAAGGAATGTCCAACCTAGAAGAGAAACGTAAGATGTTAGTTTATCGTTGATACCCTTACATTTCTGTCCTTGATTAAACAGTGGTTGGGAAGCTAAATTTAACAATGACTCCTACCTAGAGATCATTGGTTGTCACAGTTATGGCCATTGTCAAAGCGATGTTTCTTCGTGTCCTTTCCCGAGAAGATTTGAAAACCTTACCGCTAGTAGATGACATCGCAAAGATACAAAATCTCACTCAGATGACCTTGAGTGTAGATGCGTTTCGGACTCAAACCCTTAAAATATTGAAAGCTCGGATATCATCAATTCAAAAAGACATATCCAGTATTTATTGGCAGGACTGTATGAAAAGTTGGTTTTTTCGTCTATGGAATCATTCATTTACAAGCCTCTCAACCTCACTGTCTAAGTGACCAAACGAAACAAAGAATTAAGGGGGGCTTAAGAACTTACAAAAAGTTGCCTTAAAACATGCATGCATCACGTTCAGGAAATTATCGTTTGGCAATGATGCCTGCTATCTCACCTGTTGCATTTAAAGTAGCTGTAAAAAGTAGCGAAAACACCACCACCGCATGAAGCATTTATGGTACAGACCGCAGACCTAGAGGCAAGCTTCCATCTTCCACCGCTGACCCCAAATGTGCTTCCACAGTTAAAACCGAGCCAACCCCACCATAGCATGAACATTCCTGTAATAAGAGAAATAGGAGGAATAACGTAGTTTCTCTTCCGTAAAAATTTAAAGAAATTTCTTATAACGGTACAAATATAGTGGTAAATATCCAGAAATATTAATTTAAAATAAATGGTATATGAACTAATCATATTATTGACTCAAATCATGACTGCCGAGGAATCTGACCAAATAACTGACTGACGGATTGAATGACTAAGTTACTAGCCGATTCATTGACCGATTTTTAAACAAACTGACTTATCGACTGAAGTATGAAATCTCAAACCCAAAGTTAAAAGTTTAAATACCCGTACATACCAAGCAATACATTCGTTGGACTTCCCATTTTGTGCGTCAAGGGTGCATTTGCATCTGAACAGCTTTTAAATCTTCCAGCTCGGGGCTTGAGCATGATAGTTGCGACCAGACCTGCGACTCCTCCCACAAGATGTACTGGACTGGCCCCACCCATGTCGACCACTCCCATCTTACGTAACCAGCCTGTGTCCCCCCATACCCAGTGGGCTGGGAAGCAATATGTTAGGGTATTTGTAAAGGCAAATATTATGTACGCCTTTAAGTTCATCCTCTCCGCTACTGCTCCTGAAACGATGGTTGTAGCGGTAGTGGCAAAAGAGGCTTGAAAACAATAAAGTGCGAACACGTCGCCCATTCGCGTCTCCTCTGCGTCTGTGAAAAAGCTTCCATAGCCAGAGAATGCATTTGCACCTTCGTCCTTTCCAAAAGTGAAAGCAAAGCCGAACATCCAGAACCCCAGGCCGCCAAATATAACATCAACAGCGTTTTTCACCATTATATTTGCTTCGTTCTTCCTAGAGACCATACCTAGATATAAGCAATAGAAAAATTATTGACCATATCCAAATTGCACATCTAAATTAAAATACTGGAGTACTTAATGATATGACGAGTGAACTTTTCCTGATGTTTTAATTAATCACTTTTTTTATGTTGCAGCCAAAAAGTGTCAGAAAGCTTGTTCTCCTTCACAGTCAGAGCAATGAATATTCCCTTTAAGATACAGCTAATCACATATTAGCGATAATGGAACCGGTTTCGTGTGTTAGGATTCGTCGGAACAGAGCTCAGGTAGTACTGTTTTAGAATTTTGGCCTCTTACGCAACGGGCAACGACAAAAACGCATATGTCACAGGTTAGAAATAAGCTTTCATTTGGTGTTTCCAAAGGCCAAATTTTCCACCCTAATAAGGCAAACCAAAGGCTTAAATACAAAAAATTGTTCTCGAGAATAACAGTCTGTTTGTCAGCTCATCCTTCAATGATCCAGGAAAGAGAGTTGAAGGTATACTTGTAGTCACTGTTATTTTAAGATGGCGCTGCAAACCTCTATAGCTACTTACCATCCCATAGAACAATATCCTCACTAGCAGAAAATAGAATTTAAAAGCCAAATTTGCCGTCGCTAAGAACAGTTTGCCAAACACCTAGAATCACGTGATCCAAATCTTCTTCTCGTTAAGATAATTTGAAATGTCTAATTTCAACGCCACTATTAAACCGCAAATTAAGGGAGTTCTTGCTATCCTTATTATTTTATTTTTGTTTTATTTGCAGAGGCGAGCCTCTTGTGTATCACCATAATATTTTCTCCTACAATGAGGCATAGCAATGAACCATTTAATTTAAGCTCTCCTCTGAAAATACCCCTTTTGAGACGATTAGCTACCATGTATATATTTTCGTGCGAAAGCTTACTTAAATTATTTTGCTGGTTTATGATTGGATTATTTAGCAGACTCCCGATTTCTACTCGTGTTTATGATTTCATTAAAATACGGCTTTGATGTAAACAGAGCTTAGGCAGCATTATCCAGGCTCTTAATGGAATAACTTGCCAGAGAATAATTGCAAGACATGCATGACAAGGCCATTGGTAGCCAACTTACAGGTGGAGAAATAGAACAATTAGCCACATGAAGAAATGCGAAACAGGAAAAAAAAATTCATAAATGACATATTTGACGTAAGGGCGAATTTTGCAATATAGGAAGTTATCATATTCTACAAAAAACAGGAAACTAAAATTGATATGTCGAGTAAACATATGGTAAGACTAACGCATGAGGTAGGAAAAACCTTTGGCGAATCTCACGAATCCGCGTTCGGAAACGCATTACGAACACTATAAAGCGAAGAGGAAACAATTAAAATATTATTTTTTGACAGATCCAAAATTAATTCGTCTACTTGCAAATAAGAAGTCAAGGGTGAATTTAATCGACAAAATGCGAGCTGGCGTGTTTTAAAAAAAGTCCGTCCACTAATGGAGTTTATGCCTTCCCTAGTTCAGTCTTCTATTCTGTCATTTTCTTTTACTGATATTGTGAAGGTAAAACCTTCAAGATCTTTGGATTTCGGTTAATGCTGATGGGAAATTTCGAGTTTCGTTTCCATAAGCCGAGGAAGACATGATAAGTTCCATCTTAAAAACCCCATGATTACAAATTTGACATCACTGGTGAACTGAACTTAACAATCATTTAGGATAACGTGAAATAAAGATCTCGAAAACTCGAAATATGAAGTAAATTAAAACGATACATTTCTAATTTTTTAATTCGGTGTTTCAAGCATCAGGAACCAACTGAAATCCCAAGAATAAGCCTACCAGATTCTACAAGTCCAAATCCCGAAATCATCGTGAAAATGATGAAAGCACTGGTTAAAATCCAAACAGCATCACCCGGGCCATCCATGGTATCTCTTCCTCGAGGACTTGTAGTTGGTAGTTCACTGCTGGTAAACGGAACAGAGGATCCATTTAAAAGCGACGAGTTCGTCACCATGTCGGCCAAGTTAAAGAGTGATTCTTCGGCTCCTTTACGTATCTGAAATAATTAATAAGGTGGGTTGATTTGACATAAATAGCAACCTAGTGTAGCAGAAGAGATTTACAAATTTGTAATGATATTTCTGTTGCCTCTGATTATGATTACTTTTTCTCAAAAGTTTAGGTAAAGATTGGTTAAAAAGTACCTTATGATATAACAAAAATCGCTTAAAAAGGAAGATTTCACGCAGATCGTTAACAAAAGCAATCGCAAATTATTCATACATACGGCGTTAGTTTAGCCTGTCGGTAAACGGCTGTTTTCTAAGCACGCGATTCAGATTCTGAATTTTGTTCTGTTTTGTTTCTTTGAAATAAGGGCCTTTCTCAGTCCTGCCTACCTGTTTGTGACACTTAGCACCACTTCATGAGTCATATACAACCAACACTGTATATGAAATCATTAGTATGCAAAGTTCGTCCTTGAACAAAGCTTTGAACAAATACTTCATTATAGAACAGATTTCATGCATCAATATCAAGAATTAGAAAATAAGCGAGCTTCTCTTACAAATTTTCAAACGAATGTTGTTGGTCTTTTCCATTGCACTCTGTATCGCAAATAGACGATTGGCGCTGGTTATGGTTAATAATTCAGACCAAGTTAGAATATAAACAATTCTTTGTTAAATATTCTCACCTGTTCGTTTTTATCATGCAAAGAAGAACTCTGATAGGGTGTCTGACATCTTAATTGTTTCAGCTTTTTTATTAGTTTACCGAATCCAAACAAATGTAAAATGTCGGCGAACAGGCAACTCAAAAGAACCCTTAAAAAAGCGAAATGCTTCTGGATCCATTGAATTTTTTTAACGGGATTCAATATAAATTTTTTACTTTCAAAAAAGACAAATTTTAAATTAACAATTCATGACGGAGGACTCTGATGATAACGGATTACCAGTGTATACATTTCCTTTATTAAACATCAAATCGCAACTATTGCATAACCAAAATTTTTATCTTTTGAATACATTTTATGATTTATGCGAGCTGAAGTGAGTAAGTGTCTCTCAAAAAAAAAGCTAAACTAAGCTCAAATCAAATCTTAGCAAATATGAGTCATCCTTGTAATTTTGGTTGCATTGTTGGAGCGTCTGAAAGAAACATAACATGCGAAAAGTCGAGGCAACCTGTAAATAGACCCAGCGCTTATCCGGCGGGACATAATTTCATAGAAGAGTCTCGAAGATATGCAGAATAATTCATGAACAAAGTCGATCGCCTAAGAAGCAACAGCTATCATTTGCTTGTGTTAACTGAGTTCTCAATTTTTGTTTTGATCTTCGTTTGAAACCTATTACGAGTAAACACCCTGTTGGGCGGTACAAAATTCCATACAAATATATTTTCACCTTGCTGAAAAGGAACCCTGTTTAATTTTTTCATATCTTTCATCATATAAACACAAAAATCAGCCGATCAACAGAGAAACGAAATACAGGAAGAGAGAAATGTCAATTTCAACGGACTACTCTGCTGTACTACTCACGTTTCCTAAGCAACATGTTTGTTGAGGATGATAGCTTTTCTATTCCATTTATTTCGAGAGTAATCTTCAGAAATCAGCAGGGAGGTTTTCATTGGTTAATTGGTAATTTTGATCCAGTTTTATAGCGAGAAATTTCAAACTTGGCATTCAATGCAACTCTTAAGTATTACGGAGGCTAGTGGGTCAAACATGTTGATTACGAGAATAAACGAATCTTCATTTTCAACGGAAATTAATTTATATTTTTGTGTCGTTTGTTTGTTTGTCTTAGAACTGTTGTATATTTAAATCAATAGAAGTTATTTAAAAATTGCTAATAGGATGCGGTAGCTTGCACTGTTTCAGTTTGCATAAATTGCGAGTCCACCGGCTGTAACTGATGGTAAAATTAGAGATGAACTCTTCTAGTACTAACATAAATGGAAGCGAGTCTGTAACAAGCCCTGCTGAGTTGAATTCAGACGATGCAACATGGATTTTGACAAGTGCTTTCATAATATTTACAATGCAGTCTGGATTCGGACTAGTGGAGTCAGGTTTGTTTACCCAAAGTGTATAATTTGCTGGTTCATTTTCGGAAAAAAGCTGATAAAAAAAATTCCACTGCACTGACTCACTCAAACAAAAAAAAATAAAAAACTGCGTAACCAAGAAATAGGATACACCAGAGGTAGAAAATAAACCAGAATGATAAGTCGAAGTTTGGTATATTTGTGTGTTTTTTTTTAGAAAATCAATTAACAGTTACGTAAGCTGAAATTGGAACTGGACACCTTGTAAAATTGTATTATGATTTTTCCCGTCGCGATTTTTTCACGTTTATCTATGTTTCAATATCGGTTCGTTTTTGAAAAGAAATTTTTATTAACCCTTTCACTCCTAGAAGTGGTTAACATGTAACTTCTACCTTCTCCTCATACATTTTCCTGCAAACAGGTCATGAGAATACTCAAACTTGTCAGGTAGGAGTTTTTGTCTTGATCTAACAACAGATTCTCATGATCAATTTACAGGAAAATGTGTAGCAGCTAAAGGAGATAATTAACAATTAGATATTAGGAGTTGAAGGGTTAAAAATACTAGGTTGAGCGAGAGTCAGTTCGTAACTGAATTGAGAGTGCTGAAGACACGTAACATAAACCGGCAGTTTTGAAGCATAATACATGTTATGCCAAATAACCATAATGAAGGTATTCCTTATAATTTGGCCGTACTAAAATAGGTTATATCTTGCAAAGAGTCTTCAGACCCTAAAGCCCGCTTCGGATTGTGACAAAAATAAGGTTATTGATGTTCATATCTGAGAATAACTAGGAACAACGTTTGGTAACTCAATAATCTACATCATTTTAACGTATTTATATAGGACATTGACCGAAAAAGCAATTTTTAATGGCTCCTAATACGCAGGCGTCATTTCCCTATGATTTCCAGGTCTGGTCTCTCAGAAGAATGAGGTCAATATTATGGTTAAAAATGCCGTGGACGTCATATATGGAGGACTATCTTATTGGTTGTACGGATTTGCTTTTAGCTTTGGCATCGCTGAAGGAACAAATGCCTTTTGTGGCATGGGTAAAGAAATGGAGACAGTTTGTAAACTTTTTTCATACAATTTGCCTGAAATTATGTGTCGCCAAAAATTAAAAAAGAATCGTTTTTTATCTTAGTTGCACGCACAGCAATGAAGTTTCAAAGTAGCGAACCAGCTTCCTGCCTTCGTAATTGATAAAGCAAAACTGTCCTTGCTTCATTCACTAACTAAGGCGCAACGAAGATTCCGAGAAAATCGATGTTATTGTCACAGCAATTAATTATTGTTTTATTTTTCGTCAGTTTGGGTTGAGCCATTAAACTAGCCAACCAGCCGCTTCTACCCTCTCAATATTAACTGAAGAATTATTCAATGGATTTTATCAAAGTTTGAAAAAGAGGCCCACTCTACATCTCCGTGTCATTTGATGCACTTTGCTGAGTGCATATCTCGTATTTCCCAAGAATAACATGGAAATGTCTCAACCGAACGCTTTTTCGTTGTTTGCTTTCCCGCCAGGTTATTTTGCGATGGACGTAGAAGCTGAGCAAGGAGATGTGTTCGCCCTGTATTTCTTTCAGATGTCGTTCGCCACAACTGCCACAACCATCGTGTCGGGGGCAATGGCGGAAAGAACTCATCTACATGCATACACAATTTACTCTTTTACCAACACGATATCGTACGTCTTTCCAGCACATTGGCTGTGGGGTGAAAAAGGCTTTCTCAAGGAGCTTGGTGCTATTGACATTGCAGGTAAATCAAAATGAAACTTTGCGCTATCAAGAGAATATTCATAACCTATTTCGCTATAACACACCTAAGTCTTCAGACGCTTAAAAGGAAAAATGTTGCAGTTTTAGACATCGTTGAGGATGGTTGTATCAGGAAAACACGACTAAGACGACACGTTAATTATTTAATTTTTTTAAAAGGATTTGTGGAGAGCATTGATGAATATTAGAGCTTGATTCAATTTTTCTTCAGGGTGTTCTGGTGTTCACTTAGTTGGAGGAGTCGCTGGTTTGGTGGCCTCGATCATGCTGGGTCCGAGACTAGGACGATATGACAATTCAGTCAAACAAGGAAAGCCGGGGTCACTCACCAATGTTCTACTGGGAACGTTTATGCTGTGGTGGGGCTGGCTTGGGTTTAATTGTGGCAGCACTTTTGGAATGAGTGGAGGCATGTAGATGTTTTAGTTATTTTGTTGTGATAAAAAATCTAAAAGGAAAATGAAACAACACTGGCAGGAGAATTTTTTTCACCTTTAGAACTGACTTGAAAACCTCCTGGTGGAAAAATCACACAAAGTTTTTAAAGTCATGATCTTTGTAAAAACCGGGTCTTAAATTTTCTTCCACAGGAAAATGGCTACTTGCCTCAAGGTCAGCAATAGTAACATTGAACGGGTCAATTGGAGGAGGAATCTTAGGGATAGCTTACAGCTACTACTACCGAAAAGGAAAGCTGGACGTGGCAGTATTCATAACTGGCATTCTAGGAGGTCTCGTGGGTATCACAGCCATCTGTGCTGTATGTCGTCCTTGGGAGGCCTTCCTCATAGGATTCATAGGAGGATTGGTTGCATGCGGCAGTTGCGACATTATTGACAGGTTGCTATGAAAACCTTTCTTGCTACAGGCAGTGTAATGAACGCTTTAGCATGTCATATATAGTCGGGGGATTGAGAAAAAACTTGTATTGTCCTCTTCATTTCTCGGCTGGTTTGATTCGGCTATTGAACACTAAATTAGGGTTTTGGTTCTTACGTTTGCCAATTTCTAAGGGGAACGAAGGAAACAATTCCACGCTACCTTAGAAGCGTAAGGGGCTTCTATTTGCATGACAGCTTTACAATTTTACTCGATTAAAGCACAGGAATCCTGGCTTTATCTTGGATTTTTATTTTTTTATTTTTTTTGGTTCTTTGCTCAAACTGTTTGCAAACATAAATTGCTCTATGCTGCTTTTCGGGCCCATTTCAACAACGAAAAAAACTGATGAATATGCAACAAATAAATTATTTTCTAGATTGAAAGTCGATGACCCTGTGGGTTGCATAGGAACTCATGCTGTTGCTGGTATTTGGGGGATGATTGCAGTCGCTTTATTTGTAGAAGAAGACGAGCTTGAGGGATTGTCAGATGCTCGTGGGCTCTTCAAAGGTGGCAGCGTAAAACTGCTTGGTGTCCAACTTCTGGCATGTGTCGTTATTGCCGCTTGGAGCGCTATGACTACATGGCTACAATTGTTTCTTATCAATAAAATTCTTCCAATTAGACTCACTCGTGAGCAAGAGATCATAGGTAAGATTAATTTTCCAAGTTCAACACGACTGGAATGACACCATGCACACTTTGTGTGCCACTTAAATATACCTTGATAGCCGTAATTACTCTCTTTCTTCCCCATCACCTGAAGTGATTTTTACCCTCACGTCTCTGCCATGCTTGCACGAGTCTCCACAAACACTAGATTATTTATATTGACTGCTTTCTTTTCTAAAAACCGTTATGTGAAAATCTCGCCACATGACGAAAACGTAGGATGGTATCGTGCTACACAACAGCAGTAAATACCAAAAAACCAATATTTAAAGACGTGAATACTTCGAGAGAAAAGCTATCTCTGCGTACAAATTGGTGTGGTCACAGGCAGCGTAAGCACCACAGGCACAGATTATAAACGGTTTGTAATTTCTTGGTATGGGGGAGAAGCAATGGAGTCTTTTCCTATCCCCAGCTACCTTTTTAAGAGTGCAGTCCCTTTCTGTTGTGTATTTCTTATATTTACATAAATTTCTTAGGCTCTTGCTATTCAAACACCTCTAACCCTTAATTTTCTGCCATTCATATGGCACGTCGGGAACGTGCTTGGATCAACAATATGTCAAGTAAGACTGCATTACAACCAGACACTCTTGATATACCCTTAGGTACTGACAAACTTGAGCACGGGATTGACTGTAATGATTCTGAGGACGACATCTTTGGACTGGAAAACGATACACTGGAGGGAGAAGAGGACGGAGTCGACAGTTTCGGAGAATACACCAAAAATGAAGCTCTAGCTAATAGGCACGGAGCCAACATGGATCAAATACTTACCATTCGGAATCTTCCAGGATATGCCAACTATGGTCTCGAGTCCAGTTCAGGAAGCCATTTATCAAAGCGAAAGATGACAGCTGAAGTCGGAGTACAGGTGGATCTGCAAGACGCTTAACTTTTCCAGGAATCACGTCTCCTCACAAGCACTTATTCTGGTGATCATTTGACATCTTTAGACCAAAGTCAGGTTTCATTTTTTTGCAAACGTAGAAAATGTGCTAGTCTTCTTTAAATTACTGTGAATACGTAAATATTTGATTTTCATATATTCACAATCATTTACTCATCACCTAACGAGTTCATTACAACTCTCAGTTGGTGGAGCAATGCTCCGGTATCGCAAAGGTCATTGGCTTTAATCCAGTACAGGCTTGAATTTTTCCCTTATTTTGAGCCTCATTTTCACTACCGCCTAAGTAGTATTCGTTACTGCGAAGGTCGCTTTCATATTCATCAGTTACCTTTATAACTAACTTAATGAACTCATGAATAAGATCCGGTTTTATAGACCTTAGACTGGGCTAAAACGGAATAACTAAGAGTGTTCACACCTTATAAAGTGTAAATTTATGCGAAAAATTAACTCGCAATTTACTTCTATTTCGAGTGATGTATAATGAGCGATAACAATCACCCGCGAGATACTAGTGTGAAGTTTGCAAATGGGATAGCCGACGAATGTTTTTAAGTTTACCATGAGGACTTACTTTTGAGGATAAAAAACGTTTTTGTCATTACAATTTTTAATGTTGGATAATCAAGTCTTATAAGTTCCTGTTCAGAATATTAATTTGCGTCCTCAAAAAAAACGAGTTCCTTTCAATTGGTCACTAAATTTAGCGGTTTTGAATAACAACTAAGCCCTAACACCTCAGCTTTCGTTGGTTGTTTTTCTTCATTTTCCTTAACTTGAATAATTTAGAAACTTTAATTAAGGTTATGTTTGTACCTTGGTTAGTTATAGGAAAGGTGAGCTAAATTAAAATCCGTCCTTTCTTTCCTAAAGAACTGTTTGAATTTCTGAAATTTTGCTGCTGTGCAGAAAAGTTTAATCCTGATCTTACTTGTAATCTTGAGAATATGTGAGATCATTCCTCGTTTTTATGTAGCACAAGAGTACAAGAATTTAAAGCCCTAATTAACTCGGATGAAAGTATGTTATTGTAGAAATACTGCGAGCGTGTTTTGTTCGAAAATTGCTGAATGGCGGATGATGGACATGTCAGTGATAGGTCCCGCTACGATTATTACTCAGTGTAAGAAGACGGTTTCTGCTTTAATTTTGACGCATGTAGCTAAGCTAGTATTGTAAAGTTGTATCCTTACTGTGGTGACCAGAACAAACTCTTGAAAGGACTTGATTTTGGCCAATAATCTATTGCTGGTGTAAGTTTAAGGCTCCTGATTCCCGTCAACGTCTGCCTTAATTTTTTCACGAGTAAACAGTTTCCAAACGGTCACATATACACTTTAGAATTTTGGTAATGTCACAGTTCATATATCTGATAGCAATTTAAATTTCAAAACAGAGAGAAGATTGAAAATAGATACCTAGACCAGAGAATGTTGTCAATCAATGCTTGAAGTGATGTCAAGAGTATTTCAAGAGTATAATCGCCAACCCGGTTCTTCAAAGCAATAAAATTTCGCAGAGGACTTTCCTCGTTTTCCATATCGTTAAGAACTTCGTTGTTGAAATAATTATTAGTTCCATTACATTCAGAGGATACATTGGTCTGATTGGTTACATCAGGTGACACTGCAACTGGGTTATAAGGACAATAATTGGCTGTTGACTACAAAGTGTCACAGGGTTAATCGCGGCGTTAAGAGCTTTGCTATGGATTGCTGAAAATTGTATTACAAATTGAAGGAGTCACAGAGGCCCGATGACGCATTTTCTAAACCTTTAAAGATGACTCGTATGAAAAAGAGACTTCCTCTTAGACTGTTCGTACACGACTAATGCACCATTCGCCACCTTTTATTGTTTACTTGTGACCGACATTTTCAGATACATATCAAATCATTCACGACACACTTTCAGGTTTTCATCCAAGCCGGTATGCCATATCAAAATTGCAGCCGCATTTCGCTAATATACTGATGACAATCCACATGTTTGACATCATTTTGAAGTCGTGCGAAAACAAAGAGGAAAGCATGATCGAGAGAAATCTTTCCTAAAAAATACGCAGCTGTTTCTTAATCCACAAGAGCTCTGCTTCATAATTGGATGCTAAATTGATGTAATTTTGGCGAACCAAACACTTCATTCAATTACGTGGTAGAGTCTCTTATTTTGTCGTTTCATTTCCTCAGTAAACCAAGAACGGTCCGCTATCTTAAGTAATGTCAAATGAGTCATTCTCAGCTCTGTTATGTCTATACAACTTTATTATCGATTAAATCGTTTCCCTAAACGAAAAGGGTGGTCTTTGAAACCGGGTGTCGTATTTAAATGCAGATTCAGTTCTGTTCAGATACATACTGTTACAGATACGCAAACTGGTACAGATTCGCCTAGGAGTTATCGTAAGCAAATACGAAGCTGAACCGAACACCTTCAAACATATGAGCAAACGAAGGAGAAAAGAAGGAAACATCAAGTGTGATTGCATGCTTAGTTGACTTTGGTGGCAGGCAGTTATGATGATGGAGTTTACAAAGAGTTTAATTAAAATAAAGCAAATAGGTTTTGTGGTTAAAAACACTTTTTAGAAGTGCAGCGAGGAAAACAAACAAACTAATCGACACGGAAAGAAAACGTTTATTCACGCAATATTGCCTTCGTTGGTAATATGAATACTCATCCGCTAAACGTAAGCAATAACTCTGAGATTTCCGCATCCGTTAAAAGAGCAGAAACTTATTTAATCTCCTTGATATACGCGGTCATTGCTGTAATTGCAGTGTTTGGGAACATTCTAGTTATACTCGCGGTTTACATCAACACACGTCTGCAAACGAAAAGTAACTATCTCCTGGTGGCTTTAGCTGTACCCGACTTCTTCCAAGGTGCAGTTTCACTCCCCTTAAGACTAGTAGAAGTTCTGGACGTTAACTGCGATCTAAAATCTTTCTGTCCTGTTGCGATACCAGTGTCTACGTTGTTTGGCGCTGCTTCAAATCTTCATATTCTTCTTGTCGCTGTTGAAAGGTCCGTATCCATTTTTTTCCCGTATTACTACTACAGCTGGATGACGACAAAAAAGGTCTTGATAGGAGTTTGCGTGATTTGGTTGTCTGTGGTGACTGTCTCACTCCTGCCTGTCTTAGGTTGGGGTGGAAAAGAGCCTGAAACAGTGGTGACCTTCTGTCGATTCCCATCGTTTTTAATTCAGGAGTATATCACATGTCTTTACCTATTCGTTCACGTCATTCCCATAATCGTTGTCACCTTCCTCAACGTTTTCATCTTAAGAGAAAGTCTTCATCACTTACGGCGAATTGAAGCACAAGTCGTTTCCAGCGGTTTTAACCTCCCGGGAAGGGATGGTAATTCCCAATTTTTTCCACAGCCGGTGGAGGCAGTGAGACAGAAGAAGGTAGAAGCCATGAAACAGCGAAAGACGACGTTTATTGTGGCTGCAGTTGTGGGATCCTTCATCTTGCTAGTAGTTCCAATTGTAACCATCGACATCGTTGAGATGCTGACGGCTGCCGTGATACCAGAAGCTGTTGTTAAAATTGCTGTGCTGATGATTTACGCGAATCATTGCGTCAACGTTTTCGTTTACGCTGGTTTAAACTCTGATTATAGGAGGGCTTTTAAAAATATTCTTAAAAAATGTGTTAATGTTTTCCGTTTGCGTAGAACAGGAGGGCATGACTGAAGAAGGATTTAAACAAACAGGAAAAGAAGCGGGCTCGGTGTGTATGAAGCATATAAAATATTCCTGTTAAAGTGAAATTCTAAAGATAGGTTTAAGATGATAGTAAGCAGTTCGACAATTTGTTCTCTCTGATGAAAAGCTCACACTCGAGACCTTAGATTTAGAAACTCTTTACAGAGGCCAATTTAAATTATCAACTTAGCCAGATTATCTTGTTATACTCCTCACCGACACAGCACCACAGTTTCTTTAGAAACTTACCCCCTTTCTTTATAGTTCTCTCCGTAGATAATAACGTCTCGGTCAACAATTCGCTGCATAATAAATTTAATATATTTGCATAATACATTTCAACTTTTGTATAATTTGTATACGTGTATGAAGACCAAAGCTGCATGAATTGACAAGAGCGTACCTTGTGATAAGAACACACAAGGAAGATTTCAAGGGAGGGCTTTTGATTAACGTCGTGAAAAAATCATAAAACCTTAAACATTAACATATGTACATATACTGACCTAATGTACATCGTAACAGCTTTTTGCCATTCTCTTTTGATGAAGGTGAGCAGGGTTTACAAAACCGTAAACTTAGTTGGCGAATGTAATCAAAGGCAGAGGAAATTATTTAACTATCTTATGGTAACACAGAATGCCATGCCTCCAGCACTAAGGATTCAAGAGATAGAGAGTGCCTTTTCTGTTGTATTTTGTAATAATCGTTGCATTTTGTAATGAAATTGTCGAACTATGTAATACCTGTCACACTCAGTAATAACTCTTGTCGCACTTTGAAATAAAAGCACTGTTGCGCTTTGTAATAACAGACCATCGCACTAGTCGAACTCTGTAATAAATTTGGTATAGACGGTCCGAGGGAAAATCGACCTGATAATAGCTGTCATGCCAGTCAAAAATGATGATAATAGTAATGACGATAATGAAAATAATATTGATAAAGAGGAAGTACAGTTGTGAACTTCCCTCCTGTGGACGACCTCAAGACTGCAAGACAGAGTCCCCGCACAAAATATGTGGATATCATCATATAGACTACGGCGTTATACAAGGATTTCCAAGAAAAGAGAAAAAGCCGTAACAACACTCGTGAAAAAATACGATATTTTCTCACGTGTATTGATATTGCCAATCAAATGCTGACACGTCACTCGCGTTTCGCACCACTGGGTCAGGTTGATGAAAGAATGGCAAATCTTTCACCATTTTCAATCCGTGGTTGTTTTGTCGGAATGTTCTCGGATTATGGCTGCTGAAACACGGAAAAATCCGTATCGCTTATTTTCCTAGAAGGGGAAGAAAACCAAAATACAAAAAGAAAAACCGAAGTTACGTTTTCAGAAATGGTTTTTGCTTGTTTAGAGCATCTACGAAGACCATTTTAAAGTGGTAGGGCTAAAAAATCTGGCCAATGCAAACAAACGCTAAGGAAGTGTGCGTGATTTATCTTGCATTTGCGCGCCATCTTATTTTCAACCTCAATTAATATAACATAGACATCCTCACTTGTTTTACTATCCAATACAGTTATTGTGTTAAATACATTACGTACCCTTGCTTCGTCTTGAAGCTGCTCGCCGAAGTTTCTCTTGCGATTCTCATTGCGGGAAACAAACTCCTGTGCGACGTCAGCTATAGAAACACTGTCTGTTATCTGCTTGTGGCCATTCAACGCTGCTAGGTTGCTAAACCTTTCGCCACCCATCCTAGATCGAAGCCACGTCTTCAGACGCCGTGCAGATGAAAATGAACGCTCGCCAGCAGCGCTGGTGGCAGGATTTACGGCATGCAGCTTACAGATATTTTGGACTACCTGAATTAGCCTCTTTTCTGGTTCTGGAGACTTTGACACCGCCAACAGGATTTCGTTAAAACATGATACTTTCTCCTTTAACATAACTTCCAAAAAACTTAGTTGCCCAGGTAGTGCCTCAGTATCCCCCATCTTCGCTGTATGATGCTTCAAGAAACTTGAACTCTGCCTCATAGTCGTCATCATTAGCAGCTCTAACAAAGAGGGTCTCTATCTGGGCTTAGCAGCTGGAGCTTTCCTGGTGAAAGCGCTGATCAATAGCATTGACAATAAGACCAGTAGCCTCATAATGGACCTTCTAAAATGATCTTTGGCAGTTTGGGAATAGCTTGGTGCACCAGCACCAACCTCTAGTCCGGCAGGAGTGCGTCGCTTTCTTGGAAGTGTGGGTTCGCCAACCAGGCTTGCACTCTTGCGGGCAACATTAGCATAGAAAGGTCGAAGCTCTGATTAATGCGCATTTTTGTGAGCGTCTCCTTTGTTAGATTTGCCAGACGTTGTCCACTGACAGCAGCCATCTTACTACCTTGAAGACTTTTAGATAGAATATCGGTGTAGGAATAAAGCCGCTCTCCAAGATGAAAACTAAAGAAAAATTCAAATCGGTCCATTTGGGCCTTACATCCTATTATCCTTGCACGCACATCGGGCTGTAATCGTAAGGATAAGCAAACATCCACTCTGCCATATGAACCGCATAGTTCTCAACAATTTTTCCAAAAAAACTGGCTCTAACCGTCCACCTTGTAGGGCAAAGTCTAATAATTCCACGGGAGCTAGTATCCTCGTCTTCCGTCCCCAGATTTTCTTTGAGCTGTTGAAGTAAGGAATCCCACTTTGGTGAAAATTTGATCAGGGTGACGATATCCTTGGCAATATCCACTATTTGTGACAAAAGTTTACAGTTACAGGTCATATCTTTCACGCTTAAACTCAAAGAGTGAGCTTAGCAGTGGGTAGGATGAGCTTTAGAAAAAGATATTTGACGAATACACCAAACCAACGGTCCAAACCCAGAAAATTTAGCCCTTTAGATCGATTGATACCGGTGAGCAATGACTTAGGCGGCCAGTTATCGAGCAGCGGATCGGGCAGGCCAAACTCCTTGTGAAGTATATCAATGATGTTCAGGTAGCTTCGTACGGAGGCAGCTTTAAGGCTACGGGCTAAGAAAGCGGCGTGTTGCAGCAGGTGATCAGACTGAACTGGGACCGAAGTGTAACCCATGTAGAGGCAGACCTTCAAGTAGGTGTCGCGATGAGTTTTGTAAGTTGCTATAGTGAATTCTGCTTAGAGCTGAGAACGATACCTAGTAATTTCCTGTTGTAATTGAGATGCCAACCGAGGGTCTTGTGCACCTAGAAAACTCAAAGGAGCGATCGTGAGACGACTTGTGATCAGTTAGTGCCAAATTGGCCGCCGCAGCGCAACCCTTTGGGACGGAGTAAAAGGATAACAGATGAGGGCGCTCATGAAGGCACGAAACCGCATCGGCAATAGTGTTTCAAAAACCCTCGAGATAACTTGCAGTTTTATGAAAATTGAGGAGCGCTCAAAGCCAGAAAAGCGCACGGAGCTCCTGCATAATAATTTCGTTGTTCGTAGTGGCCTTATTGATGATCTGCACCCTTATCTTATCACTATAAATAATAACCCAATGGTTTGCCCAGAGGTGGCCCCATCGCGTAGCAGCAAGAGTTATAGCTAAAGTTTCTTTGTGGTTAATATGTAGACAAGAACACGCTGGGTGATCAAGTAAGAAGTTGAAATAAAACCAATCGCCCCTGAAATAACCACCTGCTGCGGGCAGAACTGCTGCTGATTGGTGAGATTTCTCCTGTGGGAGTGCGATGCCACACGAGACTGTATCCAGTTCTACACCCAGAAAGGATAATGTGCGGGAGGGTGGCATGAGTTTACGTTGACTGATAGTAAAGCCTAAATATTGCAGCAATTGTGGCAAGACTTCATGGGCATGAGTGCTTTCCGCTTGAGTAGCACCATTGACAAGGAAATCGTCGAGATAAACGATAATATTCACAAAACCTCTCTTCCCCATCATGCACCGAACAGCATGTGTTAGACGATGAAAGATTTCAGGAGAGCTTTTAGCACCGAATGGAAGGCGAGTGTCACAAAAATAACTGTCAAAATCGTCCCCCGAAGAACCGCCACATGTAGCCTGAAGCCTGATAATTTGCGGGGTGGATAGGTACCGACCGGTAAGCATGTTTGAGATCTATTTTAGCCATGAAATAATAAGGTTTTAGGAGTTTGATGGCGTCATCTAATGACTGAAATTTAAAATACTGCGTGCTGATTTAGGAATCGCTTCTGAAATGCTTACTACCGTAAGTTTCGTGGCCGTAATGACGTAGTTGCCAAGCTGGGTTTCGTCACGAATGGTTTTTTCCACCAACAGTTAAATGGCGGGATTAGTAGCCGATATATAATTGCCCATATTTACCTCGGTGAATTACGTATTAAGGTCCACCAGTTGAAATCCGTTATTAATGCCATCTGCCAAAAACGCCTCGTCCTCGTCGCCCGCCGGTTCGTGCAGCTAAAGCTTTGTGTAAAGCGGTGAATTTCGGAGTGCTAGTCAATTTTGCGTGGCCGGTTTAGTTTGCAGTTGCGGTACAGATCATTTCTCTCTACGTCGCGAAGTTGTTCTTGGAATCGGCCACTTAGCCGTCTTCCTGTTTCACCAATGTATATCTTTTTTCAATATATGCAAGTTATGCAATATATAACATTGGGAGAGGTGCACTTGTAGTGATCAGTGATCTTAATGGATCTCTTGGATACCAACATTTTCTTTACGTTGTGAATGAAAGGACAAATTTTGCATCGTGAGCGAGTGCATTTGAAAAGTTCCAGGTTGGTCATTGGTTTGAAATGAACCTCTGACCAGAAAGTTGCCCACGTTTTTGTCGCGTTGGAATGAAAGTAGTGGAGGTTGCGAAAAGATATTACCAGATTGGTATGGGGGATTTTTTACTACCATCCTTAGCGGCAATAGGAGCGTTCAACACGAAGAAAAATTACAAATTTCAACTGGTGGAGCCTCTTACTTCATTGATCAAGGCGTGAAATTAAAATAAAAAAGCATCTCCTCACGACTCTTTAAAGATCCACTTTTGCATCAAAATTTAAATTTATATATATATATATGAACATTAGAATCCTACATTCAAGCCAGCTAGTTGTACACTTTGAGTTACATTAGATAATCACCGTATCCTATCAGGTTCGATTAAATTGTTTTCTTTTAGGTATGGAAATTTTCCTTATTTGTTATTTTTCCCATTTTTAAAGCAGTGTTCATAATGTATATTTCTCATATGGAAAATGGTTATCAGATTCCCAACCAATGAATTTAAGCTCTCCCACTGGCCAACTAATTGTTGAATTAGTTTGGCTATGGTGAAATAAATATTGCTCTATTTTCCCTCGATTCAATTTTTGCCAAATATATACATTTTGCAAATTACTTTGCATTATTTTTTAGAAGTTTGTTTTTCTTTTTGACAACTGATTATGATTTCTTCTCTAAAGTTTCAGGCATGTACCACTACTACACTACTACTACTATGCAGTCTATTGACCCAACAATGACTGTGTCATGAAGACTTCAGGCTCTGATCAGGTTCCTCCAGGTTGTTCTGTCTTTTGCTCGCTTTTTCCAGGTACCTCCTCCATTATTTTCCCATTTCAGGTTCCATTTCGCGAGGTCCATAATTTAATAATAACCTAGCCTTCCCTCGTTTCTCTTGCCTTCACGAAGCAAATGACATAAAATCATTGAAAATGCAGGCAATAGATTATTTAGGTTTACAAGTACGAGAGAAAGTGCTTTATTTTTTTAAAATTTGAATTTGTCATTATGTGAAGTGGTCCAGTTCAATTGTGTATGGTTCAAAGTACGTTAAACTGCATTGTTTCTTCTAAAGCTTTGCTGATGAATCCTTCTTTGAAATGTTTCATATTACTTCACCGGTCTCCATACTTAAACTGAATGCCATCAATATGTTTACTGTCCGAAATTTTAAAAGTGAAAATGGAAGTCCACGGTTTTCCTCATTACCGGTCATTTTCTCAACTTCCGATCTATCAATGTTTTTTCAATTTCGAGATATTGGTAGTCGACCGTATCTCCTCTTGTGCGTTTGCCCAACGGAAAAAATTTATCTCAACAAAATTAAAAAAGGCACTCATCTGTCGATCCCGCATTTGCAAAACGCTACTATTATTTTCAAATGAAAGGGAAGAAAAATGGTCAAGACCACGCCCAATCCTGGCAAAGTCTATCTAGAAAAGGTGACCTTCTCAAACAAAATTCTATCCGGCAATTTTGCCAGAAACAACGCTGTGTAATGTTCCTTCTCCAGTTGTATTTGTCTTCTCAAGTTCCCGTATAGCCTAATGGCGTACTCCTGTAAATTTTGCTTTGATTCTTGATAAAATCTTTGCAAATGCCCGCTTGTAGTCTCCATTACAGCCTGCGTACACGAAAACATTCACACAATGGTTGGCATAGGCCATCCCAACAGTTATTCTGACAACTAGGGGAGACACTTTAAGACCTCCGCACATGTCCACAATATCAAGTATGACAATAGGCATTATCAGCACAATAAACAGACCGACAATGAGCGATACAGTTTTGGCGGACTTTCTTTGCCTTGCTGCCTCGGTGGTTTTGTTTTTTCGCACCTGAGGAGCGGTGCCGTCAGTTTCCCAAATGTCACCATTATCCTCTTGGTTGCATGTACGTACTGATGATCGGACGCTACGCTCCTGAATATGAATTTTCTGAATACTTCGCAAACTGGCCTTGAGAATGAAAATGTACAAAAATACTATGATAACTGATGGCAAGATGTTAATGAGCAGGTAGACTGCGGCAATGTAATCCTTAGTAAGAAACAAAGTAAAAGAACAGAACTCCGCTTGGAGATGTGTTTGCCCACCCCAAGCAAACAAAGGTAGACTCGCAAAAAGGGCTAACAAAATCCACGCCGACAAGATGACTGAGGAAATTACTTTTGCTGAAACAAAAGAGTAATAAAGAAAAGGCCATCGAACACCGATAAATCTCTCAATGCTGATGAATAGAATGTTAAGATTTGAGCTGCCCCCGAAGAGGATGGATAGAGCTATCGAGGCCCGGCACATTGACATGCTGAAATAGGAATTCGGTTGCAAAAGAACAACAATACGACAAGGTATTGCGATTCCTCCTTGAAGAAAGTCCGACACTGCAAGGTTTCCGAAAAGAGCGTTACCCACATTTCGTAGACTATAGTTCGTGTAGATTGCGGTGAGGACAAGAGCGTTGCCCAATACTGATACAAGCGCAATTAATACCAGAAAGATCACAACAGCCATAGTACCCGCATTTGAGCTATTTTCTGTATCCGTGTTAAGCAAAGGTTCGTTAGAAGACAGGAGGTCCGGTAGCTTTTCCCAAGAAGGAAGATTCCTTGTACCGTTTGCCTGTTTCATGATGAGTGTTAGTGAAAATCAGGGTTTAAATGCGGCTCTTTTTAGCACGTGTTTCTTTTGACGTGCATATGCTTAAGTACCGGCTAACGAAAACATAAATATTCAGTTGAACTTGCCTCACTCTGCACTACCTCCTTATGCTAATCTTTTTAATGACAGGAAATTACTTTCTCGCAAATCTGGCCCTTAAGTTTTCCTCCATTGGACAAGATCAGTGTGCGCTAAACACGATGATCAAGGAAGGACTGTTAACGTTCTAAAGTAAACACGCGCTCTTGATTAAATTCTATTCCTTTTACGAGATGAGAAAAATTTTAAATAAACTTGAAGGCGGAAACGAAAAGATGAGGAGTTGCCGATCATAATGTTGGTCTAATTGTAAAAGGCAATCACTCTTTTTAATATGTCTTTGCTGTTATCGGATTCATTTGGAAGGTGCCATGAATGCAGCGCAATAAATCATTTCCTTGAAAAGTACTCATCAAAAACGCGTACATGGACGTGTACTTCAGCCTTCGTTTGGATTATCATTGTAAGAAAATTTCATTACGTGGTTGCTTTGTGTGATTTGGGTCTCTTGACTTCTTATTCCTTCAAAGGACCACTTACGATGCCGCTTGTTGTTGAATTATCACCTCTTACAACCAGCTGTCACTCGTTGACACGAATCGATCGCTTTTTGTTTGTTTTGTTTTTTTTATTTTAACTTTGTTTGATTTTTGTTGTATGTTAAGTGCTCCGTTGCTCCATTGATGTCGAGCTCCGTAAAGAACTCTTGTTTTATCGCACATTATAGCCAAAAAGTACCTAATAGCCACTGATTTTCCTTACCCTGTAATGAAAAGCATCATGGTTTGACCAAAGGGAGAAGTTTTAGTCATGAGGGTGGACCAATATTTTCCTTTGAATAACTTCAATAAATATCATAGTGGGAAATAAAAAAATCGGTAGAAACATTGAGCAATGATTATTTTTGATAAGCCTGGAACTATTTTACTTTGGGGAAGAGAAGAATCATTACTTACTCTAAAATAAAATTCATGTCTCTCAGATTCACACCGAATGACTTTAAATCAGTGATTGCGGTTACTTGGCTAGACCAATGCACTCTTAATTAAAATATTCGTGCGATGTTTTTGCCTTCATCTGTAACCAGTTATTCAACATTTTATTACAAAGCGTTTCCTTGATTTGAATCAACAAGAAATTTTATGTTTGACACCCATTGACATACTTCTCATTCAAAGTTGCCTCGCGTTGAAAGGTTAAAATCGTAATGCAGAGCTGTAACAAACGGAAGACGTTAAGAAAATGGAGTACTGTAACAACAGCACTCGCGTGAACGCCAACAAAGGGATAAGAAGCAAACTTTTAACTTTAAAAAATTGATTAGCACAACGTTTTAGCATGACTTCCACAATCATTGGTCATGCGAGTCAGTGATCATGACAAAATTGAGCAATGCATCCATTCTCCATTGTTGATTCATGATTTTAAAGAAAAATCGCCATTCGTATTCGGCCGCAGAATTTAAAATGACGCAGTTTAGTTTTGAACTTTTACGCTTTTCCAAAACATTCGATGGAGATCATTCACACGTTAGGTACGTGGCATCAAAATAAAAAAAAAAAATTAAAACTATCACAGACAATTTTGTTATTTAACGACAATCTCTTCCCGCAGTGAAGGATATTTTAGAGAAAGGCTTCGGAACTTTTTTTTCAATATTTTATTATTTTTTTTGTTAAATTAGCGTTGTAACCAAAGTCGCGGGTCTGCGTTAGTTTTCTGTCTCTCCTTCGTGTTCATCTCTATTTTTGTTGAATTTATTAGTGTTCATAATGGCCCAAGTTTTTTTTTTATCTTAATAAATTAATTGGTACCATTATTTGATACGTGATTCCCGCGAGAAGATTTAAAAAAGATAGTTTGTATTTTATATTTTTTTTTTCCGCTGATTTCTTTACCATGGCGTTAGTGAACTTGATGCCCCATGTCGTTTAGTATATGTACACATACTGCGAGCTTATATCTCTGAAAACTGCATGTCGTTGAACGCCATGTTGATTTTATTGAATATGTTTTTTTCTTCTTGGATAAGTTCAAATAGACAACAGTGCGTTTATAACTAAAGACTCGATTTTTCAAAGTGTAGTCTCCCTGAAGTCATGAACACCTGCTGCTGTCTTAAAAAATAAACATGTCATTTGTGTTTGGCCAATGCCCTTAACTTAAGGTGTGCAATCACTGGGCTATATCCACAAGAAACATTTGGAAACGATTTTAGCTATCTACTCTGACGCAAAAATCCATCACACTCTGAAACTTGAATTGGTAGATAAGTTCACTACTGCTAACATTTGCTGTTTGGAAATGTTCACATCATGACCGAAACAATCGGTCTGCATGGTCTTTCTCCAAAAATGCATCGAAAACACTGAACAAGTATCTTTTTAAAAGCTCGCCTAAAGTCCTGATTAAATCCGGCATATACAAGAACGTTGACACAGTTATTAGCATATATCATAAAAACACAGAATCTTGTCAACATTTCAGGTGCTGATGGTGCACCCAACATCTCAGCCAAGTCGATAGCAATGATCGGAACTACAAGAAGAATAAAAAGGCCAACTATTATAGAGACAGTCTTGGCTGCTTTCTTCTGTTTGATGGTTTCACAATGTCTCTTTTTTCTTCTGATTGTACCGGAAGACATTTCTTTAATGTTGCTACGATGACCGTTCATGTACTGTGCATTACTTTCGAGAACAGCAAGTTCTTGCACGTGAATTCTGCGCACGTGCCGCAAGCTGGCTTTGAGAATAAACCCGTATAAAAGTACAACTGTACCAATTGGAATAGCGTGAACAATAACGTACATTCCTAATATGTAATCTTGATTTAAGTAAATGGGAAAGCGGCAGACTCTTGATGAAACAACTGGTATAAGCCACACCAGGGGTGTAGCAGCCATGATGCTCAACAACCCAGCCACCGACCACGAACAAGCGATCGCTATGTATATGCATTTTATGTTTGAGTATCTAACATATGTATATGGATATTGCACAGCAAAAAATCTGTCAATGCTTATAACCAGGATAGCCAAGTTTGAGCTGCTGCCAAACAATATTGCTGTGGCAATTGCAATTCTACAAAATACGTGCGGGTTGTAACCTACCGCCATCACTTCCAGTATTCGCAAGGGAATCGCAATCAAACCCTGGAAAAAGTCCGCCACCGCCAGGTTTGCTAAGAAGTAATTACTGGTGTACGAGCGTAACGTGTGATCCCGACAAACAGCTGTAATAACCAGAAGATTTCCGAATACCGCAATGAAAGAAATTACCGCATACAAGCAAGCCATGGGAATGGATTTGTTATCTTCCTCGGAAAACCAAACAACGGAAGTCGTGGACGTAGTGTAAAATGATTGATTTCTCGTAAAATTTTCCATTCGCTAAGTTATCCTTAAACTGAGCAAAGAAAAACGTCCTTTGTCGACGGAAACTTCAAAATTCAAATCAGTGCCTTGCAACTTCGGTTTTTTTCGTCAGCTTTTTGACGAGTTATTAAAAAAGTCCCGTTTGCAGTGAAAGGGAGATGATTTGGCCCTTCTGAGTGCAATAGTGGAATAAAATCTGGTCCTGCTCCAAGAAAACCGCACGTTCAGATATCCTTCCCACACGGTTCAAACCTGTTGTGCAAAGAGCTCAGTTTTCATCAGCTTTTTCTTCTTGTTTTAACTTAGTGACCCGGGCTCTATCGATCATATCATCTTATGCCTTCTACGATTATGTTTGACGCGTACGGTTGTTTACCGAAATCGTGTTTCGTTGTTTCCTCATGATCAAAATTATAATGAAGCCTGCATTAACAATGAGTAATATTCACTTTTTTTCCTTCATCCATATAAATTAGCAACGTTCTGCCTGCTTAAAGACAATCGCTTTAAGATAAGTCTTTTATCCACTTCAACGAACCCCATTGAAAGCCTGAAACACAAAGAGTAGATCGTAAAGAAGAAAAGGATTTAGTCCACATCAGAACAATGAGTACTATCGTGCACTATTCATTACAAGCGATCGATTATTTGTGTTAATAAAGCTGTATAAACACAGATTTCTGAGTTCCGTAAATTTTCATTTGTTTAAACTTATTACTTTCATTTCGGTTACTCTGTGTTAACAAGCTTCGGTGGGAAAATAGGTACTTTCCTAACTGGGTTTCAATTTTGTGCCAAGACATTACATCTTTTGAGCCCACGCTCGTATAATAACCTTTCAGTCCCCCTTTTTTACTCTCTTTAGTATTCTTATATTCTGAGATTTTCACATAATCAGGAAAGAAAAGTAATGTTGTCAATATCAGAAACAAAAACGTAACATTTGGCTCGCTTTGGTTAAGTACGATGTGATAAACAGTTGAGGATCGCCCATTGTACCATCTGCTCTTGATCTTTTTCAAATGACCTATGTTTCATTCTTGCCCGTTGAAGCTCTTGTTCTGCTGTGCAAAGCTCCCTAAATTTGTAAGAACTGAACGAATTTTTACCACGTTTTCTATTTCTGCCCGTCTTTTGTAATTTTTAATTGAATCGTAAAGATTTTGACTGTCGGTGACTCTGGGAGACAAGTAAAGTTTTGGGGATATTTCTTCCTTCAAGTACAACCAGTAAATGATAATGAATCAGTTTTTCCATACACTCTTTTGTGTCGAGGTGTAGTGTTGTTTATTTCACACCGACGGAAATTCCATGTTTGATCGCTAGCCCTCCTACTCAAAAGTCCAAAGTTGTACTCTTCCTTATCACCATCTCTCCCGTGCTCTGGGAACAAACAAGCTTAAAAAATTGAACAGGAAACGTAACTATAAAAACATGTAATTAAGCTCGAGTCCAACGTAGAAATTGTGAAAGCCTACAATTTGTGTGCAATGAGGCTCATCGTGAATAAGGTTACCATGAACAACATTCATGAGATAGAAAGCAAAGGTCCGTTATTAGAAAAGTCCCGTTATTAGAAAAGTCCCATGAGTGTTCAGTTAATTAAATAACTAACCAGAAGTCGTCGAAGACCGGCTGACTCCTCTGACTGTTCCCTTTGTAGGGTTCTTTCTTAACTGGTTAGGTACTTGGACAAGTGCTTAAGCTTCAGGCTCTATAACATACCTTTCACAAGTGCTGAGTTGAGTTTTTAGGGCGAGGACTTACCTGGGCGTCATTTCTAATGTGTTATTTACGTAGGATATATACATTTAATAAACTGTCTGATCCCAAAACAAGCCTCTGTCTGTTGAGGTGTTTAGTGGATTGGCTCTCGGAGTACCAAGCCGGAATCATTTGCTCTTTCAGGGTGCCAGAACTGCTATCATCATCATCCGTTTCAGCAACCCCAACGTCACACTACCTGGTTTGTGGTGAACCATGGATGATTTAAATTTCAACGAGACCTTACCAACAGCCTTTATGGAAGGGGACTTTCACACGTGAGTGTTCATGTGTTCAGTGTTCAATTTCCACAAATTCATGCAACCCGGTGATTATCTTTGCATTGAAGACACAAACCCGGCGGGACCAAAGATTAGTGGGCAAGGGGTCGTGAAGGAGCTGGGATATGAAGAATGGGGATCTGCCAAACCTCAAGAGATTTGTGCAAAATCATCCAGGCAAATACTTGGTTGATCAAAAATATACTGACTTTTACGGGTAAGAAAGAGTTTTAATTAATTATTGATACATTTTATTATTATCATTTTTATTGTTATCGTTATTGTTATTTTTATTATAATCATAACCATTTTAATTTCTTCAAATGTGATTGGTGAATCAACTGCTTTATTTTTCACCAATTATTCTGAAGAGTTGTCTGAATTGGATAGTGTAAACAGACAGTTGGCTGTAATGGTACACCTGTAGTCAGACAGTTGAAGTAGCCAATAATATCAAGTCTACTCAACTAAATCCACCTATCACAGAATTGATGACAATAACAAAAGCAACATTCATTTACCCCACAAAACTTGGGAATGTCCAAAATGGTGGAATTTTTTTTTACTTTAGACTCAATGTCTCAGCCGGAATTTTTTTCTCAAATAACAATATTTGTTTGTTTGTTTGTTTTTTTTTCGGAAATTGTACTAATTCATTCAAAGTTATCACAAGTTATCAAAACATCAATATTCTCGACATCTCTTGATGCTCTTCCTATTACCTTCTAGTTGGAGAGATAATAGGTAAAGTCTTCTATCTCTTATCCGTGTCCAGCTATTTCTTTTCATCATTGCTTTCCTCCTCTTGTGGATGTAATGTCACATGGAACACCAATGGCTTCTTACAGCGATTTTAGAGCATGTAACTGCAAATGATTATGTTGTTAAGGAGTTTGTGGATGTAACCTAAGGTGTTCTTTCCCGTTTTTAGTCAAACGTAAGGGAAGGCCTGTATCGAATATGAAACAAACTTAAACAAAAACATTAAAAACTGGTTCCTTGGTAAGATAAACAACTGATAGTTTCAGTTTCCCTATATTACGGGAAAATTTAGTGATTTTTGCTTGTGTTTGTTTGAGGCATATTTATTCGTTTCAAAATATTTTGGCCCTTTTCAAAATGAACGAGATCTTTCATTGTAACGTTTCAAAAAATATAGAAGCCAACAGTAAATTCTTTCAACTACCAACTGGTACATATCGCTTTGCACTCGCCGCCCTAATGCGCCTGAACATCGGTCCTTTTGTGGTCTCTTTCTAAATGATCGTTCAAAGTAAATATTCCTGGTGGTGACCTTTTCTGGTAAATTCCTTCTCGGGAAAGTTGCCTTCTGAACTTGCGTCTGCTAATTGTTTCTTTTTATACGATAATTTTCCTCGTGGCTTCTTGTTCAAACTCAACAACAATTGCATTGATAAGCAGAAATTTTAATTAACTCCTTACTTTTACTTCTCACTTAACCACGATAAGTAATACTGATTTCGAAGCTGTAAGTTTTATCTCCGTTCTCAAAGTTAGCGCTTTCCGACCAGATGGAATATTTTTAAATATTCTACTTAAAAGAAGAATCGGTAACTACAATTTAACCAGGTTAAGTAAAACTCAGTTTTCAGCTTTGACCGTCACATGCACGGCCCCACCTTGGATACTTGGCCAGTTTACTGAAAGCCCTACATTCAGCCTTCACTTCTAGACTTATTTTGAAAGTTAGTACTGTTGGAAATAAACTTACCGTTTAGATGGTGATTGAATGACTCCTTATGTTTTCCATATATATATCTAATGGCGGAGAAGAGGAACGACAGCCGTGAAGATCAAAGATAAAAAACATTGGTGCTGCAGGTGGGGTTGGGAGCGCGCTGACCGTTCGCAATCTTTTGTTTTATTGCTTTTTTTGTGTAGTGTTTCCTTTGTCTTCACAAATATTGATGGAAGAAGGTAAGGGATGTTTTCAGTGCTCGTTTTGATGATCATGAATAAATGACCATTGAATATTGTGACGGTCATGTTCTAAAAACCTTCACAAAAACCATCATTAAGGAGATCTTCCGAGATTGTTCTATACTACTCTTCCTAGAGAGCCGTCAATGATCTTTTCAACAACCTAGAGCCTTGTTGGAGAACATTGTAAAGAGTTTGGAAGATACATTGACTGTCGACGAGTAACGTCTGCCTCTTTCGAACACAAGACAATGCTGTCTGAGGTGCAAAAACCAGCATAACAAAAGGTAATAGAAGAGATTTGGAGAAACATTTGATTGCAAAGTTCAACGCTAGAACATTTTTAAAATACATAAAAACTTCTGAAAAACTTCTAACACTGTAAAATAATTTTAGCGACGTCATTATCAACCGGTCAAGACTAAAAATGAGAAGTGAAAATATAAGCAACAAAAAAGAAGGAAACAATGTTTCTGTCCCCATGGGTTTAGTTCCCGAAGGTGACATAACAAGTAAGTGGGTAGTATTGAACTTTGCAATCAAACGTAACTTTGAAAAAAAAAGACACAAATTTAAGAATGCAAAGTTCCTTTGCCAGAAAAGAGCCATGTGGCTTCACATGCGTGGTGGTTGCTCCAAAAAGCGATGGTGACGTAAGGGTCTGTGTGGATATGCACTGTGCGAATGAGGTAATCATCCGAGAGCGGCACACAATTCCAGCTGTTTGAGAGCTGTTACACGACTTAAATGGTAGTACTATATTCAGCACGATAGATCTCAAGTGGGGTTTTCTCCAGATTCTATTCAGTGAAGAAAGCCGCCATGTCAGTACCTTTGTCACGCACCGAGGGCTTTATCGTTACAAGCATTTAATGTTTGGAGTGAGGTCAACGCCAGAGAAATGCCAGCAAATTGTTAAGGGGATGTATTTGGGTTGCGAACATTTCCGATGACTGTTTATGGATGTGGCATGGAGGAACGAACGTCTTTTTGCGGTGTCGGATGGATTGAATGAATTGGGGGTTCAGACTGTCCAAATTAACTCTCTTTGGTCATGAGCTGATAAGCAACAGCACGGCGCGAGTACCTTCCAAATACAACGGGACCTCCTCGTCTGCGGCGATATATCGTCTAACCCTGGCCCTGCGAAAGGCAAAGATAAGCCCAAGTTTCCATGCGGCGAGTGTAGTAAGCCAGTGAGAAAGAACCAAGACGCCATTTTGTGCTCGTCTTGTGATACTTGGTCCCACGCAAAATGTCTCAAATTAACCGTTACCGGGTTCAAATACTACCTACAACATCCCGACTTGGAATGGACATGTGCTTTCTGCTCTCTGCCTAAACTATCGGACTCCTTCTTTGACGAAACTGGCTCATTTACTTTGAACGAGAGCAACTGTGAAAACGAGAAGTGTGAAGTCGAATCGGTCGATACCGACGTAGTCCTAACCAAGATAAAATACATTAGAATTGAGCACAGAAAAGAATGTGTTATTTCCTGCCTCAATATTAATAGCTTGCAAAACAAGTTCGATGAGGTTCGACTATGGCTAGCTACTAATACATTCGACATTTTGACAATACAAGAGACTAAAATCGACTCAACTTTTCCTAGCTCACAATTTCATGTCAAAGGTTTTAACTTTTATCGTCGCGACAGAGTCAAAGGCGGCGGTGGCATTGTAGTATACATCAGAGACAATATAGCCGCTTTACGGAAGAAATTGAGAGGAAAATATGTCGAATCAATGTTGTTTGACATGAAAATCGGACAACGACAGTTTGCATATATTACTGCCTAGAAGCCTCCATCTGTTGACAACAACACATTCAAACGCAAACTCCGCGATCTTCTGGACGAAGCAAACAGCCTTTCTGATAATGTGATTTTTGCCGGAGTCTTAAATTCGGACATTCTCCACCCACTTGATAATCACAAAGAGGGTCAGTGTTTACTGGATTTGCGTAACATTTATGACCTTGACAGCCTTATTAATGTTCCTACAAGGATCAGTAAAAACAGGGAATCCTGTCTGGACGTTATTCTCACTAACGTCCCCGCGTTTGCCAAAGACTCGGGTGTCATTCATACGGGTCTAAGCGACCATGATCTCGTATATACGGTTCTGAAAACCCGACACATGCGATTAAAAGCAGAAACCATAACTAAACGATCCTTTAAAACTTTTGATAAGGATTCATTTCAAGCTGATTTATCAACAGTGCCTCTCTCTGTCTCATACGTGTTTGATGATCCTGACGATGTATATTGGTGTTGGCATCAACTCTACGATCAAGTTCTGGATGCTCATCCGCCCAAGATAACAGTAAAGAAACGCCCGTCACCGGCTGAAGTATTTATAACAGACGAAATTCGGAAGACAATACGGGACCGAGATAAACAGAAAAAGCGATATTACAGATCCAGGAATCTTCTCGAGTGGGAAAAATACCGTGTCTTAAGAAACGAAGTTGTTTCCATGAGAAGAAAAGCTGTACAGAACCACTTCAAAACACTTTGTAAGGAGAAATACGCAGATCAAAAAAGAACAATAGCCGTATTGTTCTTAAGGAGAACGATCAGATAATGCGAGAGCCACGTGAAGTTGCAGAAACTTTGAACGATTTCTTTTCAAACATTGTTGGCATTGATAAAACAACTGAACGCATGAAGGATTTCACACATTTTCCACACGACTCCGCCTGCGGTCAGATCACCCTAAATTATACTAACCCCATAGAAGTGAAGGAAATCATGTGTAACATGAAAACAAATAAAGACATTGGCCACGATCTTATTCCCGCGAGGGCAGTGAAAGATTCTGCTGAAGTGTTGTGTGACCCGTACTGCACTCTCTTTAATTATATTCTGGACGAGTGAAAGTTGCTGGAGAATATTCGAGCTGGAATTATATTTCCAGAGGGATTGCCCAAGGATTAATCCTCGGGCCTTTGATATTCAATATTTTCCTCAACGATCTCTTGTTCATCGTGAAAAGATGCAAACTCTCTAGCTACGCAGACGACACGCAAATTTTCTTTGCTCATAATGACTATAGAGAAGTTGAGAGTGCTATAAACTCTGATCTCGAGCTTGTTGATAAATGTTATGATGAGAACGGTCTGAAAAGGAACAATTCTAGTCTCAATAGTCTCAAGCTATTGTGATGGGAAAGTCTGACGCTACACCTGATTTCAAGTGTGAAAATTCCAGTATCCCAGTGACTAAAGAATTTGACATGCTTGGCACAACGATAGATAACAAACTGAAGTTTGACAATCATGTTGCTAAAATATGTAGGAAAGTTTCACAGCAAATGGCTGTTCTTAAAAGAATGAAGAAAATGCTTCCCTTCGAAACAAGGCGCGACCTATATTTAGCATTTATCCTTCCTCACTTCAATTATTGCAGTGAAACCTGGAATTTTTGTAGTAAAAGTGCTGCAGACAAATTGGAAAGGTTAAATGAGCGCGCGATCAGGTTTGTTTTCAGAGATAAGTACACAAGCTACTCGGAACTTCTCAGCGCATTAGGCCTCTCATCTTTAAAATAACAAAGATTAATTAAAATCACACTGTCTATTTTTAATGCCGTCCACAATTCTTTAGCGCCCAAAAGTGTACAAGACCTGATAGTTCATAGGAAGAACGTTAGCTACAATTTAAGAGATGACTATATCCTCTCGCTACCCAAGCCAAAGTCTACTACATATGGCTTGAACTCAGTCCGTTCTATTGGTCCGAAACTCTGGAATTCTATTCCGAACATGTTTAGAAACGAATTTTAAGTCTTTTAAGGGACCATTAGCCAAGTTGACCTAGTGCAATTTTTATAATTTCGACGCTTTTTTATTGAATTTAATATTTATTTAGATGTAAGATATACTTATTAAGATTTTATTGTTATAATTTTAAATTATAGAATACTCCATATCTAGTTTTTTTTTTATTTTTTTTTTATTTTTTTTTAACTCTTAACTTTATTGTGTTTGTGGAATGCCTGTAAATTAGTTGGCGTGCTTTCACAGACCCCGATTTCGGTTCCGTCTGTGAAAGCACACCATTATTGTAGCTAAGTGTATTTTCACAATAAACTCTTATTGTATTGTATTGTATTGTAGTATTGTATCTTTAAGAATGAGTTCATCATGGGAATAGATCAGCACGACTGCATGACTGTGTGTGAATTATGAATATTAATGTTGTGAAATATATTTAAGTGAGGTGAGTATTGATTAAAGTGTGTTGTAAGTTGTGACTGTATAATCATATAACCATGTTCACCTTCAGCCTAACTCCAAATCAAAGGCTTGGCAACTAAGTACACAACTGTTAACTGGCCTATTCTGACAGCTCTGCTTGTTGGAAGCCTATTACTTAATACGGATTTATGATTCCGCTGCTTAGATTTCGGGCATTTCGAAGAAGATATCCAAGCGGTAAGTTGTAAGGAATATTTGAACCAGCCGCCTCCCCTTTGGCGACGTTATTTGCAGCTAGCGCTTTCGCGCTAAGCTGCTAATTGCCTTGGCCACTATGGGCAAAGAGGAACAAATAAAATCTTGCTTACTTTCTTGGAATCTAGTAAGGGACAACCGGCACGGATTCCCCATGTGGCTTTTGTTGTCGCGTCGCATTATCGCCTTCAAATTCTATTTTAGCCCTTACAAGCGCGTCTTTAGGGGAATTTCCCATATGTAAGAGATTATTGGAGGTTTTGAAATAATTGTTTTCATCAGAGGCTGATTATGTATCAGACTCCAATGCTCCATCACTATTTGTTTTAAATTTTTAACTGCTAGATGGTACGTTCTGGCAAAAGGGAATAAACGTTCATGACCTTTTGGCTTGTGTAAAAGTATGTACAAGAGCCAATTGTCTAGAAGCAAAGTTGACCCCTGACAGAGACCTTTCTATGATGTTTTCTGCGTACCCTCTTGCTTTGAGGCTTTGTTTAAATCTTAAAAGGCCCTCTTCAAATGTTTTTTTCGAAGAGTTAGTTTATGTTTATGTTAGTTTACCGATCGGTAAAGGTTTGTGTATTTTCGTGAGCGTATATAATATTGGTATTCTAGGTGGATTGGGAGTTTGTGATAGCCATTTCTTAGTTATGTCATCAATGTGTTTGACCCGATACATTTGGTCAATGATCCTATTAACCCTTGCCTGCGTGTTATTTACTATCGGTGCCCTGAGAGGTTTGTAGTGAACTCTGTTGTCGAGTTGCACTTTGGCCTCTGCTATCTTTTCTGTCTCATTCACGATGACTGTTGTTGTACCTCTGCAGAGGTTCAAAGCAGAGTTGTTATTCAACTCTTTTAGAGCTGTGACCTCATTGCGTAACAGATTACTTTTTGGCTTAGTTGCAGTGATCTCTGCAAGCTGTGCTTAGACATTTTCTAAGTAATTCTCAGGGGCAACAGAAGGCTGAACGGTGGCATCCAGTTTGATTAAACATGAAACGGAAGTGGTTCTTTGTTTTGTCCGAGAAAGATGTATAACGCACCGATCTCAACGCACTAAGAAATAATTACTTCAGAAACTGCTCACCTACTTGAATAAGGTGTCATTGAGCCTGCTGCACACACTCCGGATGAATACATTTCCACTATATTTGTCAGGAAAAAGAAAAGCGGTCAACACCCATGATGTTGAGTTTAAAGGGGCTTAACAAGCACATAGAGAAACACCATTTCAAAATAGATACTCTTTGGTCTGCTGTGGGACTCATGACTCCAAATTGTTTCATGGCATCAATCGATTTAAAAGATGCCTACTACTCAATTCCCATTGAGGAAGTTTTATCACTAGCGATTGATATTTTTGGCACAAATGGCTCCCCAAAGGCCATAATCTTTTCCCATGACTTAACCACGCCAGACACATCGTAAACAATCGAACAAGAAGAGCAGCTACATGTAATAAATGGTTAACAATAGCACATATGCAATTCAGATTCTAGCCCCCAAAATTAGAATCTATCGAATCGGCGTGACTCTAGGATCAAACTCTTATGACGAATTCGTCCTTTCATGACTACTTAACAACGAATCACTTATTGAAAATTAGTCTATAATCAAACCAACTAGGCTGTGCTTTTGTTCTGCACTTCAAGGAGTAACTTAGACCAAGTCCTTAAACATCAAAAGCGAGCTGCTAGAACAATTTTATATGCCCAAAGAACCGCAAATTCAGTTGATCTCTTTAATTGTCTTAAGTGGATTCCTATCTATAAAGAAGCTTCATTTGTCGTGACTGAAGCGTTACATTGAATTTGTTGATAGTTTCGTTACAAAAGTACAGAAATATGATAAGTAATTTGGGTTTATTGATTGTGAGATCGGAGTTACTAGTGGGTAAGAGAATAAAATAGTGTGCATAAAACCAGTTTGATTGTTTGTCGCGAGATCATTTACGATACAATGAAGAGATGTGTTCTTGTATTCAAGGGCTTAATGGTCAACTGTCCCTATACATGAATGAATTACTAGTGACTAACAACTATGGAAGGAATATATGATACGTTGAACTGAGCTTAAGATACCCTTCATAAACATGAAACTGGGGAGGGGACATTCTCTGTGCACATGACTAATCAATGGAATAATTTAAAAGTAGCAGAGTCATTGGGAAAACTTTCATTCCAAGGCATTACAAACAAAAGTGCAAACTTTGCTTGATTTCACTGTTTCGTGATTGGAGAAGAAACTTACGAAAAAAGAAAACGAAACTAAATGGAGAAAGTCGACTCGATAGCTTTGATGCCATTCCTCGTTACTTCGAATATCTGCAACAACTTATTCACGTAGCCCTAGGCCATGTAGTACAGTTTTACTAATTCGATTTTAATCAGAGGTAGACACATGCACCTCTCAAGCGCCTATCTTTTTCTTGTTTTCTAGAGTTGATGTTATGAATAGTGGGTCAGTAATGATGGGAATTACTGGGTCAAAATAGGGAGGGGATAGTATTCATAGAAAAATATTAGACCTTTTTTTAACCAATTGGGGTTTTCTTATTACTTAACCTATGACGAATTATTGTTTTCAGCATCCCACAGAGAGGGAAAATAATGGGTAGCACTGTGACAGATAAGACTAACTATAGCATGCTCCAGACCCAAATAGAAGGCCAACTGTCAAGTCAGAAACGATTTGTTCCTATGGAAGAAAGGCGCGATACCAGCTTGCTTCCAGCTGAAATCATGCCAGCTATTTCTAGTGGTACGTAGTAATCTGGTTTAGATAGTTAAAAAATTACTGATGGACACGTGCACAAATAATGACAGACAGATAGGCAGGCAGACAAGCACATGAATAAAGATACTGTGAAGACTGCTCAGGGACCAGGCTGATTAGAATAATTTTCCACCAATGTTCTGATAAAAGGTTTGAAGATATCATGGTCATTGATTTCAGTCAAAGCTGGCTGAGCACATATTATACGTCCATCGGGAAAAAAGGCCATGGACCAGCAAACAGAATTGTGAACAGACAATTAAAAAGACTATCCTTGAGGGTTGTCCAATACACCCAATCTGAGTCCGATGGACGAAGGCCACGAACATTCAGACTCACCGGAAGTCAGTTCGCGAAATATACAAAGTATAGAGTTGCGGACTGGGTGGAACATGTCGGCAAACGGCCGGACTCCATCGGATCCGATGGAGACGGGTTGCCGTGGCAAGAGTATATCGGACTGACCGCGTGTTAGTTCGCGAGAGACTTAGAAAATATGTAGCAAAGTAGAGAAGTGAGAGGGGTGGAAAATGTCGGCAAACGGACTTCATCGGATCAATGGAGACGGGTCGCCGTGGCAAGGGTCCATCAGTCTCGACGCGTGTTAGTTCGCGAAATATACAGCAAAGTAGAGTAGTGAGAGGAGTGGAAAATGTCGGCAAACGGAGTATTAGATCCAGTGGAGACGGGTTGTTTTGACGAGAGTCCATCGGACGCGCCGCGTGTCAGTTTGCGAGACACTTAGAAAATATTATGGCAACGTCGAGCATGTGGAGGGGCTGGAAAATGTCGGCAAACGGACTCCATCGGACCCTATGGAGACGGTTTGCTCGACAAGAGTCCATCAGACACGCCATTTGTTAGTTTGAGACCTCACGGCTTAAAGTGTGACGAATGTTACATGAGAAGCGCGCTTGTTTCGCCTCATGATTTTAAGAACGACGTATATTTCATTATAGCGCGCTTGTTTCGCCTCATGGCTTGAAGAACGACGAATGTTACATGTGTAGAGCGCTTGTTTCGCCTCATGGCTTGAAGAACGACGAACGTTACATGCGTAGCACGTTTGTTTCGCGTCATGGCTCAAAGAACGACGAATGTTACATGCGTAGCACGCTTGTTTCGCCTCATGGCTCAAAGAACGACGAATGTTACATGTGTAGCGCGCTCGTTTCGCGTCATGGCTTTAAGAACGACGTTCATTTCATATGTAGCGCGCTTGTCTTGCCTCATGGCTTTAAGAACGAGGTATGTTTCATGTGTAGCGCGCCTGTTTCGCCTCATGGCTTGAAGAACGACGAATGGTACATGTGTAGCACGCTTGTTTCGCGTCATGGCTCAAAGAACGACGAATGTTACATGCGTAGCACGCTTGTTTCGCCTCATGGCTCAAAGAACGACGAATGTTACATGCGTAGCGCGTTTGTTTCGCATCATGGCTCAAAGAACGACGAATGTTACATGTGTAGCGCGCTCGTTTCGCGTCATGGCTTTAAGAACGACGTTCATTTCATATGTAGCGCGCTTGTCTTGCCTCATGGCTTTAAGAACGAGGTATGTTTCATGTGTAGCGCGCTTGTTTCGCCTCATGGCTTGAAGAACGACGAATGTTACATGTGTAGCACGCTTGTTTCGCGTCATGGCTCAAAGAACGACGAATGTTACGTGCGTAGCACGCTTGTTTCGCGTCATGGCTCAAAGAACGACGAATGTTACATGCGTAGCGCGCTTGTTTCGCGTCATGGCTCAAAGAACGACGAATGTTACATGCGTAGCACGCTTGTTTCGCCTCATGGCTCAAAGAACGACGAATGTTACATGCGTAGCGCGCTTGTTTCGCGTCATGGCTCAAAGAACGACGAATGTTACATGTGTAGCGCGCTCGTTTCGCGTCATGGCTTTAAGAACGACGTTCATTTCATATGTAGCGCGCTTGTCTTGCCTCATGGCTTTAAGAACGAGGTATGTTTCATGTGTAGCACGCTTGTTTCGCCTCACGGCTGAGAGATATTTTCTCTGTCTCTCGCGAACTGACCTCCGGGGAGTCCCATCGACTTTTGCCAGGACGAATTGTCTCTATCGGGCCCGATCGAGTTTGTTTGCCAACATCTTCAACTCCCTTCGCTGCTGTTAACCTCTTACTTCCGGTACCATTGATCAAGCACCTTGCGCCCATTTCCGGGTGTATTGGACATGAGTGGGTGGAGAAGGCCTTGAGGACATGTGTGCCTTAAGGAACAGTTTAAAATGGCGCTTATATTTAAAATGACTCGCTTTGCTTGCAGGAAAATATATTACCACCTATCGCGGCGTACCATTGATGAAAGATCCTTTCACTCTCGCAGTTGTACCACAGTTGCTCTGGGAGCTTAAACCACGTACCATAATTGAGTTCGGCTCTTACGCAGGAGCCTCAGCACTTTGGATGGCAGATTTGTTGAGGCAATACAACTATGAGTCACGTGTCCTCTCGTTGGATATTGATCTCTCCATGCTGGCGCCTTTAGCGAGGGATTCCCGTTCTGATATTTCGTTTATCGAGGGAGATATCTTTGACGTTGAAAAACACTTCCACGAGGAACTTCTTGAGGTAAGTTAACTGACACCTTACATTTAGTGTTTAAACACTTCTTTGAGGACCCAAGATCTCATCCTTTCCTGGGGGAGAGGATATTTATTGTCACTTCAACAATGAGTTACTGAATCTTGGATAGAATTTGATGAGGTAAACCCCTGTTTGATTTTTCTATCAGGCAGGGGTTTGCATCATTCATGGTTCTCATTGCTGCACTCATCCTCAGACAAGTTCAACAGGAAAGATCTAGAATTCCCGGAAATCTGGCATGAATATCGAAAGTTAAAGTGATAATCAGCGTGTCCTTGTTTTCCACAGAATTATTTCAACTTTGTTTTGTTAATTTTTTTTCTTGTCGTTTCTTTCATTAGAGCTTACCTCACCCATGGTTCCTAAGTGAAGACTCACATGTGAACATGATAGGCGTTTTAGAACATTTTCATAAATTTATGCAACCTGGAGACTACCTCTGCATCGAAGATACAAACCCAACGGGACCTGAAATATCCGGACAGGGACTCATCAAGGATCTCGGATACTCAATGTTTGGGGACTCAAAACTGAATGACCTCAAAAGATTTCTGAAAGACCATCCAGGCAAATACATGGTAGATCAAAAATACACCGATTTTTACGGGTAAGAGGTTGCTAAGTGATTTTATCCATTCAAGTAAGAAGAGCGTTACTCAAGTTCCTCTTTCCCTTTCAAGCTGATTTTAATAAACTAAATCCGACTTTGCGTTGTTATTCTTGCAGATACAATGTCACTTTAAACACCAACGGCTTCTTAAAACGGGTGTAGGTCCACAGCCACTTCGAATCGAAGATTCAAAGCTGAAGGCAAAGTAAATTGTAACCTTGAATAAAACATTAAACTCAATTCCGAGAAGGAAAATATCATTTTTTTTTTCATTGATCATTGTACCATGTACCGTTGTCATTCCTTTGAACTTTTCAATAGTCTGTCTTCTCTCGTCCCATAATAAAAAAGACAGAAGAGCAGAGGGGGGAGGTGTTTGATAGCATTTTAAATCTGTGGCTGTACATAGAACGAATTAAGAAAATAATTGTGGACGAATTCAGAGGGGAGCCGAGGCTATGGTTTTCCTGCAATTTAAATTATATTCTCCAAACTGAGTTATTGGTCTTTATTTTTTTGTCACGTGGTTTTCATCTTGATCTAAGATGGGCCCTTTTGTCAAATGTTAAATTATATATGTGGACCTGCTTCAAACAACGAATTCGTGATGAAGGCATATTGTTATATAATTCATTTTAATCATTGTGTTCCCTTATGATTTTTTTCATCCTCGAATTTTAACACACTGTAACAGCACAACATTATGAAACTGAGACCGTAAAACTCCAGGCTGAAATTTGCAAACGCATCTATGTCAATTCCGTACGAATAAAAAAGACTAAAACGAAAACAAAGCAACAGTAGTCAGAAGTTTTAAAAATTTGGAAAAAATTTTATTCGAGAAGTAATAATTAAACTGTAAAATAAAATGGAGTTTTGCAGTGAATGACGGTACCACTGCAACAATTAAAATTGCAAACAGCTCAATAAAACCCCTTAATCTTGTTTAAAAAAGTGAGTTAACCCCGATCATCTTGGAAAGTAAGGCACCGTGGTCGTATTTTTTGGTTTCGATACAAACATTGTGATGTCCTTGAAGAAGGTAGACATCCTTTCCAGACGTGCGTTTACTATGTTTAGGTCGCCATAGGGGACTATATCAACTACATGGATCTAATCTGGATGGATATTCCTTCATTGCCCTGTACGTATTCACATTTAGAAAAGCAATCAGATTTACTTTCTAGGTATGTGTGAGCATCGCTTAGCTTGATGTTGGATCAAGCATAACGTGTGTATATCAAGATATGGATGCACGCGGAACGAGTTGCTCAAGGCAGCCAGAAGCAACTCCAGATTATTTATCAGTTCCGCACTATGGCCAGGTCCAAAGCAAATTCGTCAATTTTAACCACAGGCGGCCCAAGCTCCAGCTGTGAGATTATCATCATGCGAAATAAGAGTCATTACTTTGACTGGGTATATTTAAGACCGCTCTTAGGAATAAAAAATACAGTCAAAGTCTCAATAAAAAATACCTCACCTTACTTCCATAGTGCATCGCTCGCTATCTGACCGCTTACTATGTTAAAAAGAACCCATTTTGGCGAGTTATCCATTTCTAGGTTTACCACTTACATAAGGCTTTTCTTTTGTACTCAGTAAACCCGGAAATGGATAACTCGCCAAAATGGGTTCTTTTCACCATTCTTTTCATCGCACTCGAAATATATGAAGGGAAATTTTACCAATTTACCTTTGGCAGGCTGTCACTTCACGCCTCCGCGTAACGATACTACTTTGTCGTCTTAGTAAAACGTGTTTTGAAGCTTAAGGGGGGAAAGAGATTTACAATTAATTTTTCAATATAACTTGATTGCAACGCATTTGCAATGTTCCAGCAGGCGAGAAAGACTACCTGTGTTCATCTACTTGTCAAAGAGATTTAAAAATTAATGACAAATGGCGAACACTAGAAACATTATTAATGACTTAGACTGCGCATTACAGATTGTAAACAAGTATTTAAAAACTTGGAAATCACAAAAGGAAACCTCCAGTTGTAGAACAAGCGGCTTTGAAATGATGAAAATGTCATATTTAGTCTGCACTACACAACAAAAAACACAGTAGTGTACACCAAATAAGTTTATTTAGGGAAGCCTGCCGAGAACCAACCCGAGGCACATATAGCCCGAGGCGTGCATACATACATTCGCAACTGATATACCATATACAATCCTGATATAAAGTCAATTCCTTACACATTCAAAATAGGTATACATTACTAACATGCACACTTCACCAAGTCGGGATTAACAGAGGTGGGCAACCGCTTACAAGGACATTACTACGGTTATACGGAGGCCAGAAAAAACCTGCCAGAAAAAAAAAAAAAAAAACCCCTTTGGGGAAAAAATATGACAGGAAATCAGGGTAGGAACCATGGCCCACACTCAGAGCAGTTGGCAGCCCGTCCTACGAGGCTTCACAGTTAAAGAAAATAAGTTTTCAAACTAAAATAAATTTGTCATCAGTCAGAGGTGGACGGTTGGTTCTGAGGCCTAGATGGACGCCACGTGCTATACTCCCCCTTATATACCACTGCATCATTACCCATGATGCTCGGGCCTAAGGCCCGGGCCTTGTCGTATCTCGTGCCGACAAAATATTTATTTCTGCCTTATTCGCAGACTCAATCGTCAGAAATACCATTTATTATGAAGATTCACGGGGTTGGCAAATTGGAAAACGAGAACCGAAATGTATGTAAAATGTACTCGCTATATTGGTTCAATCACTTTTTCTAAACATTGCAATGGAAGAACAAATCATTGCTTTGGAAAACCAGTTTCAACTACGAAAAGCTGTTGGCTGAGATGATTTTCCCGTATCTTTGGAAGTCAGATGTGATCGACTGAAGTTTTTTTTTTAATGTTATCTTTTATGTATGGCATTGTTCAAGAAAATAAAAATTCGCCTCTATAAGACCTATTTTCAAAGCTGGCGGTAAAGCTGCATCTTAACTATATAGACCTGTTTCAATCGCTCCTTGCTTTGGGAAATTCTCCGGCCGGATTCTTTACAACCTCGTGTTACGTTATCTGAGTGGTTTTCATATGCAGACAGCGCAAAATTTGAACATTCCGGAATTAAGACTTCTATACAGTTCTATCTAAACATTTTGCTACATTACGTCAAAAAGAAAGGGTCAATTCTGGGTCTGTAATTTTTCATGTTAAACATAAAAATTCAAAATTAATGACGAGTTTATCTTTTTTTCAGATTCCAAAATTTTTTTCCGTATGTTTTGATCAGTAATTTAATTAACGAAATAGAAAAACTGTTTAACTGACCACAGAAAACTGACTCTTTGACAACTTGACGACAAATTTTTGGAATTTAGCCCTAGAAGAATCCGAAAAAGAAAAGGTACTTTTAACTTTTTATTTCAATGAAAGAACGGTTGCACAAGTAATACTGAGATAAAAATTAACTTTTAAATTGTCAAATATTGGACTTAGTCAATAACATATCCGATGCTTGAGGTATAACTTCAAATTTCAAATGCTGGTTTAAAAACTGTCTTCAAAGAACTAATTTTATGATTGAATGGCGAGCAAGTCTAAAGACAATTTTCAGGCAGAAGCTATTAGCTATTTCGGAAGCTACATGAAGCAGCATGTAAACGAATTGCAGTCACTACACTAATTTCACTTTATTCTTAAACAATTCACCAACGATATAATCGATCTTGGTCAGGTTTAAATAAATTTCCTTTCCCCGAGAGTTGGTTCTGGAGTAAAATAACAAAACAAATGTTGCAGGTACAATAGAACACAAAAACCCCGAAAGTTCAAACCCTTTTAGCGAAGCTTACAAACGTTATCGATGATTTTTACACCACCGAAGATTGCAAAAACTTGAAATTGAACGAAATCTGAACTAATACTAAACGTGCAAGGTATAAAATGTGCATAATGAAGCGTATTTAAGTACGTAAGAGTCCTTTGTGGCCTTAGCGCTCGGTAGTTTATGCGCGAAACGAAAACAAAGAAAAAAAAGGGAATTACCGACCAAAATGTGCTAACGTGCATACCGCTGTAACATGCCGACCCCGAAAAGCGCACGTAAGTAAGACGACAAGCCTTTCCTCATGCAAGTGATTAAACTGTTCCTTAGTGTCAGTCAACTCTCGCACAAGATTCGTTCTGAATTGTATTTCACCCTTTGCTATCAGAGATCGTTTCAAGAGACGTAACTTGCGAACTTCTCGTCGCAAACAACCACTAGCAGTATTGACTTCGACAAGACGAATAATTCCGTTGCGATTAGGATAAATTTTTTGAGCGATTCCTTTGGGCCAATGTCTACGAGCACTGAAGCATGCAATCGCTCACTGCAAGGTTCGGTCGTCGTCTAAGCTATTTCTGTATGGTAACAGCGCATACCGTAGTAACATTTGCAAAACTTTCACGGCATGCAGTAGGTATAACCTGGTTGGTCTATGTTCTCGCTTAACTCTTTCTTAAAACTTTGTTTACAATCCATGTTATCCTGTTCGGGTTGATTCCCGGAGCTCAGTGGTCTCTTCTGGCACACGAACAACAGTAGAAATTAATGAGGTCGCCTAAAAAGATTGTAAATCGTCAGGCCTGGAGGCAAATAGTCAGATTGTTTCACAGGGAAAGGAAATACTAGATCTCCTCGAAGTTGTTTTTTACGGTGGTATTTTGTTTTGCTTAGGGTTAGATAACGCCCTAACCCTAATCCATTAACTCCTAATCCACTACATGTTTATTTGTAGTTGAGGTTTATATTTGTGTTCATTTCGCTTTGTTAGTAATGTACAGCCTAGATAAGGCCAAATGAGTGTCGATAAAGCATGTTCAACAAGGTTGGGAAACATGCCTATTCTTTCCAGCAATCTACCATAAGAGAGCGGACACGTGACAGGACACGTGACCACAATTGATTAAGAGCACCGGTACCCAATTATTGATGTAATGTCGTTGATACTCTAACTGACGAAATGAAGCATGATATCAGTGCATGATTTACCAGAATCTGTTTTTACCGAATTGTAGTATGGGTTTCTTCATTTTCCGCTTCCTCCAGGTTTAACTGTAAACACACACATCCGACTAAGAATTGAAAACTGAATTTTAATTGTGTAAGAGCTGCTATAATCATAAAAAGACTGTTCATCGTTCCCCAATAGTCATCTACGAACAAAACCATTCAAGACACAACGCGTTATCTACCTCTATTTAACATTTAGAAATATCTACCGCACCTGCTGACGTCATATCCCCCTCTGGCCTAAGATAACACATCTTACTATGGCAGTAAGGAATATCGTAATTCCTCTTGTTCACAAGATATGACGTCTCTCTAAATAATAACTTGCAGTTAAATATTTAAATAGTAACAGTAATCATCACAATACATGTACATGGCCGCTCCTGTGATTGGAGCAAGGGGGGCGTCAGCACTTGACGATGAACTTCGTTTCTTGTTATATTATTTTATGATGCATAATCAAACTCAACGTCTTCAGCTCTAAGCAATAACATTTCTTCTCCCGTGTTATATCTACTTTATTTAATTCTCACGATGCTTGATCAACCCAATACCATTCTGACAGGTTGAAAAGTGGTCACCGCTAAACATATGTCAGTTGTCAAATGGCTACAAGTTGACATCTTAACGTAACACAAGGAAATAACAGATCGCTCGTGCAGTGTCTCTGAATACCGAAATCACTTTGGCTTGTGTAAGTAGCGTAAAGAAAGATATGTCAAAATTCTGAATATAAAAATAAAACAGAGAAGTACAGCAATGTTTTCTCCCACAGATCTTGTCACATTCAGCCTCTCTAAAATGTCCGTTCCTTCGATGACGGTTCCATTGTTGTGGCATTTACCGTAAGAAGACTCAGTCGCCGAGCAACTGGAGGAACAAAAGTGATGCATTTTGAGTGATCTTTTTTACATTATATTCTATTTTGACATTAACTTTTGTAGTAAAGAGAATTCTACCAACAACAATATTGTGCTGAAACTGTAGGAAGACAATAATCTTTATTTGCCGTACTGTGCATATCCCTTTTGGCTTTCCTCTTATTTTTTTATTTATTATTTTTTTGGGGTGAAGTTATGAACTGTTGCTACTACAATGCTTTGGTAACTTTCATGAAGGTAACGACTGACGTGCTACCAGTTTCATATCTAAAGGAAACAGTGAAAGAGAATTCCAAACAACATGTCAAGGAACATACAGCATAAGATTAATGTTGAATTGAATGTCCCGGATATTGCATACCTCAGAATTAAGCTCACCTGAATGATGGAGAATCAGCAAATTCAATGACAAGGGAAGCCTCATAAGAATACTTCAAGAAAGCAGCGTACTGAAACCAAGATAGCCATGAGGGTATGTTTTTCTGGTAGAATCCGCCCAACAACATACAGGTCAGACCATATACAGCACACACCACTATTGACTTCTTGAAGTTCATTACTGTGGCGCCGATACACAAACCTATGGACTGGACAACGAAAGATAAGGCTTTTTTACAAGCGTGAAAACACCTTATACTCTATCAAACAATCTGCTAATAAAGAAATAAACCGGTAAACTCTTCTCTGGAATTCCTGTTTTTGTTTTGTTTTGTTTTTTGCGTGTGTGTGTACTTTAGAGGAGATGAAGAGTCGTAGTTTGTGTGCCGAGAGTTATTGTTTTTTTCCCTAAGTAAAACGACTCTCTTTCCTTCAAGTCATGCAAAAAATGTTCTGCTATTATATTTGAAAAAAACAAAACAAAACAAAACGCAAAAGAAAAAGAAACCGAGAGTTTAATTGATTAAGTAAAAAGCCCACGTTTTTGGTCTGTCTGCATACAGAGCAAGAAAACCTTGGTAGGACATATTTGGAGCCGTACTGCAAACTTCCTGCCAAGCACAGGCAATAAACAAGGAAGCAAAGTGTCTTTCATGGCTTTTCAGTTAATTTCAAAGTTTTCCCACCAAACATTTTTCTCGGTGGTGCAGAGCGTCAGTCCACCAAAGACGAGATTGTCCGCCCAGTTTAGCATTTTTCTTCTCCCAAAAGATGTTTATCAGAAGACTTTGAAATCATATGCCAAACATCTGTACATATTAAACTTGGTTATACCTGTCCTGTTATGGCTGTTAACAAAAGCACGAAAAGGCCACCGAGGAAGGACTCGCTTCTGTTTAAACCCGTCATCCAATAGACTGCCGTATAGAACAGAGTCGGCTGACATAAGACCAGCGGTAATTCACTGAACAACTTGGCTAAATAGTATGCAGAGAGTCTGTAGTAGCCAGCAGCACGTTCTTTATTGACTACAGTCCTTTCACTTGGAACTACATAACCAACAGAAAGATAATTAGATCTAGAGTTGAACACTTCTTGAGTGTTATTTGTAAAAATAAGACAATAACGTTACATGGACTAATGTATTACATGTTCTACTTAGATTTCACTCAGGGTACATGTAATTCAACAAGGTCATTTGCAAGAGTCAAGATTTTGCATTCAGCTGTAGTCGCTTCATACTATAAATGAGCAGAGTAAGAGCAGAATCTGTATATCGTTAACTGTAGCCCTTTTTTTAATGCACAAGAAACAAGAAACAACTTACAAGCCCTAAGTTTAAATCCCCCGTTTTTCCTATAGCAAATTTTCATTGCACGGCTGCTTGGGCAAATCTCGATCTCCTGATATAAACAATCGAGCCCACTGTTTTGACTATCTTACACTCTGTATGCCAATAATTTTCATTTGTGTACCATTGGCTGTTTTCATAGTTGTATTGTTCAAACTGTACTAGAAATTACAGATCTTGAAAAAACAGAACAAAGAAATCTAACTGCCTTAAACCCTTCCTTGTATGATCTTGTTTGCATTCACGACCCTCTCTTAAGCTAACAAAGTAGCGTAGAGATACTGAGGAACTCTTTTGGTACATGTAGCAATTCTTGGGTGTGCAGTCCTATGTCTTATGTCTAATGTCAAAGTTTGGTGCACCAAAGAACAAAAAAACACTTGGAAAAAAAACAACTTGGGAAAAAACATGTTAATGTTTATTAAATAAACATGCAATCTCAACTCACATGATAACAGAGCTTGGAAGAGTGGATTAAACATCCAATAAACCACAACGAAAAACAGCTGTAAAGTAAAAAACAAACATGGCAATTTTCGTTCATTGCAAAAAAAGTAATAGGGCGCAATGCAGCCAAACAATTGATGACAAAAACATTGAATCAAGTCAGTTAGGAAGTCGCCAAAGGTAGAGGCCTCGTGCTCTGCACAAATTTTCTTTACTTCACATCGGGTGTGTGACATGACTTATCGTCTACTCTCCACCAAAGAAACAACACAACCCACTTCCTCTTCCCGTGAACCTGGCCGAAATAAGAAGCCGTATCTTTTTTAAAACTAAAATTAATAATTAGTTCCAAATGAGAAAAAGTATATGTTAATGTGTCATACGTATGAAAAAATTCGTTTTCTTTCTTAACTTTAGTGGTACAGTGAATGAACTAGGACTATGGGTGAAACTCTCCGACAACGCGATTTGAGAAAGATGGACTAAATTAGGCCTAAAGAATGGTTAAGGTCTAATATCTCTGTTCCCCCTCCCACACCACCCAGGCCATACTCAACCAATTTATCCAAAATGGTTAATTTAGAGGGATTAGGGTGATTCATCGTGAACAGTGGTCTTTATTCGTAACTAACAGTGACAAGCGTAACATAACCTACCAGTGAATATCTGTCTTCAATGCTCTTCTCTTTGTAAGGAAGCTGGAACCAGATCAAGCCCGAAACGAGGGCAAGAAGCAAGTTCTGGAACAAATGATACACAAGTACATTGTAAGAAGATCAATTTTTTTCCACAGAACGGTAATTACTAACTTAGGAAACTTCATAATCTCAATCTTTTCAATCAATTAACAATATAAAGGTAACTGGAAATGAACGTTAAGGTGACAAAGGAATGGTCAGACAAGGTTTTTATGACTAAATAAAACGAAATAAAAAACCAGCGAGAGTTAGCGAGTGTCCTGTGGTAGGTCGCTGTGGTGACACAATCATAATGAGTAAGGCAAATGGAAAGTAAACACCATTCACATACCCTTACTACCTATCAAAGCATGCTTACAACAGCCACATCTGACAAGTGTACCATACAGTACATCTATTTTCTACAGCTCTTGAGTTTGAGTAAATGTTTTAGTTCTTCACTGGAAATGTTACACATGGACACCAACATCACCGAAATGTTACAATGGCTGTTACACATGGACACAAACATCGTAGTGTTATTTCAGGTCCGACCTTTATTCAAACTATACCTAAAATAGTGCTTACCTGTGATAACTCTAACTTAGACAAAATATCTGGTTTGGACTGCTTAAACGTTCTAAGTAGGAGAACTGTGAACTGTGTCCAGAAACTTGTGGGCCATGATGTGGAAATATCTGAGTACAGGGCAGAATGATCTTCATCGTCATCATGAACATCTATTTTAGAATAATCACGTGATGTACTACGCTTGTAAGATACAACAGCCACATTGACATCTGCTACTGGTACCAGGATTTCTGAGGGGACTTGTGGAAGATGATCTGAAGATTTGGTGAATGAGTCTCTCACGTTCCTCCAAAGGGTCTTAGATGCAGATGGTTTGGGATTTGAAGCCAAGAGGTTTGAACTCTCACTCATCTCTGAAGGCAGTCCATCATTTCCAAATGGTATAAGCCCATTGCCTGTCTTACTTTCTTTTTCTTTGTCCAGCATCTCCTCAGACGAGAATTCACCTCCATTCTCCTGCCTTGGTGTATCTTTCTGTTCATTCGAACTGTCAGCAACTAACAGCTCACCAGTGGACTCACCACTTCTGTCAGATGCAGGACTTGTTTTATTTTCTTTTTCAGGGACTTCAGAGTTCTCATCTACCTCATGTACATCTGAAGTACAATGAACAGACACATCATCCTTGTTCTGTAACTCTTCAGTAGCTTTTTGCTGCCCATTTTTAGGGCTTGTTGCACTTGCCATATCCTGTGATTTGTCCTTGTCATCCTTCTCTGGAGTAGGACTTGGGGTATCAGTTCTTCCTGGTCTATGGTTGTAGGAAATTGCTGAATATTTCTGGCGTCTTTTCTGTCTAAAATAAGAGATAAAATGTGTTTTTCTCTCAAGATGTAAGCACCAGGTGACTCTTTCCATCACCACATATGTAAATATTTTAACTACACAATGATGAAAACAATGGGGAAAAAATGTTACAGCTGTTGTCTACTTTTCTGCAATTACATAATTTCACCAACCTTTCAGCCCAGCCTTGGACAATCCTTTCTTGAACTTCCTCTCCTTCAGTAACCTTTTCCACTGAACAAATAACACAGATTGTAGCTCAGGAATTGTATGGCATAGATACATAATTTACTGATAGCACAGCCATGCAGTTGACAAAGTATAGGTTGACCAAGCATAGGTATAAGATGACAGTGCAGTCAATGGCTGCCATCTTATCTGTGTGTTTCATGCATGAAAAGCCATTATGAAGTCATCTTGACTAAACAACTAGCTAAAGCTAATCTAAGAATTTGCAAATGAAAAGGAGGTAGCCCTTAAAGAGCTGAACTTATCTGCTCAGGCGGCCAAACAAAATGTAGGATTTGCTTCATATCCTACAACGTTCAAAGTACCTGCTTGTGGAGCCAGCCATATTGTGTCAATCATACATTTACAGTATGGTGTACAAGTGTGTCTACACTTTAGTTGATATCAACCAAAATTAATAAGCATGTAAAGTATTACTTACATATAAAATCAGCTGGATTAAAATGAGCATCACAAACCAAACCAACACTTTCAAAGAAATCAAGAACTCTACTGGCCTTTCCATAATATGCTACCTGTCATGAAAAGGATATTACACAATGAAATATCACAATACCACGTCAAGGTAAATATGCAAGGCTTCATCACTAATTAAAGGTATCTACCCCCTCTTTGCTTAATACAGTTTGCATATCTTCTAGACCCACAGTGTTTTGTTGATTGTGTGGTACAAATGGTCCTGGAAAGAACTCTTGGGTGTGAAAGTGCCAGTGAATCTAATTAACATTTAAGATTAGTAAACTACTTAATAAAACAGCGATGGCAAGCAAACTTCAATACAATGTTCATAATTCACACAGCACTTGTATACATGTATACCAAGTTCATGTATATTTTTTCCTAATTTTAATAATGATGTCTGGGAGTGAATACTGTCACTAATTTGTAAGCTTTCTCTCAACATCAATACCACATCATTAGGAGTGTATCCAGATCATGCTTACATGATTAGAGTTCAGGGGGATCATTCAGTAAATTTATCTTCCAATGCCTCCTCACTGTATTAGGACACAGGATAATCTACAGTATAATGAAGGGTGCTCATAGTACTGCAGACAAAGGAAACCTTGACTTTTGCTTTTTTGACAATCAGTTACTGAGTGAAAATCTACTAAGTCTGGAGAGCGTAACAGCATGGCAGTGAACCTGAGCATTTGACTTGAGACAGCTCCTTACACCCAATGTCACATATCTTAAGACATGCTTGAGAATGGTGGTGAAGACCAATAATCTCATCTACAAGTTAGAATAACAACAGCTAAGCTCTTTTTATCCATTACCTGTCCTCCACAGAGCAATAAAACCTTGTCAAACATGTAAAAGATCTGGCTTGATGGCTGGTGAATGGTGGTTACCACTGTCTTTTTTTCTCTGGCTGCAAAGCTCTTCAGAGTCTTAACAAGGTTCAAAGCATTGCTAGAGTCTAACCCAGAAGTTGGTTCCTGAAAAGAGATGTGACGTGTATAATTAAGTCTGTGCTGACAGAAAAAATAGGTCACACAAACAATTGCTGGGACAGGCTAGACTCAAGTAAACATTTGTAGTCCCAGTGTTATTTTACCCTTTAAGATTTAAGCTTAAGATCTGGCGGGGGTGATGGAGGGGAAAAGCATATATTATTACAGTATGCTACAGACTGATTGTTAGTATCTGTGAACTTTATGAGGGAAAATTGGAAAGTCATCACATCACCCTAATGATGTACCTTCTCAGCTAAATTAAAAAAAAAAAAAGCAATTAAATATAAAATTCTGACTTGGGAATTTGAAATAACAGACTTAATTTGAAAAAAATATATTAACTTGAATGAATAGTATCATTCACTGTACCTTTGATAGAGTATGCAGGTTAAAATTCAATCACACTAACCAAAAGAAGGAAGATATGTTGCTAATATGTGCACATTAAAATAACTAACACAGAATATACACTTACATCCAGGTAAATCAAGGAAGGATTTGTTATTAACTCTGAACCAATGTTTGCCCTTTTTTTCTCTCCTGTAAATGAGGAAAAATCAAGGTACTTCATTTTAGAAATCATTTAAAAATATTTATTAAGTGGTATAAACCAACATTAAGGTACACACAGGGCATGAGTCCAGCATCCATTACATATGGCCACATTCACAATATACCAGGATAAACTATAAATAGAGGTTGAACATTCAGAGCAGATTTACTAATAGAAAGAAAATTAACCCACAATCAACATCTCAATGGTAACAGTAAGGTATTTATATTTAAATTTCATGTCTAGCAACAAGATAAGGACCCAAGGTTAGCCATGTTTGCTCCATGAGTGACCACCCATGATGAGATGAACATACTAAGAGTTGTATGTATGGATATAAAAACAGGTGTAAAAAGGCAATAATTCGTATTACACAATTTTTATTGTTATGTAATAAAACATGTTTAAATACCTCCTGATAACCCTCTTTCAAAAGGACTTCCAATCTCTGAATATATGTCAAGTATCAAAAGTAATACCACCATGAAATTAGTTTAAATAATTTCAATTTTGCAGTTATGTAATATAATAATAATAACAAGAACAACAACATTGGGATCAATAACAATAATAGATAGAGAAAAAAAATCATCGTTGTGATGATGATTTGTCAGTACTCTTAGTTCAGAGCTTAAAATGCAGAGTATTCCAGTGTCAATGTCCTAAAAGCATTGTTGTGAGTTCCATCTAGGGAAAAACTTGAGGTGCAAGTAACAAATCAAGATATGAGCCTTGCTTCTCTCAATGACCAGTTAAACATCATGCACAACACAAGAAACATTGACTGAGCTGTTTACTGCATGCTACATCACAAAAACTATAAGTACATTTCCCATAAAGTGAACTCACTTGTATCTAAGCACTTCCTGATATCCAAGCTGTCAACAATTTCATCTACCTAAAAAAATTATTTAAGAAGATTAATTAAAATCCATGTCCACTTTTTACTTAACCGTTTAACTCCCAGAAGTGATGAACATAAAACTTCTCCCTACAATATCCATACATTATTCAGTAAGCAGGTAATGATAATATTCAAACTCATCAGGTAGAAGCTGCTATTTCGATCTAGCACCAAGTTCTCATAACTTATTAACAAAGAAATGTGTAGCAGCTAGAGGGGAGAATTAACAATCAGATCTTGGGAGTTAAAGGGTTAAGGTACCCATTTAACTGTGGAAATGTTATCCATAAGGATGCCTCAATGGAACGAAAACTAAGTAAAGTAAATACTTAATTTCATAATGTTTCTTTGAATGGTGAAAAAAATTGTTAATGCTAATGAAATCTGTTGATATTTGTTTTCATACATGTCAAGAATAAGCCTATTGCTTTGGGGAGGCTTCTGTGCCTTGAGTTTGACATTCATAGCAAACTGCACCCCAAATGCAAACCAATTCTGCAAAGGTGAAATCTATGGTCATACAAATACCTTTTGTAACTTTTCAGCTTTAGACAAGGCATCTGGCAGGCGAAGCATTGCAGAAAACTGCAGAGAAAAAGAAACATAATATGATAATGATTGTATATCAGATTTGAACTTTTGAATTAGAAACACTTATATAAATGACTGTTCAGCAAAGACAATTCTGGCTCATAATTCCAGAAAACCAGGAGATGAAAACAATCACAGTCAAACCTCGATTATCTGGGTTTTTCAATTATCTGGACTCGCTTTTCTGGGCCCATATTTCAACAAACAATTTTATTACTCACATTGAAGATCCAAAGCACAATGATGCACACATGATATAGCAGCTTAAAACAAGCTGATTTAAATAAGCATTTCAAGTCATAAAATGTTGTCACCTTAAAGAGTTGTTATAGTTAATTTGGCAAATTTTTTGCAACAATGCACATTCATCTGAGAATTTTCCCTTAAAAACCATTGAATAATATTACTTATTTAATACCTATTCAGTTTTATTTTTGGCTCCTTAATATTCATAGTTTTGATTGTGCGGACTCTCAGTTATCCAGATTATTCAGCCCAGTCCTTATCAATCAGGATGGTCAAGATTCAAATGTACTGGTAATTAGAGTAAATGTACTTGCATGGTCAAGTTGGACAAAAAAGTAAAAGATGTGAATTCCCACCTACTTACAAAGGTACTCTAATTAACTAAACAATAAATTTGAACAAACATATGGTTAAAACTGAGACAAAAATTGAGACGCTTACAGTAAGAGTTTCCCGAAGAGTAAGATTGGCAAAGAAAATGTCTTCTTGCAGGACATAACAAATAGCCTTCTTCAGTTTCTTGTTCAACTGTGTACCATTGAGAAGGATTTCACCACTTTCTGGAAACATTCTTCCAGCAAGAATATTTAGCAATGTTGTTTTACCAGAACCTAAAACAAAGATGAATAATGTGAATGTTGTAGGTTCAGCTGTTTTCTTAGCTAAAAGTTGTTAGATCAATTTTTTTTCTTTCCTTTGCTTCAGATAATGAAATGTTGTTGTAGCAATGTTGTTTTACCAGAACCTAAAACAAAGATGAATAATGTGAATGTTGTAGTTCAGCTGTTTTCTTAGCTAAAGGTTGTTAAATCAAATTTTTTTCTTTCTTTTGCTTCAGATAATGATATGAACAAAAAGGAAATAGTCCAGGAGAGAGTGAGGTCAGAGTGAGGGAGGGTGAATGAAATTGTTCTGAGCTGTTTCAAGATATTGCGATGTCAGCATGTAATGTTCCCGCTTTTTGTCGCATATTGATTGAGAGCACTAGGGAAGACGAAACTTGCGATAGTATTTCTCATTCACTCGTTAATAGCGGTCGTACTTTTTTTACTAGTAGCAGGACTTCGGAACAGGGCATTTGAAATCTCAAATCTTACTTTTGGACCTAATTTACATGGTAAAAATTCACTTGCAACAAGCAAGATTGCAATTTTAACTCGTGAACCTATTGATCCAGATATTACCCATTGATTACCAGCATGTGAACATCTTGAAAAAAGCTTGGCTATTTGTTTTTACATAAAAAAAATATATATTTAGAGATCTGAGATACTTACCACTAGGGCCCATCACAGCTAACAATTCCCCTGGGTTGACTTTCCCGCTTACATTTCGAAGAATTTCCCGATCGCCGATCTTTACACCAAGATTGTTAAAAGAGAGGAAAACAGGTATATTCTCCTCCACGTCTTCAATCATTTTTGTAGCTCTTTCTATACTCATGCGCTGGTTTCCTTCGAAGGCCCTTGCTCGTATTAGTAGTAATGAAGAATGGTAGTATTATTCGTACGGTGCCAAATAGATATTCATGTCATCATCATGAAGTTTATCTTTCTTTTCATTGGTTGCCTTACTTATATTGACCAATCAAGAGCTTTTATTCGAAGAAGGAACCCCAACGATGGTTACGTAATCGTAGAGAGAAGGATATACCCGGAACTTTCATGTGATGGTGCAATTTCGCAAAAAGGTTATATTCCACAAGGGAAGGTGCCGTCTATCGCCGTCTATTTATAAAATAACTATGGTTCATCAGTGTATCAAACGATAGGTTTTTGACCAATCAGGATGCTTGTAATATCTCAGTTATTTGTAAATCTTATTAGGATGACAGGGAACAGGAAACATGCAATAATGTTCGCTTGGAGTTTTAAGTATATTTCGGATCCATGTGAGTTTCAACTATGGTATTGCAAACAGCTTGGACTTTCTTTTATTGGTTTCTGCTTTCCTTTGCTTTTTGGTTTTTGTTTTTGCTTTTTTTTTTTTTTTCAAGATGGCGTCATCCTAAGTCGACTGTTGACCTCATTTAGAGACAATTTTTGAACAGTTAGGTTGTGTAAGGTTGTGCTTGAGCAAAAACATCTGTGTTGTCTGTAGATACTCTCGAAATGAGTACATTAGGGCAATAAGGCAAGTCACATGTAATGTTTCTGTCCTTATTCTTCTTTTAATTCCTATTGTATCGAATGGTACACATTATTACAATGATCATTACAAACCTCCTACGTTTACTGGTTAACCTGAAATTGCTAAAAACTACTTACATCCATACTTAACAGTATGCCATATCTTTTATCTAGAGAACGGTGAATTATTTTCTCTCATTTATTAGCGTTACAATGAGCTCTTAAGTACTCATGGTAGTATCTCTGTCGATTCAAATCGCACTGATCCTCTAAGGGACTTTCGCGCCCAGCTTCGATGGCTTTATCTGGTATTGCCACATCTTTTGATCTCTTGTTGTTTACGCGAGAGTGAGTTTGAGGTAGCTAACTGGAATCCTTAGTTGAAACTTAAGAGCTCTGGAGACGCACGCTTTTTATCACGGGTCACAGTATGGCCAGCTTCAAAACCGGAAACATAAGTGCCAGATACTTAGACTGTACTAACCGTATCGTCATGCAATGGTACGTGAGAGAGTTTGGTAGAGAAGAGTTTATCTCGTAGTTCTCAGTCCTTGCCAAAAAGAGTGCGAGACTTGTATTCAGTCCAAGGTGACCGAATATGTTTAGAGGAACATTATAGAGAGCAAGACTCGTCGTTAACCCATTGTTTTCTGTCCGTGCCATAAAGATTGCGAAACTAGCTGAGAATCTTTCGTGACAGGAGTTCTCTTCGTGCCGTACCAGAAACGTAAAACCAAATTTAAAGTTATTTACTTCTGGGCGAATCGAATGCGACATGAAAATTAAATCTCACGTGACAGAGTGTTAGGGAAAATAATTACCAGCACATTTTCTGCCCGTGCCGAACAGACTGAAAGACTTGCAATTATATCTTACGTAACAGACTGATATATTTTTTAAAAAGGTTTGACCTTCAGGTTTGGTTTTGCGAGCCGAATTGATTGCGCACTTGAAGTGAATGTTACATAAACATATCTTATTAGACGTTTTGCTGTATAGTATCACTGAGTAGTTTTACGAGTCGTGCCGTTTTTTGACAAGCCTGTGAGGCGAGTCAAAATACAAACCACAAGTAAAAATACTTAGCGATATTACACACCAAAACGTCTAATAAGTTATTTATTGTTCAACTACTTAAGATGCATTTCTTATAAGACAAGACAAGTGAAACAGATAGAGAAGCGTAGCACGCGCAGCGGACCGGTTAAACAGGTTTTTTTTACATTACAAAAGACCAACTGCCCAATATCGCGTGATATTTGTAATTGATTCGTGCGTTACTTCTTTTCCCTTAGAGCAGTTGGATAATAAAAAAATGCCATTGAACGCTTTCTGTCAGTTATCAGTCAGTTGATATTCTCCTGTTTGTAGTGAGAAAGGAACGCCCCATAAAAAGTAACGAGAGACATGTACTAGCCACAAAGAACTTTTAAAGAACAAATTTTAATCAAAAGTGATAGTGGATAAACTGCCCAACACAATTTAAACTTCAAAAGCTTAATTCCCAGAGTCAAAGAATGGGTCTCAAAGGTTTAAAAGTCAACCGTTTAAGTAACACTCGAGTTATGTCGAACTCCAAGAGGAAATAAGGGAAGAGAGAGGGAGGCTTCTGGTCTAGGCCTTAAGATAGTCTCTCGTGCAGAATTTTGTTTTCCGAGACGTCCGGTTGGAGGTGCACATCTTTCTTATCATCTGAAGTGACCACCACTATTATGAAATGGTGGCTAAGAATATTTTTTTTAGGCGAAAAGGAACGTGAAACGCAAAACTAAACGGGACTCGTGTATATCTTTTTGCATGAACGAAACGTGACTATGGCCTTTGTAGCATATGCGACACATAAGACAAACTACGGAATCAAAGTGCTCTATGAGCAAACTCGTGAATTGACACATGATTTTTTGGATTATGTTTAATGTTATCTGGTTCAGGGAATTTTGTGGTTGATTGTCGTATCTGGAGTACGAGCAGTAGTTTAGTGTTCGCTAATGTAGCAAAGAAACAAAGTAACGTTGGGATAAGAAGGCATTACAATTGAAATGATCATGCTATTACATTTGACAAGGGTGGAGATGTCATGTGTTTTAAACGTATATCATGGGTGAAAAGTGAAATTTACTGTCTATCATTGTAAATATTAGAAAATCAAGGCAATACTGTCTTAATGAAAACATTAACAATTCCCTCTTTATCAAATGAGACAAACGGGAACGAGTTTTGAGTGATTTAATTAAGCCAAGACTGCCACCGTCATTTTGGATCTCCACCTGGGTAGATTTTAGTCACGTGCTAAGCAACGTATAATCAATAACAAGATAGAATTTCATTTCAGGCCTATTTATCAATTTTGTGGTGTATAACTTTCGCATTTTAGTACGTAATATGTATTTTGAATCTTCAAATTATCTTGAAGAAAATTGTTCGTTAAAAATTCACTGAAAATCGGTAGCTAAAATTGTTTGTTTAGGTGTTATTTGATTTTCGTGTTAACTTGTAATTTCGTCAGTCGCCGGCATCTTTTGTTGCTTCACACAGGAAAAACACACGATACGAAACGTAATGATCGATTTTGTCCTCAATCTCATGTCATAACAGAAAAAGCATTTGAACATCTGTAAACTCCGTGCGCTTCGCAGTAAGTGATAATTTCAATGAATCTTCGGATTGTTTTCAAGTTCAAGGATTATGAATTACAATTTTATGAAAAACGAAGGTTGTTCTGTTATTTCAGTGTGAATCCTTGCATGTCTGCCAGTCGCTGGCGCCGCTTGTTGAAACTAAAACGAAAAAAAACACTCTTTTAAGATTATCATTGGCTTCTTTTTCACCCCACCACTGTTCTAAGCAACAAAGGTCGCCATTTCTTTTGTTTATTGCTCGCCAAAAACTATCAAATGCACTCAAAAGCCTAAAATCGAAAAAAAGTTTACAGGAATCGACCAATCGCGCGAGCGAGCGAGTGCTATTCCCTACATCGTATCCATAACTCGCTCTTGCGCATGCGCGCAATTCACGAGTTAAAAATAAGATACGAAATCAAAGACGGTCACATAAGAATGCACCAAAAATTTCAGGTTAAAAACCTTTATAAATCTGAGAAGACCGTGGCTTATTTGTAAAGATTTTCCGTTCGGCGACTAAAATGCATTGGTAGGATTGCTTACTGAAATTTCAAAACTTTCCTTAAAACGGAAAAAACAAATGCCAAAATATGAGACAAGCATTTATGTTAAGAGTGCTCTAAGAGCAGCTGGACTGATAACTAACGCAAGATAAACTACAGCTTGTAGCAAAATAATCCTATTATGTCTGGCAGAAATAGTTCCCAACTTCAAGATGGGATAGCTCTAATGCTAATGTTATGTAATGTTAGATAAGTCAAAACAAGAGCCTCATTGGAACTTGAGCTAATGCTCAATGTTTGCCATTTCCAGGGGCCAAAATATACCCAGCATTATGACATAAGCTTATCTCACTGCACGACAGGGCCGACATGTTGTTTGATAGGAAGTGCTTGTACATTATCGCTATCAATGTTGAGTGCCTTGTGACAAATAACAGAGTAATGAAATAGTTTAGTTGACGACAATTCGCTGTTCCCAAAGAAACAGTACACTGCAACTAAATAACAAGATCAACAATAATTACGAGGAGGTCTAGTCTAGTTGTAGCAACGTCCGATGGAGGCAAGATGTTACCTGGTTTAATGTTATATTATGAAGATATTTACAGGAGCCAATATCTCTTATCAGTCCGACATTGCTTATGAATGCAATATCAATTTTCCGAGGCGAAAGCAAAGCCGGCTGTGCCAACTTTCTTCCAATCAGAGCCCAAAGGCTATGTCCCTAAGATTTCTGCTCAATATTTATTTTGGCTTTTTCATGTATATCATAAACTGGGCACGTTACATATCACCATGCATACAAGTTTTTTTTAAAGGATTTATTAAAATTAAATATCTTTCTCTACATGTGCCTTTTCCAGTTTTCAACAGTGCGGTCTCCCAACCAGTTTCTGCTGTTTTGCTGTCCCCACAAAAAATAGACATATTTTCTCGGTATACTTTCGAGGGCAGCAAATTTAAAAACAAAAAGATAAATTAAAAAAAAATAACAAAAAGAAAAGTGCAAGGGAGAAGGATTGGAGTCATCGTTTCATAAAGTTGATAGAGAGAAGATCATTTCGATCAGAAATGAGTTAAGAATGTATGGCGGCTCTACCATCCCAGTCACACTTTCAGTATCAACTTACACCCCGCTGTTTAGAGGATTATGAGTAGAAAAAGTTTTTAAATTATAAAAGGTTAAAATCCTACGTTTGAAAGAGTAAAATAAATTGACCCTTTTAGTGTCCATCGGCAATTTGTTCTAAGCGAGG